GGGGCAGACGGACCCCCAGATTGTCCCCAGACCTCTCCCAAGCCCCTCTGTGCCCCCCTGGGCTGTGGCAGGACCACCCCCTCAGCTGGCAGGTCTGGCCAGGAGGAGCTGGGGGTCTCACAGAGGGGACCAAGCCCCTGTGCAGGATGTGGCCCGTGCTCCTTAGCTGTGCCCGCCGAGGTGCCAGGGCTGGGATTCCCGTGCCGGTACCCTGCCCGTGCTCGCCCCTTTTTGGCCACCCCACCCCCCTCGCCCTGGGACGTGCATTAACTGCTCTTGTTTTCCCTCCCTGACCGCTCTGCTGCTCGCAGGGACAAACTGTGAGTCACCCCCAGGGACCGACAGCGCGTCCTGCACGGGACGTCCCCCCCGCCCCGGGCTTGTGCTACCCAGAATTTAGGATTAGCTGCAGCCGGCGGGTGTGGGGGGAGTCAAGGCTGGGGGGCCGGTGGGGTGCAAAGAGGTCGTGGACACAGAAAGGGGCCGGGAGCCCTTTTCTTCTTGGAACCTCAGCGGCTGATTTCTGGCCCCACTGTACCCCACAACCGGGGTGGCTGTGGTGCCCAGCCTGGCTGTGAGCACGAGCCAGGGGTCCCGTCATAGTGTGGGAGGGTGGGGGGCTGGAGCATGGATCCTTCAGCCCCAGCTCTTGGGGTGCTCTCGGAGGGTTGGGCTTGCTGCAGGAATCGCTGCGGGTCCCGGAGGGGGAAGCCCCTGCAAGGAGCGGAGCCGAGCCGGAGCAGCCGGGAAGGAGCCGCTGGATCCTTCTTGTTTCTAACCGGAGGCTTCGGCTGAGTCTCCAAAGGGCTTTATTTTTTTTTTTTTTTGCTCTGGCTGTTGCTGTCGCTCGGCGTTTCCCCTCCTTAACGTGCACACTTCGGGTGCTTCAGAGGTGCTCCTTGGGGGGACGGAGGGGAGCGGGGAGCATCGCCATGGGGGTGACATCCTGGGACTGCTGGCCCTTTGGGGACAGGCTCAGCCCACCCCTGGGTGTGGGTCCCCCCCAGCCATGCAGAGCCCCCCAGCATCGCCTTGCTGCATCCCTGGGTGCCAGCTGAGGTTCCAAGCCCAAACCACGCAGCTGCTGTGCCCAGGAGGCTGGAGGGCGGGGGGGGGAGCGGGGCCGGGTGGAGGGACGCAGCAATCCTAAATTCCTTGCCGCACGCTTGAGTCCACCCCGGCTCGCTCCCGTCTCCTCCTTTCCCTTTTCTCATCCCGGCACCCAGTTTTCCCAGCTCCCCGCTGCTCCCCGCATGTCCCTGTCCCTCTGCCCGGCTTGGCTGCACCCGGCGCCCAGCCCCGCTGCTCCGCGTCCCTCAGCTGGGCTTGTCCCGGGGGGTCCCTCGGGGAGGGGGCGGGGGGCACAGCCATCTGCATTCGTGGCATCGGCACTGGCCACGAAATCTCAAAGCACAATGTCCCCCGCTCCCCCGCCAGTGACTCCCGTGGTGGCCTCGGGGCCCTTTGTAGCCCTGGGCTTGCTCGGGGTGGGAGGAGGGGGCAGCTTGCTGGGGGGGTGGCCCCCCAGGGTCTCACGGGGTGAGGAGTGCTCCGCTCCAGCTGGGCCCGTGCAACTGTCCCCCGCTCTGCGGAGATGGGGTGCCCCCTCCCCAGGGTGGGGGGTCCAGCGGTGACACCCGTGTCCTGTGCTTTGAGATATCTGGAGGAGCTCGAGGAGGATGGAGGTCACTGCCCTCCCGTTATCCTCGTTACCGTTGTTACCCTCATCCAGCAGCCCCCCCCTGCCCTGAGCCAGCCCTGCTCCCAGGGGTGGTCACAGCCATCCCCGGGGTTTTCCTCCTCCTGGCGCCCGTGTCTGGAGTGGCTGTACCTGGTGTCCCCAAAGTGTCCCCAACTTCTTTGGGGCCCCACGTGCAGCTGGGAGCTTGGGGACTCTCCTGGGTGCGAAAGCAGCTCAAAACTGTGTGACAAAGCTGGGGGGGGGGGGACACGACACATGACACATGGTGGGAGCAGGACTTGCGGTGACGGTGGCTGTGCTTGGCCCCGGGCAGGTACCACGACAAGCAGGAGGTGACGAGCAACTTCTTGGGGGCGATGTGGCTGATCTCCATCACCTTCCTCTCCATTGGCTATGGGGACATGGTGCCGCACACCTACTGCGGGAAGGGCGTGTGTCTGCTCACCGGCATCATGGTGAGTGTTGGGGAGGGGGGCTGGCGGGGTCGGGGGGGGGGGTGGGGGGGTGGGGACACAAACACTCCTGTGCCGCCCGGTCCTGCCGCTGCCCTCACCGCAGGGCTCTGCCCGCAGGGTGCTGGCTGCACCGCTCTGGTCGTCGCTGTTGTTGCCAGAAAGCTAGAGCTCACCAAAGCGGAGAAACACGTGCACAACTTCATGATGGATACGCAGCTAACGAAGCGGGTAAGACCCCTCCATGTGCTGCCCCCCCCCCGGTGCCACCATCACCCCCATCAGACACCCAGGACCAGCCACCTCCATCCCTGACCCCGCTGCTCTGTAACTTCCAGGTGAAAAATGCTGCTGCCAACGTACTCAGGGAAACGTGGCTCATCTACAAACACACCAAGCTGGTGAAGAAGATTGACCATGCCAAAGTTCGGAAACACCAGCGTAAGTTCCTCCAAGCCATCCATCAGTAAGTGCCAAACCTTTACCTGCTTCCTACGAGGAGGTTTATTTTCTCCGTCGTGGCTCCGGGAGAGCCAGGCGCTTCCTTCTCTTCTGTGCCCGCACTGCCTGTCGTTCCCCCCCTCCGTCCCCATTGTGGGGACGCTTTCCCAGTGGGTGGGGACCCCGATAATGCTGGGGTGACCCCGGGGGTACCAGATCGATGGGGCTCGATGTGACTGTTGTCTGTCATCCAGCTTCAACCGTATCAGGGAGCGGGGCTGGGGGCTGTGAGCCCCTGGGTGCCTCCTGCTTGGGGAGGGTGGGGGGGGGAACCGAGGGGTGCCCGGCTTGGGGAGGGGGACACACACACTGAGCAGGGCGGGTGGGGGGGGTTTGCCTTGCTGTGGCTGCTGTCGTCTCCCTGTGCTCTTCGTGGTGGTATTAAACCTGCTGTTGTGTTTTGTCTCTGTTCTGCCCCGTCCCTGCAGAGCTCAGAAGTAAGTTGCCCCGCGGGGCTGCTCCTTTCCTCCGTCTGCTCCCGTGTGCATGGGCTGGTTGCTGCAAAATTGGGGGGGACACACACACACATACAGAGCAATGCAGCCCCCCCCCCCCCCCAACTCCCCGAGGGCTGCCTGGGGCGAGGATGGAGGGGCAGAGGCTGTGCTTGCAGGGTTGGGGGGGATGGGGGAGCTGCATGCCGGGGTGCTGGGAGGGGAGGGGGGGCTGCATGGGGGTGTTGCTGACCTTGACCCTGTTCCCCCCATGTCTCCCCAGGTTGAGGAGTGTGAAGATGGAGCAGCGAAAGCTGAACGACCAGGCCAACACGCTGGTGGACCTGGCAAAGGTGAGTGATGCCTGAGGGGGGGGGGGGATGACGACCCTGCTTGAAGGGGGGGTCCCAGCACTGAGCTCCATCCCCTCCTGCTCCCCTCTGGGGGGTGTGTGTGTGTGTGTGTCCCAAATTCCACCTCAGACCCAGAACATCATGTACGACATGGTCTCGGAGCTGCAGGAGCGTAACGAGGACCTGGAGAAGCGACTGGGCGCCCTGGAGAGTAAACTGGAGGCACTGGGGCTGAGCCTGCTGGCGCTGCCCGGGCTGGTCAGCCAAGCCCTGGGGCAGCAGCAGCGCGAGCTCCTGGGGAGCTGGACCCCCCGGCTCTGCTCCGCCACAGCCCCTTGCACCCCCACCCGACCCCCCAGGTCCCCTTCCACCGCCCCCCCCACCTCCTCGGACAGTGGGTGATGGGGTGGGGTGGAAAGGTGGTGGTGGTGGGGGGTGTGTGTGGGGGCCGGGGCCCCCTCTTATGTCTGGCCATCGTGTGGCTGATTTCAGTAGCTTTGTTCTGTAAAGCTCTGTATAAATTTCCTGCGTTCACTGTGCTGGCGTGAGGCTGGAGCCCCCCCTCCCCGGGCCATCCTGTGCCCCCCAGCTGGGTGGGAAGTGAGCCCCAGCCTCCAGGAGGGCTTTTTTTTTTGGGGGGGGGGGGGGGGGAGGGATGGGATGCAGCAGCTGCTGCACCAGAGGGGATGGAGCAGCCCTGGAGGGGCAGGAGCTCGGGGAGGGGGGGGGGGGGGGGGACGACGACAGGGAAAGGGGAAGGGGGGAAGAGCCAGGAGCCCTGAGTGTTGGGGGTGTGGTCTAGGGGCTGCCCCCTTGGGTGTGGGAGGGGGTGGGGGGGACATGGAGGCAGGGGGGCAGCCCCCCGTGGTGAGAGCAGGGCTGAGCCCCAGGGGTTGAGGATTTGGGGGGGGGGCCTCTGTTCCTGGCTCTGCCACAAAGTGACCTTGGCGAAGTCACGTCACCTCTCTGTGCCTCAGTTTCCCCCATCTGTAAAATGGGGGAAGGGGGGGGGTGGGGAGGGAGGGAGGGGACACAACGGTACCGACCATTGTAAAGTGCTGTGAGATTCCTGGATGCAATATTCAGCCCAGCCCCCTCCCAGCGGGGTGGGCAAGGACCCTCTGCCAGGACCCCCCTGGCTCTGGACACCCCACCCCCTGGGGGCTGGTCCCACTCCCCAGCTGGGACTCTCGGTGCGGGGGGGGGGTGGAGGGGGGGCTGAGGCGCACATTAAAGGAGGCTGAACTGGATGCGTCGCTCTCTGCTCGTGGCAGTGGGAGGGGGGGGAATGGGGTCCCATGGGGTGTGGGTCGGGGGGGGGATGTTCTGGGGGCATCTTTCCAGCTCCCCTCACTGCAGAGGCTCCCCCCCCATCCTGGGAACCTTGCAGGGGGAGGAGGAGGCCGACGTGGGGGCTCCAAACCCCCCCGGAGGGGGTTGTATGGAAAGGGCTGGGAGCTTGCAGCCCCCCCCCCCCCCCCCCCCCGCTTGCTGGCATTGGGGAAGGTTTGGCGAGGGGGGGCTCAGAGCAGCCCTGGTCGTGTTGGGGTACCCCAGGATGTCGCTGCTGCTCAGCCCCCCACCCTTTGCAAAACCCAAACCAGGGTGCGGTGCTGGGGCCCTGCAGAAGGTGGGGGCAGGATGCGGCCCTCGGTGGGGGGGGGGAGCACAGGACAGGAGGCTGGGGGGGGTGTCAGGGGCCAAATCCTGCCCCTGCGAGGCCCTGGGCTGTGCTTCGGGGCGGCGCGTTACGGTTAATATTTAACCAGTGGTGCAAAGCGGTGGCGGGGAACAGCCAAGGGACATCAGGGTGAGCCCCAGGGCCACGTCCTGCCATGAGACGGGCAGGTAATGCTGGGTGGGGGGCTCAGGGGGGGCCGGACACTGTCCTACGGGGGGGCTGGCATGGGGACAAGGAGTAGGGGGGGACACAGAGCCTGGGAGTGACACAGTGGGGCTGAGCAGCACCCGTGGGGACTTTGGGGTGGCGGTGGGGGGGGGGCTGACAAGGGTACAGCGGGGACCCTTCCCCTCCTCCTGCCCTGAGGGGCTCCAGCAGGTCCCAGTCTGGGTGCTGGGAGCACTGGTGGGTGCTGCCCCACTCAGCCACGGGCCTTTCCCCACTGCGGGGGACCGGGATGGGGTGACAGCCCTGGTTCACACACCCGGAGCATGTAGCAGGAGAGGTGACATCCCCGCGGCACTGCCGCAGCTCGTGGCCACGGCCCCCGTGTCATTGGCCACTTGTGAGCCCCTGGCAAGCGAGGGGGAGGGAAGGTGGCTCGGGGCCAGGCTCCAAGTGTGCCCCACGGGGGAAACTGAGGCACGCTGAAAGGGCTGGGAACACCGTGAGCTGTCTGGGTTGGCTCCCATCCCTGCTCATCTTGGAGTTTCACCCCCAGTGGAGCTCAGCCCGGCTGTGGGGGAGCGAAGCAGCCGCCGGGGGCCCCCGGGGGCCCCCCATCACCCCAAAGCTGCTGGGAGCCGACGGCCGAGCCCACCCACCCCGCCGGAGAGCCGGGTACGGAGTGGGGTGCAGGGGTGCTGAGCCCCCAGGCTGGGCTGGAGCTGGTCAGCCCCTACTTTGCCTCTGTGAAGCCCTTGGGGGGTGGAGAGGGGGGGCTGGGGGCTGCCAGCCTGGCTGCTCATCTTCCTCTTCCTCCCGGCACTGCTGTGCCTGGCCGGCAGCCTCTGTCCCTCCAGATGTGGAGGTGGGAGGTGGCCCAGAAGTCCTGGGAGCGCCCCCCCTTTATCACCCCCAGTATGGTGGGGGGGTCATGCAGCCTCACCCCCCCACACACCTTCTTTGTGTCCTAAAGCTTCCTCCAGCCCGAGCCAGGCACGTCGTCTTCGAGGATGAGGTGGTGCCAGTGGGGAGACCCCCGGGGAGGCTCCCCCCTGCCAAGAAGGGGGAGAAATCAGGGGCCAGGACCATCCCCCCCGGGCTGGCACCCCGGCCACACGCTGTCCCAGACTACGTGGTGTAAGTGAGTCCCGTGGGGCTGGGGACAGCCACGGGACGGGGTGTCACAGGGCCCTGGGGACCCGCGACACCCCACCATGAGGGTCCTGCCTGCCTGTGGGGGGGGGGGGGTGCGGGCAGCACCTGGAGTCTCCCTCCCTCACCCTGAGCTTTGTGGCCTCGTGGTGCAGAAAATACCCGGCGATCCGGAGCCCCTGGCAGCGGGAGGGCTACAAGGGCGTCTTCCAAGACCAGCTGGCAGAGTACACGGAGCTGCTCGGGGAGATCCGCGCCGGGCGGCCGAGGCCCAGGGAGCTGGAGGCAGCAATGGGCTGGTGGCCCCGGCACGCCGCGAGCAGGACGGTGGGTCCCTCGGTGGGCTCCAGTTGCGGGCACCCCATTATTTTTGGAGCGGTGTTGGGTGTGATGAGTTGGCCGGCCTCTGCGGGGACTGGGGATGAGCCTGGGAGGGGTGGGGGTGGGGGTGTGTGTGGCAGGGGGGGGGGGAGTTGTGTGGTGGACACCCCGGCTTCTGCGGCTGTGAGGCACAATGCTCGGAGGCACCCGGCAGCTGCTGGAAAATTGAGGAGCGGTGGCATTTTTTTGGCTACGCCCTGGGCGAGGTTTTCACCGCAAGGTGCTGGGGGGAAGGCTGGGTGCCCCCAAGCGCCTCCTCCGGGCTGCCTCGTTAGGGCCAGGCTGAGCCCCTGGGGCTCTGGGACTGGTCTTTCTGCCCCACAGGATGAGAGCAGGGTGACCCACGTCTGGCACGTGAGGAAGAAGATGGTGAGCGAGGGAAGGGCTCAGGATCTGTCCCCTGTGCTGGGGAGCTGGAGGGGGCTGCAAGCCCCCAGCCTCCCCATGGTGTCTCTCCCCCATCCCCAATGCTTCGAGGGGGGGGGGTCCCCAGGGCATGGCAGGGCTCCTCCTGGCTGAGCACGCTCTGGCCGGCAGGATTTGGCCCTTCTGGAGAAGCAGCAGCGCTGCGAATACCTGAAGAAGAAGCTGACGCACATCAAGGCGCGGATCCAGGAGTACGACCGCGCCGCCCGCGCCGGCTATTTCTGAGCCTGTGCACCCACCGGCACCCACGGCGGGGGACGAGGACCCCAGAGAGGGGGGACACCCCGGGGACTGGGTGCTGGGGAAGGGGTGGCCATGCTGCAGGGCTGCACCCGCTGCCCACCCAGGCGTTGCACCCACCGGGTGTGGAGAGCAAACCCACTGTGCTGCTGGTTTTGGGGTCCTCTGGGTGCTCCGTGCCCCGGGGAGCCTCGTGCCCTGGGGTCCTGAGTGGGTGCTGCTTGTCCCCCACATGGGAGCCAGGCCCTGGCTGTGCCCCCATTTTATCCCATGTAAATTGGGGAGCACCTTCCCCTTGCCCCTCTGCTCCGAGACAGCTGCAAAAGTGGCCAGAACTGGTTTTAATAAAACGCAGTGATGTTTGTTTTTTTTTTTTTTTTCCGGGGGGGTGGGTGTATGTGTCTTAATGCCCAGCTTAACCCTGGGACACCCCCAGGGGCCGGGGGGGCAGCCGGCAAATGCGTCGCACCCCAGCACCCATGGGACCTTCCCGTCCCCGGGAAAACAAAGCGGGGGTGTGTGTGTGTGGGGGGGGGGGGTGTGGGTGTGGGTAGAGAAGAGTCCCAACCCCAAAGCCCTGAGGGGGCCCCAGCCGGGGGTGCCTCCCCCACCCCCGCGACCCCCACTCCGGGCTCCCCTTTATTTTCCCCCGCCCCGCAACGTGAAATTTAACCAACCTCCCCCCCGGAGCCCCCGGGACGGAGCCGCTTGGGCTGCGGCGCTGAAAATCAGCGGCGGCGGCCCCCGGGGCTCCCCCCCCCCCCGGCGCCGCCGCCGCCGCCGCCGCCGTCCATCCCACCCCTCCCCGGAGGCGGAAACCGGGGCCGGTCTCCAGCAGCGCCCGGCCGCCACCGTGCCGCCGATCCCGGCTGCCATTTTAAGGTGAACAAAGAGGCGGAGGCACGGGCAGGTGAGTGGCTCCGAGGCGGACGGGACACCCCCCACCCCCCCCCCCCCCGGCTACCGGCACCGGCGGCCGTCCGAGCTCCCGGTACGGGAGGGCGTACCGGGGGTCCCCCTCTTCGCGCCGCGCATGGAGATGGGGGGGGAGTCCCTCCTTCCCCTACCCCCCCCCCCGCTAGGCCACCATCGGGGTCCCCACCAGTTCCCACGCAGATCCCTACCGGCACCGGGATCCCCCCCCCCCAGAGCCACCCCCGGGGTCCCCACCGAGATCCCGCCCCCCCCCCCCCCCCCCGGTACCGGGACTCCCGGAGCCGAAGCCCCGGCAGGTGGAAGGCGAGAGGCGGCGGCTTTTCCCGGGGGAGCGGGGCCGGGGGTCGTTTTGCCGTCCCGGTGCCCCCGCAGCGGGGAAGGGACCCCCCCCCCCCTCCGGTTCCGTGTCCTCCCCGCCGGCACCGGGGTGTCCCGGGTCACCGGTCTCCGGTTACGGCTCCGGGAGCCTGAGACACCCCCCCCCCCAGCCCCACTCGGGGAGGGGTCCCCGCTGCTGTTGTGCCCCTGTAGCTGCTCAGGTGGGGCTCCCCGGTGGGGTTGGGGGGGCGGGGGGTGTCAGACCGCGGGCCTGGGGATTAATCCGATCGGTGGATTTGGGGGGGGGGGGGGGTGGGGTTGGCCGGGACCCCCTGAAGCGGCGGGGGGGGGGGGGGGGCGGGGTGGCTTGGGCAGCCCAGGAGTAACTCCGGGGCCGTGGCTGCCGCCCAGCCCCCATTGCCCACCCTTGCTGCGGGTCAAGGGGTGCCCACCCCCCCAGGGGCCCGATCCTGCCCACTGAGCTGTGGCACCGCCGGGAACGGGCGGCAGGGTTGAGTTTCCCACGAGGGTTCAGGTTTCCCACACGCTGTGAAATTCCCCGCCCCGTGATGAGGGTCTCCAGGCTGGGTGGGTCTCTGCATTGAGGGGAGGGAGTCTCTGCATAGATTTTGAAAAAAGCCTCGAGTTTTTGAAAGCCACTCTGCCACTTTTCTCTGCGAGTTGCTAATGTGCCCTGTATTACTATTTTTTTAATCCATCCAGATCTGCTTACGGAGGAACCCTCGGGGTTAGCGCTAGCCTTGGGTAAGAGGTTTTCTGTTTTAATTAGAATTTAAACAATCCAATTCATTCAGGCAGTGTCTGGCGGCCACGGTTGGGGTGAGGGAGCTGGGGGGGGGGTTCTGGTGTGTCAGGGTCTCACACGTGGGGCACGGCTGGGCTGTGACCTGGCAGCTTTTGCTGGGAGATGCTCGGTGAGTCACTTCTCCCCGTGCCTCAGTTTCCCCGGGAGCGGCGGTGACTCCGGTGGCTCGGCGCTGGGCACGGGCGGGTGGTTGTTGACGGTGCCGTCGGGTTGGTGACGGGCGACCAAAGTCCCCGCCGGGCGCGCGGAGACATAGAAACCCGGCAGTACCGCCTTGCACAGACAGCCCTGGCCATCTCCCCGCCAGGTTCTCCACCGCCGTCCCCATGTTCAGCAAGAAGTCCTACGACGGCCCCCCCACGGGCTACGGCCCCCCCACGGGTTACGGGCCCCCCACGGGTGATTATGGCTACGACTATGGTGCCCGCTCGCCCCCGCCGGGCTCTTACTACATCGAGGACGTGCCGCAGCACTTCTACAAGTGGACCTCTCCACCCGGCGTGGTGAGGATCCTGGAGGCCATGGTCATCCTGCTCTGCATCGCCATCTTCGCCTGCGTGGCCTCCACCCTGGCCTGGGAGTACAGCTACGGCTTCGGGGGGGCTTACGGCAACGGGCTGGGGGGCTTCTACGGCTCTGGCTACTACGGCAGCAGCTTGAACTACGGTTACGGGGGCTACTACGGCGGGGTCACCAACCCGCGGGCGGCCAACGGGTTCATGATCGCCATGGCCGTGCTCTGCTTCCTGGCCCAGCTGGGGTTCTTCGTTGCCAGCGTCAGCAAATCGAGGAGCTCCCGCTCCCGGCGCTTCTACCTGGTGGTCATCGTGGCCTGCGCCGTGCTGGCCTTCGTCATGCTCATCGCCTCCATTGTCTACGTCGTGGGCGTCAACCCCCAGGCCCAGATGACCGGCAGCTACTACTACAACCCCATGCTGACCATGTGCAACCAGATATACAGCAACACTTACATGAACCAGTACCTCTACCACTACTGCACCGTGGACCCCCAGGAGGTGAGGGTGCACCCCAACTCCGGCCAGACCCCCCCCCCCCCCCACTTTTTGAGCCAAACTGGTGGCTCAAACCCTTTGCTCTGCTTCAAACGTGATGCAGCGTGGGAGGGAGAGCATCGGTGATGGGGTTTTTCTGGTCTGTCTTTAATGGTTTTGGTGGTACTGGTCGCCATTTCGGGATTGCGGAGGGCAGGAGGGGGCTGCTGGTGCTGGGTGCCAGCCCCGCTGGGGTTGCAGGAGGAACTGGGGCGAGCTGTCTGCCTGCACTGGGGAGTTTCGGGGAGGGGATGGGCTGCTGGCCTGGCGCAGACCCGGTTTCTGGTACTTTGGTCTCCCTGGTTGTAAAAGTATTTGAACAAGGTTGGGGCAGGGGCAGGCTGTGCGTGCTGGGATGGGTGTAGGGTTGGGGTGCCAGCTCTCCCCAAGCACCCAGGACGCTGCCAGCCCAGTTTGGGACCCCAGTGGGGCAGCGGGAGCCCTCAAAACAAAGCTCAGCAGCCCCAGTTTCGGCTGGGGCCAGCAGGGATCCTGCGTGGCACATGGGCTGGGACTGGTGCTGCCGGTTCCCAGCCGGCCGAGCTGGCCGTGCCGCATTCCTGCACCCCGAGCAGGGGGGGAGCCGCGGCACCCGCGCTGCTCCACGCAAAGGCCAAGCCTGGCCTAATCCGTCCTTGCCCAGCCCCAATTTCAGGGCAGCTGCAGGGAAATGGCTCATGGGGACCCATCCGGGCAAGGACCCCGCTGCGCGGTGCAGGACTGGCCCGTGGCCACCCCGGCAGTGGGGTCGGGGTGCTGCACGGAGATGCCGGAGGGTGCGGCGGCTCCCTGAGCCCCAAACTTGTTCTGTCCCCATGGGAAAATCAAGCACACCCCCCCCCCCCGTTGTTTGAACTGGCCCCAAAAGCTCTCGAACCCCTGATGGGTGCGATCCCGCCTGCTCGGGCACGGGAGGACCCTGCCCGTCTCCCCTTGGTGGGGGGTTCCAACATCAGGAGGATTTTGGGGTGAGGGGAGCAATTCCCACTCAGCCCAGGGAGGGGTGGGGGTACCTGAACCCCCAAGATGGGGCCTTCACACCCTGAGAGCCCCCTCCCTCCATCCCTCCAGGCCGTGGCCATCGTCTGCGGGTTCCTCATCGTCATTCTGCTCTGCCTCATCTGTTTCTTCGCTCACAAGACGCGGAGCAAGATCTGGAAGTACGGGAAACCAAACATCTACTGGGACAAGGTGCCGGTGGTCCAGGAGGGTCCCAACGTGGAGGAGTGGGTGAGTCTGAGCGTGGGTTGAGGGTGCCAGTGGATACCTGGGGGTGGGGGGGGTCTTCTGCCACCTCCCCCCAAGCATCCTCCCTGCTCACCCTTTCTCAGTGGGGCTGACTGTGCCCGAGGCAGCGCAGGATCCCCGGGATGTGCTGGGGCAAGCGGAGGGGACCCTGGGGGGGCTCTTCCCGGCACGGGGGCTGTGCCAAGCTTTTTCCAGGAGGCTCTTTCTCCTTGGTTTGTGCCAGCCCGGTGCCTGGCCCCGGTGTGTTTGCACACCATAGCTCCCAGGGTACGGCGTTATCACCGCCGGTGCGACGCCGTGCCCGGCGCTCGCCGGATCCTTCCCCGTCACCCCGTTTAGGTGCTCTGTTTTTTCCCAGTACCGTTTCCCCAGCACCCCCAAGGCTTTGGTCAGGGTGCCAGACTGGGTGAGCTGGTCTCAAACTCCCTGAAAGACAAACAGGGTGGGATCTGATGGGCCGGGTGCCAGCAGCCCAACGCAGAGGCTCCGGGTGTTCTCCCCTTTGCTCGCCCTGCACTCGGCGATGCCGGCGGCTGTGAGTCGCTGCCTGTCGGCACCGTTTGGTTTCAGTCTCAGCAATGATTAACTCTGCTCCATGGGGCCATGCCACCCCGTTGCTGGTTTGCAGAGACCAAACTGGTGCTGTTTGGGCTTTGAAAGCCCGTGTCCCTTGGGTGGGGGGTGCTGGGGAGCCCCCCCACCGCGGCTCAGCCCCCTCGGTCTCAGGGAGATGCCAGTCCCAGGCTCTCCCCACTGTGTACTGGGATGTGCCCCATCCTGTCCCTCACCCTGCAGTCCCTGAGCCGGTGTCTCTGCAGGAGCCGGTGCCTGGGGAGGGTGTGGGAATTCCACAGCATCCCGTGGGGAAGGAGCCTTTGAAATCCACCCCCGCCCCAGAGCACGGCTCTCGGGGTGCTGTGGTGTCCCTGTCACCAGCCCCATCCTGTCCTTGTCCCCATCCCAGTGAGACCAGGGTAGCCCAAGGTGGGGGCTCAGGCACTGAGGTCCCATGGGAGCCTGGCGTGGGGACATTTATCCCATTTATCCCAACCCTTCAGTGCAATCCCAGAGTCAAGCACCACAGTTGCTCTCCAGGCCCAGAAAGCTTGGCTCCGCTCTGAGCATTGTCCCCACACCTCGCTCGGTGTGTAGGTCTAATATTTATTTTTCATTTTGCAGAAATACCTTTGTTCTGCTTTATTTATTTTTTGTTAAAAGGCCCTCCCTTGCAAAGCATTTCCTGGTCTGCTGGGGACTGGGCTGGCTGGAGGGGCAGGGCCCCACACACCCGGGGTCCCCCTCACCTGCCCTTGGCGGGGGGTCCCCACTCTGCTTGGATGCCACCATCCCGTCTGGGTGGGGTCACCCACCAGTGACACGTCCCTGCTCGGTGGGGATGCAGTGGTGGGGAGGTACTGGGGTGTGAAACCCTCCTGGGATGTCTCGTTCCTTGTTTATGGTCGGAACCGAGATAAACGGGTGACCTTCGAGCGGGCGTGAGCCGCCGGGTGCCGCTGCCTCTGTCCTGACACAGCACGGGGACGTGGCTGTCCCCATGCTGGTGGCCGTCTTACCTGGTGGCAGAGCAAGGCCAGGAGCAGTCCCCAATTAACCATGTCTTCATTAGTTGGGGGGGGGGGGGGTGGGAAGTGCCAGAGGAAGCGGCTTTGCCGGCCGGATCTCGCAGCTGACGTCCCCAGGGCCACCGTCCCGGGCAGGGACAGGCTTCTGGCACAAACAACCCACAAAGGCCAGGAAGGAAGGGGGAGGGAGGGACGGACAGACGGACGCCCCACGTCCTCCTTGAGGAGCCCTGACTGTGCCGGGGCAGCAGCGAGGGTCTGGGATGGGGAGGAGGGGAAGGGGTGATGCTGGATGGGCCAAGCGTGCAGCCCCCTGGTAAAGCTGGGGAGGTGTCACCCTGGGGGTGCAGAGCAGGGCGCCAGGACCCCCTCCCCGAGCTGCGTGTCTGTCTGTGCTTGTCTCCCAGTGGGACCTGCTGCGGTGGCTCCGTCCAGGGCGGCATCGCTCACGGTGGCACTGGGGTCTGTGGGCCCTTCTGTGGGGCACATCCTGCAGCCTCTCCCCTCCCCAAATGCTCGCGGGGGCTCCCCACAACTTCTGTCTTCATAGCCGTGAGGGACACCCCACTGCAGCTCTGCTGGGGCTCCGGGCAGGATTGCTGCGGCTGCTCCGGGGATTTCTCCAGCCCTGTGGGATGGGGACCAGTGTTGTGCCTGGAACCAGTGTCCCTGTGTGCCTGGGGCCACCGTCCAGGCCCCGCTCGAGTGCGGGTGAGTGTCCCCCACCGTCCCAGCACACAGCTGAACGCCGCTTCTCTGCTCCAGGTGAAGAACGTGGCGGATGGGGCCAGCGTGCAGGACGAGACAGCCACGCTCGCCTACTCGGAGAAGCCGACGAGCCCCATCACCGCGCCACCCTACAGCCCCCCCTCCTACAGCTACCCCCCCCAGAACGGGTACTACCCCTCCGGGACCTACAGCAGCCGAGGGTGAGTGGCCAGGCAGGGCGTGGCAGGGCTTGGGGTGGGGATGGATGGACGGACAGACACACCCCGGGCACACATCCTCCCCCATGTCCCCGTGTCCCTTGTAGTGACCAGCCAGACCGGGCGCTCAGCCCCAGCCCGGCGGAGGAGAAGGTGCGGGAGCAGCCCACCAAGCCCCCCGCCCGCCGCGGCCGCCGCCGCCGCCGCAACCCCGAGCTGGACGAGTCGCAGTATGAGACCGACTACACCACGGCCGTGGAGTCCGGTGACGAGCGGGACCAGGACCAGTGGGCCAGGTGAATGGTGGGGACACACACACCCCGCTGGGAGCACCCCCTGCCCCTCCCCACCTCCAGGGCCTGACCCTGCCCCTCTCCCGCAGCCTCTACCCCCCCATCTCCTCGGACGGCACCCGCCAGAAGTACAAGCAGGAGTTCGACACGGACCTGAAGCGCTACAAGCAGCTCTGCGCCGAGATGGACAGCGTCAACGACCGCCTCAACCAGCTGAGCAAACAGCTCGACAGCATCTCCGAGGACAGTCCCCAGTACCAGGTCAGGGCTCTCCAGGGGCCACGGGGATGTTGTGGGGCCACTGGGACACGGCAGGGCACTGGGGATGGGTGCTGTGGGGCATCAGAGGTGCTACAAGTTGTTTGGGACATCGGGGATGCTTTAAGGTGTTGGGGACATCAGGGATGGATGCTGTGGGACATCGGGGATGCTGCAAGGTGTTGGGGACATGAGGGATGGATGCTGTGAGACATTGGGGATGCTGCAAAGTGTTGGGGACATCAGGGATGGATGTTGTGGGACATCGGGGATGCTTTAAGGTGTTGGGGACATCAGGGATGCTGCAAGGTGTTGGGGACATTGGGGATGCTGCAAGATGTTGGGGACACTGCAGGGCATCAGGGATGCTGTGGGGTCTCAGGGACACTACCAGACATTGGGAATGCCACGGGGCATCGGGGATGCTGCGGGATACAGGTCACTGCTGGTCCCCATGGGGCAGCGACCCCCATGGCCCCCGGCTATGCTGCCCAGTGACCCCCGCCTCTGCCCCCATCCCCCCCCATCCCTTTTCAGGATGTCGCAGAGGAGTACAACAGGCTGAAGGACCTAAAGCGGGTGAGTGTCAGAGCGGGGCCGGGCTCTGTTTCCAGCTGAAGTGGGGCTGGGTTGGTGCGATGCAGCTGGGGGGGGCTGGGGGGGGTGGTGTGGGTAGGAAGCGTTGCGGGGTGGAAACCAGCCCCCTCCCCATGGCCCACGCGGCTGAGGCTGGTCCTGGGCTGCTTTTCAGAGCCCCGACTACCAGACAAAGAAGCTGGAGACCAAAACCCTGCGCAACAAACTCTTCCACATCAAGAGGATGGTGAGCGACTATGACAAGGTGCGGGGGTAGCCTGTGTCCCCCCCCGCTGCCATAGCAGGATGGGCACGAGGGGCTCCCTGCTCCCCTCCCTACCCCCCCTCCAAAGACTTATGTGCATTTTGTACCTTTGTATAAAAAAAAAAAAAAAACAAACCCAAGAGTCAAAGCCACCCTGTGATGTTAGTGCCAAGGGTGCGGGGCCGGAGGCGGCTGCTGGAGTGAGCCCCCCCGCCCCCTCTATGTGTGCCCCCCCTGTGCCTTCTCCTGTATGCTGGGGGCTGTGGGTCCCCTCCCACTGCTGTAAATGTTTGGGGAGGGTCTGCTGCCCCTGCCCACACCAGGGTTGGGGTACCAAAATGTGGCTGTAGCCTGGTGCCGGCAGGGATGGGGCAGAGCATCCCTCAGCTGGGCAGTCGGGAGGGGCAGAGCCCCACATCCCCTGAGCCCCCAGGGCTGCCCTTTGGGGCATAGCCCAGGGCAGAGGTGGTATTTTATAAGGAACTGGCTGAAACTGTGTAATATTTTTTTTTTTTTTTTGTTAAAGAAATAAACTGTATCTATTGATTTTAAATCAGTGTCGGTGTGACTGGGGTCATGGCAGGGCCAGGTTCTGGGAGAAACTCCATGTGTAGGGAGAAACCCCAAAATCCTACCTTGGGGGGCCCCTCAAATCGCCCACCTTGCTCCCTGAAGTCCAGGTACAAACCTCTGTGCTGGCTCCTGCTCCCCTTCATGCCGCTGAGCCGGTTCTTTCCCAGCAGACTGCAGGCAACAAGATTTATTCCTGAGGGACCCCTGTGTTGAAGAACATCACCCAGGAGTCCCCCACAAAATCCCCAGGGTTTCCGAAAACCATCCAATTTTAGGTGCCTTATTCGGGCTTGAGTTTTTGGGGCTGCAACTCCCACTTTGCTTCACCTCCCTCCACCACCCCAGGGTAGGCTTCAGCATTGCTGCAGGATCAGCCCCTTTCCCTGCTCACAGCGGATCCCCGGGATTGTAAGAAACATCTTTTATTGACTTCAGTTAATTTGTTTTAGTATCATTGAACAAGGATTATATTTTCAGTGAATCAATCTAAATGACAAATCCTCGGCTAATCCTGCCTCCGTCTGTCTGCATGGTGGATACCCCTGAGAAGCAGAACCCTGGGGGGGGGGAACCACAGGGCATCCCCCATCCCTCTGCGGTGGCTCTGCCCCCCATCTCTGTGTGCCCCTTTCTCTGGCACAGCTCAGCCCTGGGGACAAGGACCATCCCTTTCCAGCCCAATTTTGGTATGTCTCCCCCTCACAACTCTCTGACCCAAACCTGGCTTAAAAAACCCAAAAATAATTAGGCACAGAAACACAGCGAGCATGGGGGATGCTGGCACCCATCTCCCCCAGTGCGGGGAGGGTGGTGGGTGCTGGATCTGGCCCAGGGTGGGGGGAAAAGCACCAAGCGAGGTGGGGGGGGGGGGGGGGGGGGCAGGGGAGGAAAGGAGAAGAGCAGGACAAACCCAAAAAGGACTGCTTGGTTTGCACCCTGCATGGTGCATGGCCCCAGCCAGCTGCTTATGTACCCCATCTCCTCCCCTGTACCCCCATCCCCACCCATGAACCCCCCCGCCTCCTCATGCCCCAACAGTGGAGATGCTTCAGGGAAAAGTGCAGGGGGCAAGGAGGGGGGGGGGGGGGGGGGGCTGGGACCAGGCATGGACAAACCGAGTCCCCAAAAAGGGGCTGCTCCAAGCTCAGTGCTTCAGTCCTCGAGGCTGGATGCAGCCTGGGCAGGAAGGGGCAGCCCCCCCCACCCCCAGCAGAGCACAAAGGGGCTTTAAAATGACCCTTTTTCCCCCCATTGCCAGGACTGGGCTGGGGGGAGAGGCAGGGGGTCCCGCAGCTGGACCCCGCCCCAAGGATGGCTCTGCATAGCCAGGCCCCCCCACACACACCCCCCCCCCAGCCTGGCTGGTCTCACCTCCCTTCACCTCTTGTCATCTGAAATTCAGATTTGGGCGGGCAGCCAGAGGACAGCGTCCCCCTCTCTGGGCTCCAGCCCGGCTCCGACGCAGGGACAGAGCGAGGGACCAGCCCCGGGGATGCTCCAATGTCCCCGGGGGGGGGCCAGGGAGCTCCACTTCAGCGGGGTACAGAAGAGTTCGGTGTCCAACAGCGGCGGCACGGCCAGTACCTTTGGGGTTAGGAGGGCAACGCCGCGACCCCGCTGCTTTTGGGGGGACGGTCGAGCTACCAGACGGCTGCGGGGCAAGGGGGCCAGCGCAGTTCGGGGCTCCCCAGGGACGGCACCATCTTGGGGTGCTGGAGGGAATCCGAGTCCGGCTGCTGGGGGTCCCTGGGCAGAGGTGGGGAGGAGAGGCTCTGTCCCCTACTGCCCCGTCCCATAGGGCCAGTTGAAGGTGCTCCCGGACAGCAGCATGTCCCTGATTAGTGTTTCGATGGGCGTCTTCCCCACCAGCCTCATGAAGAAGAGCTGGGAGATGAGGGCGGCCGGCACGGCCCGGAGCGCCGGCAGCCGCAGCAGGAGCCGGCCGAAGCGCTGGGGCTGCGAGGGGTACTGCGACCGCACGTACTCCGTGAGAGCCACCTGCGCCTTCTCCTGCAAGCTCTCCACGTGCGCCGGGTCCGAGAGGCCGCAGGCATCTGCGAGAGGGATGGGATGCAGAAGGGGGTCAGTGGTCGGAGCCTCCCCGATACCCCCAGATTGCCCCCGCCTCGACCGACGCCGAGTCGGGGGACACAGCGCGGTGCGAGAGCGTGGCTTGGCTGCGAAGGGCTGCTGCAGGCTCGTGCCTGTTAGGAAGGACCAAGCACCTCTGCAGCATGAGATAAGCACGGATGGACCATGATATGGGGCTCCCCAAGATTCCCCCCCACCCCGGTGGATGGAGGGGGGGATATTTGTGTTCCTGCAGGTCTCATTCCCATTGCCCCGGGGAAGCTCATCCCTGCACCCAGGCGGATAAGCAAACCGTGGTAAAGTGCCAGGGCATAAGGACCCCCTTCCATCCCCCTCCAAGAGCCGTGTGATGCTCTCTGGATCCCAAAGCCCCAGGGAAATGGCAGGGTGGGGGGTCCCAGCTCCGCGGGGCAGTCGGGAACGGAGCCTGGCCACAGCACCAACCTACCCGGCGTGAAGAGCGCGATGGCTTTGAGGCAGCTGTACTCAGCCGAGTCCACCTGGAGCCGGTTGAGCTTCTCCACCTGATCCTGGAAGATGCGGATCTGGTCCATGAAGGAGACGACGCGGTCGGCCGACATAGGGGAGGCGTGGAAGCCGGCAGCGGCCAGCAGCGGGGCCATGTGCAGCGGCAACGCCGACTGTGCCGCGTTGAGGACGAAGAGCTCGCTCCAGCTGAGCCGGAGCAGGGCTACTTGGTCGGAGACGGGCAACTCAGGGAAAAAGGGGATGTTCCGGGCCCATTCCACCGTGCTGAAGAGGAGGCGGGCGGCCAGCTCGCAGATATTGTCGATGCCCATGACGCTGCCCTGCTGCGCGTACTGCGAGCCGTAGCGGGCGGCCGGGTAGGGCTCAGCCCGCAGCAGTTGCGAGATGAGCTCCGACACCGGCTGCCCGTTGAAGTATTCCCCACTGGGCATGGTGTTGGGGCTGGTGCTGGAGTGGGTGGGGGGGATCCGGCCCCGCTGCACAGCTAGAGGGGAGAGGAGAGGTGTCTGCTTGCTTCTGCATCCCCCATCCTGCTCCCAGGGTGGGTAAACAGGGCTCTCCAGCCCTGTGAAGGGTGAGGAAGGACGGGGATGCTCCCGCCACCCACCCAGCACCCTGGCATCCCCGGCAGGGCCGGATCCTGCCACCCTTGGGGAACAATGGTCAGCTTGCAGGGAGAGGGAGGTGGTACGTGCCGCCTGCTGCGCCCGCCGGCGAGCTGCCTGCAAGAGCTACACTCATCTCTTTAAAATCCCGGTGATTCACCAGCAACTCCCAGGCTGCCAGCGCCGCGGCTTGGCCGTGGCCTCCGACCAGCAGCCGGGCTAGGACAGCGTCCCTGTCACCTCCTCCTCTGCAAGGACCCGGCCCAGGAGCAGCCCCGGCTGCGCTGTGCCAGACCGGGTGCCCCCCCCCCCCCCCCCCCCCGCGATCTGGCTGCAGCGGAACAGGGCGACTGCTACCCAAGGTCATCACATGGCAGCAATCATTTATTTGCAAATAAAACGTCCATCTTGGAAGCGTCGTTAACCCTGGGGCACTGCCCCTCCTAATTGCATTCAGGGAGAGCCATTTTTCAGCTCCCCCCCCTCTCCCATTAGCGCCCACTATTTGCTCAGTCCCTAGTAATTAATTTATGGGCTGTTCATGAGCCACTTAAATGAGAGCTCTAAATCATGCTAAGTGGCAATAATGCCATCTTGACTCCTCTGGAAAGCAGGGAATTACTGTCCTGCTTCCAGTAGCCTTCCCCCTCTTTGCTCCTCGCATTAATGCCACCCGCTGCCGAGCAGCCCCGGCAGAGCCCGTGCCGAGCCCAGGCATCCCCATCCCACCATGGGGGGATCTGAGATTTGGGGCTTCGTCCCGTTTGCAACAGCTTGGGAAGCCTTTGGGGTTCACACCCCCCCCACCCTGCCCGGGTGATGGGGAGCAAGCAGAAAGCGGGCAGGGGATTTGCACGGCCCCGGTCATGCCGGGAGCCCGTCCCTGCCGACCTCCACCATGCGTGGGGCACCGGGGCCGTTGCGGCTCCAGGTGTGTCACCTTATCAGCTCAAGGCTTTTCCAAACAAACACCACCTGCGCTGCCAGCACTGAGGGCAATTCAAGGAGAAAAAAAAAAAAAAAAAGAACTAAAAAATAGAAAAAAAACAAAGGGAAAAATGGGGGGCATTGATGCAAACAGGGTTCCCAGGGAGGGGGTTCTGCAGTGGGAGCGCGGCGGGCACTGGCAGCACTGGGAACTCGTGGCTGGTGAGGCAGCAGCCTCACGCTGCAGCAGTGGAGTTCACTGGGACCCCTCAGGAACTCTCCCCGCGGCGCTGGCGTTACCTTCCTTCCTCATCCCCACACGGAAACACTTCTTCAGGCGGCAGTACTGGCATTGGTTGCGGTGGTGCTGGTCGATCTGGCAGTCGCGGTTGGACCTGCGGGCAGGACCGGGCAGAGTGAGGTGCCAGGGAGGAGGGATGCGATGCTGCTGGGGGTCCCTGCACCCCACACCCTCCCCCCCCCCCCCAGCTGCTTCACCACCCACTTTCCCAGCACCCTTGGGCAAAGCCCTTTGCCTCGGAGCGTGGCCCCCTCCGCCGCTGTGCCACGCCAGCCCCCAGCGTGCCGATACAGGCACTCCCAGGCGGCACTTGGATGCTATGGAAACAGCCATTTCCTACAGCAGGGGCTACCAGTTGGCATCAGGGGCTACCAGTTGGCATTGCCAGCGATGCCCAGGGCAAGTGGGGAGACACCCCCCACCCACCCCCTCAAGGGCATGGGGTTCCCATCCTTCCCATCCTCAGGGACATGTAGGGACCGGTGCCAGGGAGTGATGCCCCAGTGTCCCAGCAGCCTCCTCGCCAGACATGTGAGGAATTTTGAGGAATTCCAAGTATTTCTTCGGGGCCAGGGCTGCCCCCACGGAGCCCGTGACCCCTCGGGCACTGAGTGCTTGCCGGGTCCCCCATGGCAGTGGGCTCCATGGGACCCTGCGAGCGTGGCAAAGCGAAACCCGGCAGCGCGGGGTCTGCACCGGCTGGAGAGACACTTTCCCCCCCCTCCACGAGCAACCTCAGAGCCTGCAAGGGGGTTGTGCCCACCCCTTGGCACACGGGTCCTGCCCCAGGCAAGGAGCCGTGGGCACTGGGTAGCCCTGCACCATGCGGTGAGGCACCAGCCACCCCCAAAGGCAACTCCTGCGGCATCACTGCGGGAAACACTCCCGAACGGCATCGTTAGCACCCAAATCCCCCCCCAGCCCCCGTTCCCAAAGGCCACCTCATGCTCACGGGCCCTGCACGGCCCAGCTATGGAGCGGGGCACGGGTGACACCGGGCGCTCACATCCCACTCAAAGTCCGTGGCAGCAAACGGGGAGAAAAGTGGGGTTATCAGCAACCCAGCAATGAATTAAGGCACGGAAAGCAGTGAGCAGGAAAGCGCAGGCAGGGCCGGGCCGCGCCGGCGTCCAGCAGCAGCTCAGCTCTGCCTGGGAATCCTGACACGAATCTCCTCATCCTTACACGACTCCAGAGGCGAGACAGGCAGGGATTCCCACCGCGCTCAAACCGGAATTAATTCACCCCGAACATCACCACTGCGCTTAGCACATTTTAAAACGTGTTGCTGATAAAAAGTTATTCCAGCAGAGAAGTGATAGCTAATCAAAACGTCAGATTACATCTTCATCAGCTGCCTGCACCGCGGTGGTGGTAAAACTCCCAGCACAGCAGCCGAACCTCCCGGCCCAGGGCCTGGCGGACCCTCACCGTGGCCTCGGGGCACCATTCCCAGCACCAGGAAAACCCCAAAATCATCTCAGCTCCTGCCAGCGGGCTCAGAGCAAGTTTCCCAATTGATAGGCTGCAGCGACCTGGGAAACTGTGAGAATACAAAAGGCGTATACTGTGCTAATTATGTAATTAGAACATGTAATTATTTAGTGCAAGAACTAAACTGAATCCAACTCACTTTTAATATTCAAATTAGAGCAATCTTGGCTTGATGCTGCTTTTGACTCCTTGAACAAAGCAGATGCCAGGGCTGCCGGGGGAGCATTGTTCCTGGCCCCTCCGACACTTTACTCCCTACTTGGAAAACCAACGTTTTTCTATTGCACCAAATCATTTCCCAGCACAAATTGGGGGGGGGGGGGGGGGGGGGGGGGGAACCAAACCCACAAAACACCTGAAGTAGGTGCCCAGATACCAGTGACAGGCACAGGATAAAATCTTGGATGCTCACAACCCGGGAGAAGCCCCTCCATCACCCCCATACGGAAACGGCATCTGGGACGCAGAGTCCGTCCCCCTCCCGGGGAGCCCTGATTTGGCCTTTCCTTTGTTCCAGGAAAGTGGAATTTCTCAAAAGCCATATGTATTCCCCATCTTCAAATCATTAATCCTGAGCAGGCGCTCGGCCGAGTCTGCTGGTCGGGATCCTGCTGATCAAGAGGGGAAACTGAGGCAGGGCCAGGGGCGACGCATCCGCACGCGCTGCATCCGTGGGCGGGCGATGGGGGGGGGGACACGGACACACTGCAGGGCCAGGGCTGAGGGGAACCAAACCCGGCCCCACGCCGGCAGCTCCGGGGCCCCATGCCACGGCCACGAGCAGCTCGGCTGACGTCAGCCGGGACCCGGCAACGCCGGTGCCGGGAGCTTGCCGGGAGAAGAGATGCTGCGCACGGGGGAGGACGAATCTAGGCCGCCCAAACGAGAGCAAGGCGGCTCCGGAGACGGTTCCCGCCGCAGAAGCGACGCTGCCCCTTCCCTTCCCGCAGCGTCTCAGCGCCACGAGCTCAGAGAAGGGAAGAAAACGGGGTGCAGAGGTGGGGGTGCCCCATTCCCAGCCCGGCGGCGGGGTGCTGCCGGCTGGGATGCGGGTGCCATCCTCGCAGCACCCTCACTGGTTTAGCAAGAAGCGCTTGCACGTGGATCCAGACGTGCGAGCGAGCCCCTACAAACACATTTCCCCCCTCCAGAACTGGAGGTGTGTATGGTGGGGGGGGGGGGGAGCTGCCCCGCGTGCCCGATGCTTCTTCCGAGCCCAACAGAAACTCTAGAGTTCTCCACAGCTCCAAACTTCGCAGGGGGGGGTCGTATCCCGGTGCTGCTGGTGGGCCCGGATCTGCTGCAGCGCTGGCCCGAGCGTGGGGGCCTGGGGAGGGAAGTGGGGGGGCCACAGCTCTAATTCCCACCATCTCACCGGATTGTTGCCCACAGCAAGCCGGGCTGTTGACACCTCCGGTTAAAATTATACTCGCTGCCACTACTGGTGATTCCTCTGGGTAAGAGCAGCCGTGACCGAAGTGACTCACAGCCCCGGCACGTTTTTAGGCGTTATTAGCCTGGAACGGTAATTAATGCCGGAGCAGAGCTGGGCGATGACGAGGACCTGGACACTGGCTGTGGCCCGTGGCCCAGGGGCAAGCAGGGCATCCATCCCTCCGAGGGCTGGGGATGCGCCAGGCAGGGGGGGGGCTGCTGCTGCTGCAGGGAGGCAGAGGATGGGGGGGGACCCTTGCGCCGCACTGGGGGCCACCGGGCCGCCCCATCGAGGCCCCCCCCGTTCGCGCTGCAGCGGGGCCAGCGCGGAGCTGCACCGGGGGCCACTGCAGAGCCACGCCGGGCAACCGCCACGGTGGGGACCAGCGAGAACCAGCAGCGTGGGGGGGGGGTGTGGGGGGGTGGGGTCACCCTTAAACCCGCAACCAGCCCCCCCCCCCCCCCCGCCCCCCCCCGGCCCCTACCTGCAGGTGTAGCTGAGGTTCCTGCGGATGCTGCGTTTGAAGAAGCTCTTGCAGCCCTCGCAGGTGAAGACCCCGTAGTGTTTCCCGCTGGATTTGTCCCCGCACACCACGCAGTCCACGGCCGCCCCGGCCCGCTCCTCCTCGCCGTGCTCCGCGTCGCTGCCGCCGCCCGCGGGGGACGCCGCCTCCTCCCCGCCGCCGCCGCCGCCGCCGCCGCCGTTGGGCTCGCCCCAGCCGCCGGCCACCATGGCCATGGCTCCGCGGCCCCGGGGCTCAGCACCGGCCCCGCCGCCGCATGGAGCCCGGCGCCTCCCGGAACGAGTTGAGCAAGTTTGGGTTTTTTGTTTGTTTTTTTTTTTTTTTTTTCCTTCTTTTTTTTTTTTTTTTTTGGGGGGGGGGGGGGGAGCGGCGGCCGGTTTGGGATTTTTTTTGTTTGTTTTTTCCCCCCCCCCTTATCCCAAGGCTTCTTCCCTCCCTCCCTCCCTCCCTCCCCCCCCCCCTCCTCCCCGCGTTAACGGGGGGGCCTCGCGGAAACTTTACGGCGGCGGGAGCGGGGCGCGGCGCGGCGCATCCCCCCGCGGGGCACGGCGGCTGCCCCGGGGCTCGGCCGCATGCGGGGGCCGCCGCCGCCCGCCCCCGGTGGCTGCTCCGCTCCGCGGCACCGGCAGGGAAGGAGGAGGAGGAGGAGGAGAAGAAGGAGGAGGAGGAGGAGGAGGCGGCGCTGCCCCGGCCCGCCCTCGCCCCTACGGGCCCCGCCGCCGCCGCCGCTGCATGCAGCCCGGTCCGGTCCGGCGGGACCCGCTCCGCCGAGCCCCGGGGCTCTCCCCGCCTCCCGCGAAAGAGCAAAGTTCAGCCGCTGCCGCGGTGGCCGCCCTGGATGCTCCTCCCCGTCCTCCTCCCCTTCCGCTCGCCGCCCGCCGGGTCCTGCCCCGGCCCCGGCCCCGCCGAGCCCGGGAAGGGGAGGAGGAGGAGGAGGAGGAAGGGGAAGGAGGGGGGAAACCGGTCGGGGAGTCCCGCCGCACCGGAGCAGGGTGGCCGAGAGCACCGGTTGTAACGGAGGCGGGTACGGGCAGGGCGGTGCTGGGGCCTGGCAGGCGGTTTTGGCCGGCAGAGGTGGTTGGAGGTGACCCCCCCACACACACACCCCTCACCCCCCGTTTGGCCTTTGGGGACCCATCGCTGCCCCCCCCCCCCCCCCCCGCAGGGTGTGGCATCTTGTGGTGCCCGGGGTGCTGGGGCCGTGACGTGCCCTGCGGTCCTTGTCCCCCCTCCCACCCCAACAAGTGACCCCTAAACTGCAGCCTGCGGCAGCGGGGAGCCCAGGGGCAGATTCACCACCGAACGCTGCCCTTGGGGACGGGGACCAAACCCCGGCCCCGCTGTAACCGTCGTGATATGGGGGGTGACACCGTTGGGGGGGGGGGCCGTGGGCCGCGGCAGGAGGATGGGAAGCTGTTCCCCACGCCTGGCCGGTGGCCAAGCCGCTGGCATCGGCAATCCCCTCTTCTTGCCGACATTCCCAGCGGGATCTTTAATTACTGCAAGCGGTGCGAGGCCACGGCTCCTCGTCTCGTGTGGGGCACGAGGGCCGGGGTTGTGCCGTGGGGGTGCTCCCACAGCACTCGGGGGTCCCTCCACCCTGGACGGTCACTGGGCCAGCGTGAAGGGCTGGAGGGGGCCGGGATCTGGCTGCCGGCAGCCCCGTAAAATCTGTTTGTAATGTGGTTAATCAAGTCGGACCCATAAGAGCTCGTCAGTCGGCCCTTGCAAGAAGGGGTGGGCTGGGGTGGTGGCTGGGGGGTGCGCAGCACCCGCCTGCTGCCACCCTGTTAATCATTAACGAAGAAATAAACTGTGCGGAAAGGTGCTTGACCCAGGAGCAGCCCTTGCGATATCGCCCTGCCTTCGCCTTTCACCTGGGGGCCAAACTCTCCTCCCGGCCGTGCCACGGCAGCCCCGGTGTCTCCCGGCAGCACGGCTTTCACCTTGACTTCAGGGGCAAAGTCCGGCGGGCAGGGAGCGGGGCTGGGCTGCGGGTGGGCTGGGTGTCCCCCACGCACCCCTCGGGGCAGGCTTGTCCCCAGGGGGGACCGGGATGCTGAGGATGCTGATGCCAAGCGATGCCCACGGCGCGAGGACGGGCTTGGCCTTTCACGGCCCCTTGTGCCACCAGCCCTGGCATTCCCAACCCACACGCTGGGGCCGGCGTTTCCGTCGGGAAAGGCGAAGCAAAACGGGCTGGATATAAAAAACTCCGGCCAAGCACGGAGCCCGCAGCCGGGGTGCAGCAGAGGCGGAGGAATTATGGCTCCAGCCATAAATAAAACCTCCATTTCCTCCTGTCTGGAGGGATCTCTGCTCACCAGGTACCTGCTAACACGGCCATGCCGAGGTGCCCGGCATGGGCTGCTGTGGTTGGGGAGCAACACCCAGCAGAGCCAGCTGGGAAGGCGCCAGGCTTGGAGGGGGGGGTCCCAATGTGGGCAGGGGGGGGTCACCCCCACCTGCAGCCAGCCCCGTTTCTCCTTTCTCTTCTGTCAGGCCGTGATTTATGGCCCTTTCCCTGCCGCTCCCCCGCCTCCTCGCCCCCTGCAAAAAATAATAATCCAGGAACAAAGGAGGAAATTGGATCTTCTCCCCCGCGCGGCTCGCAGCCCCGCGGTGGGAGCGGGGTTTGTTTTGACGTCGGTGTCCAGTTGGCGAAGGCGTTTGATCTCCGGAGGAATTCCTCCTTCCTCGCGCTGCTCCGCTGACTCCACCACACAAAAGGGCCCCTGGGAGCTGCCGGCGCGTTTCGTGCCGCCCCGACGCCCCCGGGAAGGGTCCGGCACGGTGGAGGCGCCCGCCGGGGCTCGCGGAGGTTTCCGGGCTCAGTGTCAGATCCGGATCTGGTGCGGGGTGGCAGCGGAGTCCCCCTGCTCCCCCCCCCAGCCTTTGGGCTGAGGGGGTGATTGAGCGACCCTGGCCAAAATGTGGGGGGGCCGGGCTGGGTTTGTGGCTGTGCCACCGGAGAGCTGGGTGCCAGCACCAATGGTGAGCTGGGTGCCAGCAGCACCAGCGAGCTGGGCACCAGCACTGATGGCAAACTGGGTGCCAGCAGCACCGGCGAGCTGGGTGCCGGTGCCACCAGCCCAGCCCTGGTTACTGGCATCCCAGTTAGCTGTGGGGCATCAGTGCCCTCTCCCAAACCCATGTGGGAGCTGCCAGCAGCGATGCTTCCCCCATGAGGGGCTGTGAAAGGGGTTTAGGTGGGTCCACGTCGGGCAGGATCCGGCCCTGCTCTGCCCTGGAGCAGCCCCCAGCCCCACTTTGCAGCGGGTGCTGCATTCCTGGGGGCCGGATCCTGCTGGCGGGCGGGCATGCGGACACGTGTGTGCGTGCCGTGGGCGACGAGGGCAGGCGTGAGCTGCTCAGGAGCTGGTGGGGGGGGTGGTGGTGAAGGGACCCTCCTGGCCGGGGGGATGTGGGGGGGTCCCGATTCTCCTGCAAGAGGCCGCGGGAACGCGTGACCTTGCAAGGCTGAACCGCGGCCGCGCTGCCGCAAGCGAAGGACAAAGGGAGGCCGGGGCCGGCTGTGCCGCGGCTCCTCAGCTCCCCGGGCAGGGCTGCCCCACAGCCCCGTGCCCCACGGCTGCCCCACGGCACCGTCCTGCGCCCCTCCGCTCCAGCCAGCACCCACCGCGGGCCCGCGCAGTGAACACGCCTCTGCCGAGCACTCACACACGCGTGTGCACGGCACCCAGCAGCCCTACACACGGGCGAGCGCACGCGTGTGCAAGCAGCAGCTGGGGGTTGGGGGGGGGGGGGTGTCCCCACACACACAAGGGCTCCTCTCTCCCCCCTGCAGCACCCCCCCACCAGGGAAAGGCGTTTGTTGCCCCCTGATGCCTCAGTTTTGCCCCCAGCCCTGCAGAGAGGCCAAGGGGGACCCGACCTCCATCACCCCCAGCCCCCACCTTTGTCCCTGGCCCCCCCACCCCACCCCTGGAGAGGGCCGCTCCCTGCCCTGCATTCCCGGGATATCAGATCCCGCACCCCTGGCCCCCACCCAGCCATGGCCAGACGCTCCCTCCCCGGGGGGGCATGAATCACACACCCTCCTAACCCCCCGCCCCCCCCCCCCGCCCTCCCTGCTGCTCCCGTGTCTCCCAGTGTCTCCTCACTGCCTTCACCCCCTGTGACCCCCTCCCCAGCACAGTCTGGCCCCCACTGCTGTGGTGTTTTGCAGCGCCCCCCCCCCTCCCCCCCCACTCTCCCAGGGAATGGGGTGCAGCCCCACACTTGGTCCTGCTACCCAAAGGTGCGGGGGGAATGTGTTGGGGGGGGGGTTTGCTGTTTGCTGTGGCCCCTCAGCCCATGCTGCTCCACAGAGGGGAAACTGAGGCAGGGAGCGGGACAGAACAGCAACATCTTCCAAAGCATAAACTTGGAATGTGGAGCCCTTCGTGGGGGGGTGGGGCCAGGGGGGAGGCTGGAGGTTTTTGGATGCGCATGGGGGTGAACTGTGGGCAAGGAAGAGGGGGGTCCTGTCACTCTGGCTGACACCACGGCACCAGGGGCCCCCAGTTCCCCTCCCCGAGCTCACGGCAGCGGCTCGGGGTGTGCCAGGGTGGGCAGTGTGGCTGGGCCCGGCGCAGCAGTGGGGTACGGGGGAGCCTTGGCCACCTCAGCCCCCCGCAGCTGCCGGGCACAGCGGGACCACCGCAGCCTTGGGCACCCCTGTCCATGTTGGTGCCCCCAGGGGGACCCGCTCCGGCCATGGGGTCAGCGGGACATGGGGGGGTGGGGGGACCCCGCCAGCCGGGGTGGGGGGTGGCAGCGGGTCCCGCCTGCCCTCCCCCTCTTCCCGGCACCCAGGGTTGAAGCCGCCCCGGCCCTTTCATGCGGCTCTCGGTGGAGCCTGACCCCGCACAAAGCCCCCAGGAGCCCATTTGAATCTGAAAAGGGGTCTGAGAGCAGAGCCCTGACCTTCAACCTGCGGGTCAGCCCTTCCACACCACTGCCACTGGCCCCCCTCCTCGGGACCCCCCCACGAGTTGGGCCGAGCCATGGTCCCCACCGGGGCCTGGCACAGGGGATGCAGGCAGGGATGGGGCGGGAGCAGGCAGCACCGGCAGCATTCCCCGCTCTGGTAGCTGGGTGCATGACTTGCCCTTCCGTGCTGCTTATTCCCACATCCCCGCATCCCTGCATCCCCATATTCCTGCTCTGCATCCCTGCCCTGCATCCCTGCACCTCTGTAAACCTACATCCCTGCATCCCCACATCCCTGCCCTGCATCCCTGCATCCCCACATCCCCGCATCGCTGCCCTGCATCCCCACAACCCTGCATCCCTGCATCCTCACATTTCTGCATCCCTGCACCTCTGCATCCCCACATCCCTGCATCCCCACATCCCTGCCCTGCATCCCCAGATCCTCACATCCCTGCATCCCCGCAGTCCTGCTCTGCATCCCTCTCTCTGCCCTCTCCCTCACCATAGCTCTGGATATTGATCCACTGAACCTTGAACTCTGCTGCAGGATCTCTCCGGGGAGACACAGGCCACCGCTTCAGCCTACCCAGAGCTCCGTGCCTCAGTTTCCCTTCCACCCCATGGCGCGCCCAAGCCCTGGGCTGCCCCCACAGCCCTGTGCATCCTCCCACCGGAGACCCACACTCAGCCCAGCTCCCGCTACCCTTGTGCCCCACCATGCTGGGATTCAGCCTGCTGGATTGAGCCCCCCGCTCCCTGCAGCAGCCCCCGCCTGCCCCCCCCCCGCCCGGCACAGCCCTGCTGGTGGGGCCCCCCCCTGCGTGGCGAGGCTGCCCCCGGCGCAGGGTCACTGCTCCTCTTCCCTCCTGAATATGCATGGGCCCCGGCCGCCACGGCCACCGCCATCACCTTTGATCCCACGTCAGGGATAACGAAATGGCTTCATCTGCGCCAGGAGATAGTGGGGGGTGGCGGGGAGGGGGCAGCCTTTGTCCCCGACCCCACTGGGACAAGCCGAGCTGGGGGTCTGGCTGTGTGACCCCCTCCCCAAGCCCAAAGCTCCCCAAACCGTGGTGGGGGGCTGGCCGAGCCACGAGCATCAGTGGTTTATTCTCCCTGGGGATACAGCAGCCGCCTCGAAGCACGGGAGGGGCTTTGGGGGGTGACGTGAGGGGGTGGGGGTGTCCCCCTAGATGCAGGTCTCGGTGTCGGCCGTCCCCTGCTCCAGGGTGTGCAGGCTGCGGGCGAGCGCCTGCGCCTGCCGGGCGTGCTGCCGTCGCAGGGCACCCGCCTGCAGCTCCAGGCGCCGCAGCTGAGCCGCCTGCTTCCGCCGGGCCCCCCGGTACGCCAGGGCCAGCGTGCTGCGGGGGGACACGCTCAACACCCAGGGGACAACACCCCCCCCCCCCCCAACCCCCCCGGGGCACCCAAGCAGGGGGCAAGGAGGGCCGTGGGGTGGGGGGTGGGGAGGGAGCGTGGGTTTGGGGTGCGTAGGAAGGGACCCGGGCATCGGGGGGTGTGCAGGAAGGGATTGCAAGATGCGGCCAGGGGTTTGGGGTGGGCAGGAGGGGAGTGGGGGGTTTGGGGTGGGCAGGAGGGGAGTGGGGGGTTTGGGTTGAGCAGGAGGGGAGTGTGGATTTGGAGTGTGCAGGGGGGGACTGGGGGGTTTGGGGTGGGCAGGAGGGGACTGGGGGGTTTGGGGTGGGCAGGAGGGGACTGGAGGTTTGGGGTGGGCAGGTGGGGAGCGTGGTTTTGGGGTGTGCACAAAGGGACTGTAGGTTTGGGGTGTGCAGGAAGGGACTGTGCATCAAGGGGTGTGTAAGATGTGACCATGGTTTTGGGGTATGTAGGTGGGGACTGTGATTTTGGGGTGTGCAGGAGGGGACTGGGGGGTTTGGGGTGGGCAGGAGGGGACTGGGAATAAAGGGGTGCATAAGATGTGACCATGGTTTTGGGGTGTGCTGGAGGGGACTGGGGGTTTGGGGTGGGCAGGGGGGGACCATGGTTTTGGGGTGTGCACAAAGTGACTCTAGTTTTGGGGTGTATAGAAAGGGACTGTGCATCAGGGGTGTGCAGGAAGGGACCGTGCTTTTGGGGTGTGCAAGAAGGGACCACGCTTTAGGGGTGTGCAGGTAGGGCCCACGCATCGGGGATATGCAATATGGGAGAGTGTTTTTGGGGTGCGCAGGAAGGGACCGTGCATCTGGGGCATGCACGGGGGGGGATGCGCATCCAGGACATGCAGGAAGGCACCAGGTTTTTGGGGCGTGCCGGGGAGGTGGTGGTGGGGATCGTTGCTCTTCCTGCCCACCTGTGTGCGTGGAACAAATCCACGGTGACGGTGACACACTGTGCTTGCTGCGCGCGGCTGACGGCGCTGCTCCGCTCCAGGGACAGCACCAGGGCCTGCACCCGGGCACGCAGCTCCTCGGTCCTGGGGACACCTGCATGGCAGCCAGCCCGGCCACGGCTCCCCGTGGCACGGCCGCGGAACGCTGGTGAGCTCTCTTACCGGGCCAGGGTGCGGAGAAGCTCTTCACCCATCTTCTCCGGGTCCTGAGGGTGCTGGGGAGCCGCTGCTCCTGCCCGGCCGGTTTGGGCATCCTGCAGAGTCTGGCTGTGGGTCCCATCCTTAGGGAAACCTCCCCCTCCCAACCCTGCGGAGGGTCCCCGTGGGGATGTCGGCGGGATTCTTACCTCCTCGCTGCTGCTGGAGCTGCTGGAGGGGTTGGGGAGGCGTCCGGACCCCCCATCCCGCTCCCATTCCAGATGTTGGAGCACCAGGCGCAGTGCAGCCTCCCGCGGCCCCTGTCCGGCTGCCAGCAGCTCCAGTCCCCGCTTCTCCCTCTCCACCAGCTGCAGCCGCGTCTTCAGGTCGGCCATGGCTTCCTGACAGGGCAGCAGCGTCACCACCGGGCAAGGGAAACTGAGGCACGGCCCCAACCCCCCCGCCCTTCTCCCAGCTGCTCTGTTCAAAGCCTGGACCCTGCAGAAAGCCGGGTGTCTGCTCCCCATCCCTTCATCCCCCTGCATTTCACCTTGAGCATTGCCAAGTCCTGCAGCAGCTCCGCTTTCTCCGGCCGCCTCCAGCCAGGCAGGAGAGCCCTGGCATCCCGCAGCACCTGCTCAGCCCGGGCTCGGGTGTCCTTGCTCCAGTGGGTGCTGGTGGGTGCCGGGGCGTCGCGGAGGGACGCCTCTACGGCTGCCTGCTCCGTGCGCAGCCGGCGGATGTGCTCGCGGAGGGCCCCCTCCTCCATCCCGAGGGGTGCGGGGTTGCTGTGGGGATGGGGACATGGCTGGGGTGGGCACAGTGCCCTGCCCCGGGATCGTGCCCCCCTCCCTGTGTCCTCCCCCCGTACCTCTGCAGCCCCGGGGAGCCGCTCTCCCCGCTCTCCTCCTGGCCGTCCGGCTCCGCTCGGCCCAGGACCTGCGGCCCCTCCGTTGGTGGGGGGCTGGACCCCCACCTGCATCCGGGGCTCTGCTCCCCCGCTGCTCCTAGGCCTTGTCCAGTATGTGCCCACTGGGGCTGTGCTGGGGACTGGGGTTCCCCCCCATCCTTCCTCCATCCCCCCGATACCCGTAAGCATCTGCCCAGCGTCCCCCCAGCACCTTCCCCATGTCCCCTCGCCGTCCCCCCAAATCCTCCCTGCATCCCCTCGACATCCCCCTGAGACCCCTCCAGCATTCCCTGCTCATCCTGCTGCATCCCTCCTACATCCCCCCCGACATCTGCCAGCACCCCCCCAACATCCCCCCCCCCGGTAACTCCCCCAGCATCTTCCCCATCATCTCCCCAGCACTCCCCCAGCCTGGCACTCACCTCCACGGCCATCATCATCCTCCCGGCCCATCTTTCCCCGCATCAAGTCGAGGAGGGCGGCGTAAGCCCCCCCGCAGCGCTCGCTGCAGGGACAGGGGTTCAGCGTGGCACTGCGGGCTGTGTGTGTCCCCCCCCAACTTTGTGTGTGTGTGTCCCCCATCCCTGTCCCCACCTGCAGCGCAGGGCCAGGCGCAGGGCGGTGCTGCAGGACTCGTGCTGGCCCAGCACCATGCTGAGCCGCTCCGCATCGCTCTTGCAGTCCTGCAGCGCGGCTGCCAGCCGCCGGTTCACCTCCTGCAGCCTCCCCAAGTACCTGGGCACCGCCGGCAACCACGCAGCCGTGCCTCAGTTTCCCCAAACCGGCGAGGGCTCAGCGGTCCCCAGGAGCTGGGGGGTTGTGGGGTTGAGAGGGGGGGGATACTCACCCCTGCAGCTGCTGCACCTGCACCTCATGCTCCTGGCTGGCACCCTCCGAGGGTTGGGGGGAGAGGGGGCTGTGGGGCTCAGCACTGTTGCCGCACTGGGGCGAGCCCTGCGGAGGGGACAGGCAGAGCCCAGCACCGGGGCACGATCCCACCTGCCGAGCCCCTCCCTCCCCCCCACCTCACGCCACAGCCACAGCCTGACCCCACTCACCTGGGGCAGCCCGGGCTCCCCCTGCCCTGGGGGGCTGCTAAGCCCAGGGGTGTCGCTGCCAGAGCCCCCAGTTTCCTCCAGCCTGGACAGAGCATCCCGTAGCTCCCGGACCTGCGCCAAGCACCGGGCTGAGCCCCGGGGGCAGCTCCGGTGACACCCTGACTCCCTGAACCAGGGCAGTGCCCACCCCGCCCCCCCCCCAGCACCCACCTTCTGCTGCAGTCGGTCGCGCTCCCCCCGCAGCGCCCGCAGCGAGGCGGTGGCCCGGTTCAGCTCCTCATCCCGGCGCCCCAGGGCCGCCCGCAGTGCCACGTTCCTCGCCGCCTCCTCTGCTGGCAGCCCCGTGCCCGCTCCCTCCTCTGGGTCCCGGTGCATCGCCCTCCCGGTCCAGCCTGGTGCCCGGTTTAGCTCCTCCAGGCTCTGGGGATATGGGACCCATCAGCCGGCGTCCATCCCCTTGGTGCCGGGGCTGACGGTGCCGCTGCGGCTCACCTTGGCCGCCCGTGCCCACTCCTCGCCCGGCATGGGTTGCGCTGGTGCTTGCCGGTGCCGGGAGAAAACAGCGCGTTCCAGCGAGCTCACGGCGTGCTGCAGGTCGGTGAAGAGGTCAGGGCTGTGAGCTGGGGAGAGGGAGCGTGGCCAGGGTCAGGTCCCTGGAGCAGGCACAGCTCGGCTCGCCGTGGCTTGGCACAGTTTAGTGCAGCTCGGTACGGCACGGCTCGGTATAGCTCGGTATGGCACAGCTCAGCATTGCTCAGCACAGCGCAGCACAGCTTGGTACAGCACGGCTCAGCTCAGCATGGCTTGGATTCAGCTTAGCAGGGCATGGCACAGCTCAGTACAACTCGGTACAGCTCAGTACGGCACAGCTTGGCACAGCTCAATACAGCTTGGCACAGCTCAGCAGAGCTCGGCACAGCTCGGCACAGTGCACTCACCTTCCTGAGCAGCAGCGGTGTGGAGCGTGCTGTCGAGGTGCTGGGGCTGTGGGCTGGCAGCGGGGAGGCTGGCGATGCCCTCCCAGCCCTCCTCATCCTCCCTGTGGGGTGACGAAGACCAGAGATGGGCGGGTGGGGGGGCACACACACAGGTGGTGACAGCCCCCGGTACCCCACCGCCACCGCCCACCGGTACCTGCTCGTGCGGTGCTGCAGCTGCTCGGCCCTTCGATGCAGCTGGGCCACCGTCGCCAGCAGCCCGGCGATGTGCTCCTCGTAGCCTTCGGCATCCCCCGCCATCTCCTCTTCCTCCTCCTCCTCCTCTTCCTCCTCCTCCTCCTCGCTCAGTGGGTGCTGTGTGGGGAGCAGGGTGTGTCTGCCCGCTCCAGCCGACCCCGGGGGACCGAGGGGCTGACACCCACCGGGCCGGGGGGATGAATTTTGGCCACCGGCCCACTGGCCGTAGTTTCCCCCTCCCAGTTTGCAGTGCGGGGCGGGAGATGCCCGTGCCATGGCAGGGGAAGCGGGCAGAGGCACGAGGAGGCCCCCGGCCACACGGGACCATCCCCTGGCAGCACCCATCCCGTGGGACACCCCACTTGCCCTCTCCATGGCAGCCTCCTCCTGCCCGCGACGCCCCACGGCTCGGCCCCGTTCCACGGCCGGAGCTCCCAGCATGTCCCAGTTGTGCCGCCAGCCCCTGCCCCTGGGCCTTTCCCTGTCCTTGTTCCTGCAGAGATTTCCTCTTCCTCGGCAGGCGCAGCCTCCCGCGCTTAACCGTTGCGCTGCCCCGTGCCCCGGGTGGGCGGTGGAGCCATCCTGGGGGGCTTGACACCCCCTCCTCCCCCCCCAAAAAAACCCCATCCTTCCCTGCTGTGCCCCACCGTGCCATGCTGGACCCCTCTCCATGCACCCGGGCTCCCTCGCACCCAGGCAGGAGAATACACCCAGCTCTGCACCCATGAGCACCCCATGGAATTTGGGGGGGGGGGGGGGGGGAGGCAAGGGAAGGGCACCCAGAACATTTAGGAGAGGTGCGCAGGGGTGTGCACAAGCATTTGGGGTGCTAGGAGGCATTGCGTGGGGTGCTGGGGTGTGCGAGGCCAGGAGGGAGCCAGCCCAAGGGGTGCTGTGGGCAGCGCGTGGGTGCTTAGGGGCTGGAGGGTGGTGTTTGGGGTGCAAAGGGGTATTTAGGGTGCGGAGGGGGGCAGTTGGGCAGCGCAGGGGTGCTGCGCGGGTGTTCGGAACACTGGGGCTGTGCACGGGGGGGTGCAGAGGGATGGTGCAGGGGGGTGCGCATGGATATTTGGGGTGCAGGGGGCGGCGCGTGGGTGGAGGAGGGTGTGTATGGGTGCTGGGGGTGCGGGGGGGAGCGCATGGGTGCTCCTGGCCCCACGTGCCCGGTGGGGGGGGGGGGGGAACCTCGGGGAACTACAAGTCCCAGCAGACCTTGCGCGGCGTCGCTTCCGGGTGGGATAGGGCGGGGCTCGCGCGGCCGGGAGAGGGTGAGCGCGCGCCGTGGGGTGAGGGGGGTGCGTGGATTTGGGGGGAGGGGAGTAGGTGAACAGTGAGTGCATGGTGCCGGAGGGTGAAGGTGGGGCGGGGGGTGCGTGGAACGGGGGGGGGGGGGGGGGGGGGGCGTGGGGGGTGCGAGCTAGGGGGTGCACGAAGTGTGTGTGTGGGGGGGACGGGGTGTACGTGAGCAGGGGGTGCACAGAGTGGAGGGAGCGTGGGGCAGGTTGTACATGAGCAGGGGGCGCACGGAGCGGGAGGAATGCGAGCAGGGGGTGTAATGATTGGGGAGGGCGTGGGGCAGGGGCGATGTGAATTGGGGGGGCATGGGGGCAGGGTGTACATGAGCAAGGGGGTGCACAGAGCGGGGGGGGGGGCGTGGGGTGGGGGGGGCTCGAAGGGGAGGGGTATGGGGCAGGGAGTGCATAGAGTGAGGGGGAAGCAGAGTGTGGGGGGGTCGTGAGTGGGGGGTGCAGGGTGGGGGGGTCATGAGCAGGGAGTGCACAGATTGGGGGGCGGGGGGGGATGTGAGCAGGGGGTGCAGAGACTGGGGGGGATGCAGAGTGGAAGGGGGCGTGAGCAGGGGGTGCGGGGAGGGGCACAGAGTGGATGGGGGGCGTGAGCAGGGGGTGCACAGATTGGGGGAGTGCATGGTGGGGGGTTGTGAGCAGGGGGTGCACAGATTGAGGGGGCGTGGGGCAGGGGGGATGTGAACAGGGGGTGCAGGGTGGGGGGGATGTGAGCAGGGGGTGCACAGAGTGGGGGGGGCATGAGTGGGGTCGTCGTCAGCAGGGGATGCACAGATTGGGGAGGGCATGGGGTGGGGGGGGATGTAAGCAGGGGGTACACGGAGCCGGGGGGGGGGTGGCCCCGGGGGGCACAGGGCTGCAGCAGCACTGACACCCCACAGCCACCCGGCATCGGTCCCCGGAGCCGCCATGGAGCGCGGCTGCGCGATGGACACGTCGGAGCCGGGCAGCGCTGCCGAGGAGGAGGAGGAAAAGGCGCCGGAGCCGCGGCCCAGGACCCGCTCAAACCCCGAGGGTGCTGAGGACCGGGCGCTGAGCGCCCAGGCCAGCGTGGGCAACCGCAGCGAGGGGGAGGGGGAGGCGGCCAGCGCCGACGACAGCCCCCAAAGCACCGCTGTGCCCGACGGCACCGCCTGGCCCGGCCCCGCGCCCCCCGCCGAGGTCCAGGTCAAAACGCCACGGGTGAACTGCCCCGAGAAGGTGGTGGGTGTCTGGAGAGGGGGGGTGGCGGGGGGGGGGGGGGGGGGGGGGGGGAAAGTGTGGCGCAGCCCCGACGCCACGGTGAGGGGCTGCGAGGGGTTTTTGCGGGGTGCTCAGGAGTGGCTCCCTCCACACAGATCATCTGCCTGGACTTGGCGGAGGAGATGGCTCTGCCCAAACTGGAATCTTTTAATGGGTGAGCGTTGGAGGGCTGCTCCTAGGTGGGCTGGCCCTGGGGACCCTGGCTTTGCTGTCCCTGTCATCACGGGGGGGGTGGGGACACACACGCTGGTCCCCGCTGAGCTCCGTCCCCCGCGGCAGATCCAAGACCAACGCGCTGAACATCTCCCAGAAGATGATCGAGATGTTCGTGAGGACGAAGCACAAGATCGACAAGTGCCACGAGTTCGCGCTGGTGGTGGTGAACAACGACGCCACGTGGGTGAGTGGTGGGGACAGGGGATGAGAGGGGGGGGGCACGGAGCCCAGCCCCCCCCTCACCCCCACCCCTCTCAGCTCTCAGGGTTCACCTCGGACCCCCGCGAGGTCTGCAGCTGCCTCTACGACCTGGAGACCGTCGTCTGCAAGTCATTCAGTATCCCACCGCCTGTGGGGCTGGGGTTGGGGGGGGGGGCCGGGACCCCGAGGAGTCCCTTGGGTGCAAACGAGGGGTCCCTTGGGTGCAAACAGGGTCCCTCAAGGCAAAGTGGGGACCCTTCAAGCCTGTTGTCTGCGGGTGGCAGCAGCTCTGTGGCCTCACTGGCAACCCCGGCACAGCCGAGCCGGCCGCAGCACAGAGCGTCAGTGTTTGAGGCTGGAGGGTTGAACCAAGCCCCCTGACAACCCACCAAACACACATTTATTGGTGTTTCCTCCTCACCCTGGTCCCTCCGCAGTGCCCAGTGCCGTCTCCTCCCTCCACGGGATCTCCCTGGGTGCCCCAGTGTGGGTCTGGGTGCAGGACGTCCCTGGGGGGTGGGCAGGCGTCTGGGTGCCAGGATCGGTCCTTACCTGGGGCTGCAGATCTGGAGGGACTCTTCAACCTGATGTGAGTACGGGTGAGGGGGGGGACAGGGGCTGCTGAGGGGGGGGGGTGGTTCACAGCTCCCATCTCACTACGAATTTTCTGCTTTGCTGTAAAAACGCCGCGCAGCTTTAACCCAAAGAGCTTCTTGGGGTTGGGGGGGGTGGGGGGGGAAGGGTGCTGCTTTCCCAGCCCAGAGCTGTCAGCGGACACTCATTAAGTTTTAACGAGGTGGGGAGAGGGGAGCCTGAGCCTATGGGGGGTCCTGAGCTGCCTCCCTGTCTGTGTGTGTGTGTTCCCTCCCCGCCGGCGCAGCCAGCAGAAGATCGAGCTGCCGGTGACGGAGAACGTACAGACCATCCCACCGCCCTACGTGGTCCGGACCATCCTGGTGTTCGGCCGCCCGGGCTGCCAGCCCCAGTTCTCCATGTCGGAGCACATGAAGGTAGGAGTGTGTGTGTGTGTCCCTCTCCTTGTGTCCCCCACCCCTCGTGTCCCCCCTCTTCTCTCCGGGTGAAGTCAGCTCTGGCTCCATCCCGGCGCCGTTCCCGGCTTCTCCCGCAGAAGACGCTCCAGTGTCCCTACTTCTTCTTCGACGTGGTTTACATCCACAACGGGGCGGAGGAGAAGGACGACGAGATGAGCTGGAAGGTAAATACGAATTGGGGTGTCCCCCCATTGCAATGGGGGGGTGGGTGGGTGTGTCACCCTGTGTGTTGTGTCCCCCCCCAGGAGATGTACGCCTTCTTCAGCAGCCTGGACACCAAAGGCACCAACTACAAGTACGAGGTGTCACTGGCGGGGCCGGCGGTGGAGCTGCACAACTGCATGGCCAAGCTGCTGGCGCACCCGCTGCAGCGACCCTTCCAGACCCACGCGGCCTACAGCCTGCTGGGGGAGGATGAGCCCCCCGAAATCGAAGCCACCGTCTGAGCCGTGGGGACTGGGCGGGGGTGGGGAAAGGGGGGGTTTTCCTCCTCGCCAATGGCGGGGGGGGTGGCTGGCGAAGGGCAGCGGTGTGCAGTGTTACCGGAGGTGGGGGAAAGAGAGGTTTGTTCCTGAGTGGGTGTCGTGCTGATGCTGTGGGATCGCAAACTGGGGGGGCGGGGGTGGTGGTGTCACTTTTCTGTGTTCCCCCTGCCCCATCCTGCCACCCTGCCATGGGGATGAGGGGTCCTGTGTGCTGGCGTGGGGACCCCGGGGGGCTTTTGCCATTAACAGTGGGGGTGCAGGGTACTGGGAGGCGCCGGGTGGGGCTGGTGCAGGGCTCTGGGAGCCCTGATGGAAGGTGCTGGGAGGCACTGGGCAGTGCAGGTGCAAGGCGCTGGGTGGGGCTGGTTGCAGTTGTTGGGATGTGCTGGGTGGTGCTGGTGCAGGGAACTGGGAGCACTGGTGCAGTTACTGGGGGGCACTGGGTGGAGCTGGCGCAGGATGGTGCTGGTGCAGTTACGGGGTGGTGCTGGCGCAGTTACCGGGTGGTGCTGGTGCAGGGCACTGGGAGGCACTGGGAGCACTGGTGCAGTTACTGGGGGGCACTGGTGCAGGGCACTGGGAGGCACTGGTGCAGTTACTGGGAGGCCCTGGGTGGAGCTGGCGCAGGATGGTGCTGGTGCAGTTACGGGGTGGTGCTGGCGCAGTTACTGGGGGGCACTGGTGCAGTTACGGGGTGGTGCTGGCGCAGTTACGGGGTGGTGCTGGCGCAGGGCACTGGGAGCACTGGTGCAGTTACTGGGGGGCACTGGTGCAGGGCACTGGGAGGCACTGGTGCAGTTACTGGGGGGCACTGGGTGGAGCTGGCGCAGGATGGTGCTGGTGCAGTTACGGGGTGGTGCTGGTGCAGTTACGGGGTGGTGCTGGTGCAGTTACTGGGGGGCACTGGTGCAGTTACTGGGGGGCACTGGTGCAGTTACAGGGTGGTGCTGGTGCAGTTACGGGGTGGTGCTGGCGCAGTTACCGGGTGGTGCTGGTGCAGGGCACTGGGAGGCACTGGGAGCACTGGTGCAGTTACTGGGGAGCACTGGGTGGAGCTGGCGCAGGATGGTGCTGGCGCAGTTACGGGGTGGTGCTGGCGCAGGGCACTGGGAGGCACTGGTGCAGTTACTGGGGGGCACTGGGTGGAGCTGGCGCAGGACGGTGCTGGTGCAGTTACGGGGTGGTGCTGGTGCAGTTACTGGGGGGCACTGGTGCAGTTACTGGGGGGCACTGGTGCAGTTACGGGGTGGTGCTGGCGCAGGGCACTGGGAGCACTGGGAGCGCTGGTGCGGTTACTGGGGGGCGCTGGGCAGTGGCGGCGCAGGGCACTAGGGGGCGCTGTGGGGCGCGGGGCGCTTTGGCCCCGCCCCTCGAGCGTCATCCCCATCTGGCGGAGGGGGGGTGGGCGTGGCTTCCCTCGACCGGCTCCTATTGGCCGCCTCGCCGGCCAATAAGCGGCGGGGCGGCGGTGCTGCGCGGGGGTTTCGAACGGGCGCGGCGCCGCGCGCATGCGCAGGGCGGCAGGAGGGGCGCGGGGTGGCGCGAGCCGTAAGGGGACACCGCGGGGAGGGGAAACGGGGACATTGGGGGTATTGCACCGGGGGGGGGGGGGTGGAAAGGGGGAGATTGGGGACATTGCATAGGGGGGGAGGGGAATGGGGATATTGGGGCTATTGCACCGGGGGGGGGGGGGAAGGGGAGATTGGGGACATTGCATAGGGGGGGGGGGGGGGGAGGGAAATGGGGACATTGGGGATATTGCACCGGGGGGGGGCGACAAGGACACACGACCTCGCACGGGTGCGGGAGGGGCTTTGCAAGGGCGGGGGCTCTGCAATACCGGCCTTGCACCGGGCGAGGGGGCGCGTTGCATGTGCTGAACCTCGGGGTGTGGGGGGGGGGTTGGGGGGTTGCGGAGGGGTATCCCCGCCTGCGCTACCCCCGGCGGGGGCGGGGCAGCATTCACGGTGCTGGGGGACCCTGCAGGGACCGGCGGGGTGGTGGTGGGGGGGTGTTGGGCGCATTGCACGGAGCGGGGGATACAGGAGTGACCCTGGGGCAGCTGACACGCCCCCACCGCAGCCGTGGAAGGGGGTGTCCCCCCCCCCCCATCTGTCTGGCCCCTGTCAGTGGAGGGGCTGCGGGGGAGACCCCTGTGTGTGTGTGTGTGTCCCCAGTGCTGCTGCAGTTGGCTGTGACACTCGTGACCCCAAGGGCATGGCCATGACTCTGAACTGTGGGGTCACCTGCTGGGGGTGCAGGGTGGGCTCGGGGTGAAGCCCTGCGACACCCCCTCCCTAACCCCAACCCCCCCCCCCCAACCCAGGCTCATCGAGGAGCTGACGCCATCCCGGGGGTGCTGTGGGCTCCTTGAGCTCCTGCTGAAGGGACGGGGGGACCCAGAGCCCTGAGACCTGGTCAGCGGGGACAGCTTTGGGGACAAGGAGGGGGGGAGACACACAGCGCTTTGGGGGGTTGCTGCCTGCGCTGGGACCCCCATCATTGGTGGGATGGGGGGAGCAACGGGGATCCGCCTGGCCCTGGTGGGGCTGTGTCACCCCACAGTAGCCCAGTGTCACCCCGTGGTGGCCCTGGTGGGGGTGACAGCGGGGGTGTGTGTGTGTGTTCCCTGCAGGCTGGGAGACGAGCCATCGAGCTGGTGCTGGAGCAGAGCAACGCGCAGTGCGCCTGGGGCCGGCTCCCTGTGGAGGGTGAGAGGTCCCCGGGGTGCCCCCTCACCCGGGGCGGGGGATCCAACCCCCCGCCCCCCCCCCCCCCAGATGCTGACCCCCATCTCTGTCCCCAGGGCCAAGGGGGCCCCGGCGGTCCCTGTCCTTCCTGACCGAGGATGGCACTGATGGCAGCGTCTCCTCCGGGCTCCTCGAGGACAACTGGGAGGCCGGACCCCTCAGCAGCACCCGCAGGTCGCAGCTGGAGGAGCCGGACCTGGGGGGCTGCTACATTTTGGGGGAGCCTCCGCTCTGGCTGCGCTGTCCCCCAGACCCCTCGTCCCTCTCCATCCCCATCCCTGGGGGCTCAGCTCTCCCCCCGCAGCCCCTCGCCTCCAGCACGCTGCTCTTGGCCAGGGATGAGCTTGGGGAGGGACCCCAGAGCCAGATAGGGAAGGGAAAAAGAGGGGGTCCCCTCAAACCCAGTGTTGGGGACAGCCCTGGTCCCTCTCCCCAGTGGGAGTTTGGTCCCACTGGGTCCCTGAGCTCCCCCCAGCGTTGCAGCAGGGTTCTGGGGGGACACCAGGCATCCCCCGGAGCTCCCCTGCTCTGCCGTGGCCTGAGCGGCTGCTCCGTGACACGCCGGACCCCCAGGGACGGTGACATCCCGGGTGCTGCAGCTCAGCACCGTCCCGGTGTCCCCCGGGGACCGGCGGTGGGCTGGGCAGGGCTGGGCATTGCCGCTCCTGCTGTCCCCGACCTGGGGACGATGGTGCTGGAGGTGGGGGCCGGGGGCTGGGACCGCAGCAGCCTTGGGGACAGCAGCGGTGCCAGCGAGTGCTTTGTCAGCGCTGTGGAGACCCTGGAGCCCAGCGAGGACTGCGGGTGCCCAGGGGCTCAGCACCGCCGCTCCCCCCAGCCCAGGGCAGTGGGGGGGCTGGAGCTGAGCAAAGCCCCCTCCCCAACCAGTGCTGCTGCCTGGGAACTTCCCCCCGCCAGCCCTCCAAACGCAGAGCGGGTGCAGGGTGAGGATTTGGGGGGGGGCTGGAGGGCAGCCCTTTGCTGCAAGGCTGGCTCAGATGTGGGCGATGTAGGGGAGCTGCTTGTGCAGCTCCGGGGGTGCAGCCTCCGGGGCTCCCCACCTTGCACCCCAGGACCCCTTCACAGCCCGACGAGTCTCACCGTGGGGGATGTCACCCCGTGGGGCCAGGAGCCCCCCAGGTACCGCCATGTCACCCCCAGGACCAAGAGCCGCCTCCAAGCCTCTTCAGCGCGCCTGGATGCCTCCTCTTCCTCCTCCCTCTTTGACCAGATGCTGGAGATGCCCCGGAGGCCCCTCAGGCTCAGGGCACCCCAGGGTGTCCCCAGGGACCCTGCCACCACCTTGGGGCACTGCGTCACCCCGTGGGGTAAGGATGTGTCTGACAGGGACAGAGAGGGGACAGGCTCTTTGGATGACACCGAGATCCTCCCCAGAGCCCCCAGCCAGCCCAGCTCGCCCCTGGGGACCAGCAGCTCCCCCAGCTCCAGCCCCACATTCCTGCTGGTGTCTGGGGACCATGGGCACCCCCAGGACTCCCCACCAGATGCTCGGGGCTCACCCCGTGCCGCCAGCAGCTCTCACCCCAGGGAGTTGGAGGATGGTTCTGGATGTCAGTCCCCCTTGCCCTTGGGGACACCGCGGCCCCGTGGGATCTTCACCCACCTCCTGGCCCCACGGCCACCGGGCAGCATCACGGCGGAACCGGGGAGCCCAGCCAGCCGCAGCACTCACCGCACCAGGGATCCCCTCGTGGACGAGGAGTGGGGACGGGCACCCGGCGCAGAGACCACCACCAGCCCCGAGGACACCGAGGTCTGGGACAAGGGAGCAGGCACGGTGCCACCACGGCCCCTCTCGGATGAAGCTCTGCGCCGGCGGCTGCGGGCGCTGGGGGACAACCCGGGGCCTGTCACTGAGCTCACCAGGGGGTTGTACCTGCGGCGGCTGGAGGAGCTGGTGAGGGGACCCCGGGGGAGGCTGGCGGGTAAGTTGTGGGGATGCCCCCCACTTAAATCTCCACACCTGGGCTGGCTGGTCCCTGCGGCATGGGGCTGACGGTGCTCCCCAATGCCGGCACGGCCACCCCAGGGCACAGCCCCGAGCTGGTGGCCGCGCTGCAGACCGGCCACGTCCCCGACTGTGCCCAGGACGAGCTGGCGCTGGCTCTGCAGTTTGACCGTCCCGACCGGAGCCGGCGCTGGCGGGAAGGGCTGGTCAAGTCCAGCTTCAACTACCTCCTCCTTGACCCCAGGTAGGGCAATGCCGCTGCCCCGCATGTCCCTGGTGCTGGGGGGGGGATGTGCGGGGGGGTCCGAGTGCGGGATCCCTGAGATCAAGCCCCGAAACTGAGGGTTTGCACCCCCAGGACCACCCAGAACCTGCCGCTCCGCTCCCACCTCCTGAGCCCGGCTGAGTGCTTCAGGATCTTCGTTGAAGCCATCTTCTACGTGGGCAAAGGGACACGTGCCCGGCCCTACTGCCACCTCGCTGAAGCGCTGAGCCAGCACCGCGCCGGGACGCAGAAGGTGGGATGGGTGGGTGGGTGTGGGGGGGTGGGTGGCTCGGGGCCATGGTGACAGTGCCTGCTGTCCCATAGGGCTGCCCCAAGGTGCGGCGCATCCTGGAGATCTGGGCGAGCGGGGAGGGTGTCGTCTCGGTGCACTGCTTCCAGGGCAGCGTCCCGGCGGAGGCTTACACGCGGGAGGGATGTCTCGTGGAGGCTCTGGGTGAGCGGGGACGGGGGGAGACGGTGCTGCCCCAACCCCCCCGCCACAGCTCCCAGCACCCACTCCCTGTATCCGTCTCTCCCACCCCATGGGGACACAGAGGGGGTGCAGCCCATCCTGGGGTACGGGGGGACTTTGGGGTCCCTGGTTGCCAGTCAAGGGTCTGGACACAATTCCCTAAAGTTCCTGCTCCTGTGGGAAAAGCTGCCTGGGAGTGGGTGCTGGTGGGGGGCACAAGGCTGCCTCCGTCCCTGCAGGGCTGTGGGTGCTGATGGTGAGCAGTGTGCTGGGGTTTGTGGGTGCCGATGGGGAGCAGGGGTCAGGGTTTGTGGGTGCTGACCCTGTCCCTGCAGAGCTGTGAGTGCTGACGGGGAGCAGGGGGTCAGAGTTTCAGGGTTTGTGGGTGCTGATGGGGAGCAGGGGGTCCCAGTTTCAAGGCTTGTAGGTGCTGACGGGGAGCAGGGCCCAGGGTTTGTGGGTGCTGATGGGGAGCAGGGGTCAGGGTTTGTGGGTGCTGACGGGGAGCAGGGGGCTGGGGTTTGTGGGTGCTGATGGGGAGCAGGGGCCAGGGTTTGTGGGTGCTGACGGGGAGCAGGGGGCTGGGGTTTGTGGGTGCTGATGGGGAGCAGGGTGCTGGGGTTTGTGGGTGCTGACGGGGAGCAGGGGGCTGGGGTTTGTGGGTGCTGATGGGGAGCAGGGAGCTGGGGTTTGTGGGTGCTGATGGGGAGCAGGGCCCAGGGTTTGTGGGTGCCGATGGGGAGCAGGGCCCAGGGTTTGTGGGTGCTGATGGGGAGCAGGGGCCAGGGTTTGTGGGTGCTGACCCTGTCCCTGCAGAGCTGTGAGTGCTGACGGGGAGCAGGGGGTCAGAGTTTCAGGGTTTGTGGGTGCTGATGGGGAGCAGGGGGTCCCAGTTTCAAGGCTTGTAGGTGCTGATGGGGAGCAGGGCCCAGGGTTTGTGGGTGCTGATGGGGAGCAGGGGTCAGGGTTTGTGGGTGCTGACGGGGAGCAGGGGGCTGGGGTTTGTGGGTGCTGATGGGGAGCAGGGGCCAGGGTTTGTGGGTGCTGATGGGGAGCAGGGTGCTGGGGTTTGTGGGTGCTGATGGGGAGCAGGGGGCTGGGGTTTGTGGGTGCTGACGGGGAGCAGGGGGCTGGGGTTTGTGGATGCTGATGGGGAGCAGGGGCCAGGGTTTGTGGGTGCTGATGGGGAGCAGGGGGTCCCAGTTTCAAGGCTTGTAGGTGCTGATGGGGAGCAGGGCCCAGGGTTTGTGGGTGCTGATGGGGAGCAGGGGCCAGGGTTTGTGGGTGCTGATGGGGAGCAGGGTGCTGGGGTTTGTGGGTGCTGATGGGGAGCAGGGGGTCCCAGTTTCAAGGCTTGTAGGTGCTGATGGGGAGCAGGGCCCAGGGTTTGTGGGTGCTGATGGGGAGCAGGGGTCAGGGTTTGTGGGTGCTGACGGGGAGCAGGGGGCTGGGGTTTGTGGGTGCTGATGGGGAGCAGGGGCCAGGGTTTGTGGGTGCTGATGGGGAGCAGGGTGCTGGGGTTTGTGGGTGCTGATGGGGAGCAGGGGGCTGGGGTTTGTGGGTGCTGATGGGGAGCAGGGGGCTGGGGTTTGCAGGTGCTGACCCCATCCCTGCAGGGCTGCAGACCATCACCAACCAGCGGAAGGGGAACTGCTACGGTGTGGCAGCAAGCTGGCCGGCGGAGCGGCGCCGGCGCCTGGGCGTCCACATGCTGCACAGGGCCATGCGCATCTTCCTGGCCGAGGGCGAGCGGCAGCTCCGGCCTGCAGACATCCCGAACGGGCGCTGAGCACCCTGGAGTGCTGGGGGGCACCCACTCCTGCACCTCCCCTCTGCCCTGGCTGAGAAGGTGGCTGTCCTTTGGGTGTGGATTTTATGTCGTGAACACTGGCGAGGATTTTTCTATTTTTCTATTTCCTTAAAGGGTGATAAATAAATCACTGAAGGTCTTTTCTTTTCTTTTTTCTTTTTTTTTTTTTTTTTTTTGGTACGAAATCCAAGGTGCGTGTGATTTCTGGCTCTGCCGTGCTCCTGGGACAGACCCCGTGCCCCAGCGCGTCTCTCCCCATCATCAAGTAGGACGCGGCTGAGAATATAACACGGCTTTACTGTATGAAATGGCACTAACACGGCACGTGGCTCAGCAGCGGGGGTTATGGTGAGCAGTTTGCCTTGGCCTTAGCACAAGCGATGTGGGTACAAGCGGCACAGACTCCGTGGCAAACAGAGGTTGAAGAGCTGTGGCCCACAGCCAGGCACCCGAAGCCGGCTGCGGGGGGTGGGTCACGGCGGGGGCAGAGCTGTGATTTTTGGGGTACGGTGGAATTTCTTGGTACTTTCTTTGCAGACCCCAACCATGCTGCGGGAAGTTCCTGGCCAGGATGGGGTGGGAGAAGTGTTGCAGGGGAACGATCTGAACCCAGGGTCGTTAAAATTCTCATTATGAGACAGGTTGTGGCAGCAGCGGGCAGGGGCGGGCGCTGGCAGAGGGGCAGCTCTGCCCCGGTGCTGGGACGGAGCGGGGGCCACCTGGGGAGGACATTCATCACATGAGGTCCCCGCCACGCTGGGGCCAGCTCTGAAGGACCCTCCCTCTTCTACATTGCTCACTTTGGGGGGGAAAGGTGGGCTCAGCCTCAGGGAAGGAGCATGGAGGGTGGGTGCCAGCTCCAGTTAGAGCAGCCCTGCCCAGCCAGGGACTCCTCGAGCCAACTTGGGGTGTCTTGTTGAGGTGCCAGCCCCGTTTGGGGCGAGGTGGGAGCTGGGTGGGACATGGGACAAGGGCGAGGTTTCCATGGGACTGGTGGTTTCTTTGGTTTAGATGGGGGGAAACAGAGAAACAAACCAGGAAGCAGGGAGTGGCTCCGCTCTTTGGGGTAGTGGGGAGGTTGGGGCCATCCTTCGAACACAGCATCCTCCCGGCTCGCTCGGGAGCCCCTGGACCCCGCGATGGTGCCCAGGTCCCCGCTCGACACTTCTCATGTACCTTCTCGGTCCTGCCTGGCTCCTGGCAGCGGGATGTGAAGCACAGAGGGGAGATGGTGGGACCCAGTGGGTTATGTACAGAACGGTGTCAGCAGGTAACAAGCTGTGGTCCGTTGCGATCAAACAGTCGCAATTTGCTTCGTTGTTCCCGTGTTGCTCCGAGACCCCTTGGATCCATCTGGGAGTCATCAGCAAGGACGGACGCAGCGGCAACGGGACGGTGAATTGCTGGTCCCCCGGTGCATGAGGGACGGGTGTGATCCCAACGGACACGTGGTCCGGGAGCGGGTGGTGGGTCCCGGAGTCATGGAGGGAGCTGGAAGCTGGGAAAGGCGAGCGGACGAGAGGCTGCGGGAGTCGCTGCACGGTGGCGATGGCTCTGAGCATCTGGAGGATGCGGCAGCAGGAGGGAAGCAGAGGGCTCTGCAGAAGCCAACCTAAAGCGATGGTGGGTGGGGATGTGACTGCAGGGATGGTGGCACTGGGGGACCACGGGAGAGCTCAGGTTTGGCGTTGTCTTCCCCCACCATAGCCATGCCAGTCCCACCATGAGGGGGGAGCTGACGGTCCTTCTGGCTGTGCCCGCGGGAGCAGGTCACCTCCTCATCCTCATCTCCTGGCCAGGCAGAGATGAGCTGTGCAGGCAGACCCTCTCCAGCACCAGGCAGCAACAATAACAGTGGTCCCATCCTCCCAGCCCCACAGATGGCTCGAGCGAGGTGCTGTGGGGCTCAGACAGGCAAATCCTGCTGCTGAGGCCATAAAGCAATCCCAGCTCAGCTCCTCCGGCCCTGGCTGCGATGATGCTGGAGCTGACACGCTCTCCCTGGAGGAACCCCTCCAAGTTCCTCCCAGTTTGCTGCAGGTGGGACCAGTCTCCCCGCAGCCGCCTCTTCTCTGTTCCTGGGGGTTGGGGTGGGGGGTGGGGGGGTGTCGCTGCGTGAGAAAAATACTACTACAAAGAAACAAGATGAAGACGCTCCAGCGGCTGCCACGCTGTCCCCGAGGGGACAGGGACCAGGTCTGCCGTGTTCCCGCTGCCGGCCTCGCACACCCCTGCCCGGGGGAGCCTCCGCGCTCCGCCACCAGCCCGCGATGCGGCCGGGAAAGAAAATCGGCCAAGCTCCTGGCGAGGGCAGCCTCCGCCGCACCCCTCCGCTCTCGCAAAGCCCTCTCTGCTCCGAAACATCTCTCCCATCGGAGCAGCCCGGTCACCACGTCCCGCCGCTTTATTTCTTCTCCCCTTGCCCGTCCCCAGCTGGCGTCTCGGGCTCCCACAGGACGAACTCGTGGAGCAGCGTGTTCACCGTCTCGGGACACTCCATCATCACCATGTGGCTGCCCTCGTCGATCACCTTCAGGAAGGCGATGAGCAGGATCTGGAGGGAGATGGTGGCAGCGGCAGGTGTCAGTGCCAGGACGAGCCCCTCTGCCCACCTCACAGCATGCCGGCAGGCAGACCCCAGCCCTCGCCCACCTCCCCAGCCCCACTCGGTGCCGTACCTCAGCCATTCGCTGGTCTTCCTCCACCGGGACGAATTTGTCGTGCATGCCATGGACCAGGAGCACGGGCACGGCCAGCTCGGCGTGGTAAACCTCGTCACCCTCCGGCCAGTACTGCCCGCTCATCATGGCACGCAGCACGAAGGAGGACACGTTGAAGGCGTTGCCTTCCTTCAGCAACTGCTTCTCTTTGGCACCCTGGCGAGCGAAGCCAGCCCTGCGGGACGGAGCCGGGACGGGCAGAGGGTTAGCCCGGGGAGGTGGGGATGGGAATGTGGTGGGGACGCTGCTGGCAGGACGCGGTGTCCCTGCCCATGGTGACTGGAAGCCAGGTTGGCTGGGGACAAGCCGCCGCGGTGCCGGGACGGCCACTCACTTGAGGAAGCTCCAGGCCAGGCATGGGGACAGGCAGTGCAGCACGCAGGTGGGCATGTTGAAGATGGAGCAGAGGCTGGGCTCCAGCGCCGTCGGGCCCCCGCCGTTGATCATGATCACTTTATGGACCAGGTCTGGGTACTCGTGGGCGAGGAAGGTGCAGAAGGATACCCTGCGAGGAGAGAAAGACGTGGGAGCCGTGCCCTGACCCTGTGGCACTGGAGGGTGCTGCATCCCAAACCAGATTCCAAAGATCCATTGCCGGACCCCCCTTGTTTGACCCGTGCTCCCCCTTTCTGGGGCAGGGTAACCCCAGTCAAACTCCTCAGCCCTGCAGAGCCCAGGCAGAGGGGTTGAGCTCAGGGTTTCACTCCTGTGCAGAGCAAAGCAGGGTGCTAGGACCTGCTTGGGTGCCTGCCAGCCTGGATCAGCCTCATCCTGATCTAATCCTGCCCAGCTCAGAGCCTGGCTCTGGCTCCCTCTCCTCCCAGGGCTGCTCTCTGCACTGCTTAGTCGCCATCTAATTGACTTGCTTGGGTTAACTCTATTTATAGGCTGTGCTCTGCCAGCTTCCCTGCTGGAGGATGGGCTCTGGGATTAGCCGGGCCCAGGAACACACACCAAGAGGATGTAGGAGATCAGAGCTGAGGGATAAAACTAAAATGGGAAATCCCACAGCCCTCCTCTGCTTCTCATCCCCTGCAGTGCAGGATTTGTTGGGCATTTACAGCCAAGGAGAGGACTGGGGGAGGGGGGATGAATCCATCCCTTCCCTCCTGGGACCCCTTGGTCCCTTACCCATATGAGTGTCCTATCAGGATATTCCTCTTCTTCGCGTAGCGCTTGAAGACGGCCCTCATGTCCTCCGCCAGCGCGTAGAAGGTGTACGCGGCAGCAATTTGGGGAGCCGTGCTGCAACCATGGCCGGCCAGGTCGGGAGCCACCACTTCGTAGCCCAGCTTGGTAAAGAAGTCCAGCTGCTCCTTCCAGATGTCCAGCGAGCCGCCCACGCCGTGGATGAAGAAGAGGACCACGTCACTGTGCGTCCCTTTGCAGCTCGTGATCTGCTTCTTGCAGTCGATGTTGACGACTTTCTTGGGTTTACGCTTCCGACGCTTGCCGGGGGCAGCGGCTGCTTCCCGCGTGCCGCATCCCGGCGTGCCACATCCCGGCGTGCCGGTGGGACCCTGCGCAGGAGCTTGGCCGGCCGGGTCAGAGAGCTCCAGCTCCACAGTGCTGTTGGGTTCCCCCGAACCGTTCTGGCAGTGCAGGATCTCGGAGCGGACAGCGTCCCCCAGGTTCTCGATCACCAGCTGCCCGTTGCGGTAAACGGTGATCTTGCGCTTGCAGTGCACCGTGCCCCGCTCCGGCCCCCCAGGCTGGGTCCCCTCGGGCTCCTCCGGGGCCGGGCGGTTGGGTGCGCTGTGCCTGACCCGCAGGATTCTCCCCGGTTTCACCTCCATGAAGCTGTAGCCGTTGCTGGACTCAATGCTGTCCAGCGGCCCCACGGCGTTCATCGTTTTGCCCATCAGGCAGCACAGGAGCCCATCGGTGATGCTGTTCAGCATTATGCTCCCTGCAGTGAAGGCAAAAGTGGGGGGGGGGGGAGCAGGAGAAGGGGGGTTAGTCACTATTTCCAGCACCTCACGGGGACTTCTGGGGGTCCTGGCTCCAGCACAGGGGACTGGGGACAGCCCCGTCCCCCCTCCACTTTGCTGCCAGTCTTGGGCAAAGCCACAGTGGCACAAGCGAGGGCAGAATGTGTCCCTGGGGGATGGGTTGAGGGGGGTGAACGTGGTGCTCCCCAAATGCACAGCCCTCCTCAGCCGCTGGCAAATGGGTTTCTGCTTCAGAACAAAGATGGACCCAGCACTCCCTGTCTGGCTTTGTCTGGGCCACGCGTCCCTGTCACCGAGCTGCTGCGATGTGCGCTGGCCCAGCAGAGATGAACTCAAGCGGCTGCAAACCCACGCAGTCCCACGGCACGCAGCCCTGATCTGCTCTGGCCAAGGGACGGAACACGCAAAGAAAAGCCTCTTCAAAATGAAAATGCTCTTTCTGGCACCAAATACAGAGCTAAGGAAAGATTCAGCTATCGAAATGCATTATTTATACCAATTAAATATATATATGTATCTCTAGTCTAAACCCGCACTACAAATAGCGAGAGATGGAAATTACAGGGATGGGAGATGAAGGTTTTAATTAGAGTCACTCCGCAAACCAAGGCTGAAAATAATATGGCAAGAGAACTGGGATGGAGGAACAGTGACCCAGCACCCGCTTGGGGGGTGTGGGAAACCCCCTCCCCACATCCCCACTTGGCACCACGTGGGCTGGCGGGGACGTGGCACCGTTCTTGCTGTTCCCAAGGCTCATGCCTTGATGTTTGCCCTTCCAGATGCGCTCGGGTGGCTTGGAGAGAGGGCTGTGGACACCGGGACCACCGAGCCCGGCTGAGAGCGAAGCCAGACCTGAGCAAAGACAGATGCAAGGTAGGAAAGGCCGGAGGCATCGGGGGCATTGGTGCCCCAATGCCACCCCAGCGGTGCCGAGGGTGGCTGCGGAGGGGGGCTGGGGAGGCCCCTGCCTCCCCTGGCTGGCAGCCTGATGTTCTTTTATTATTGATGAAGCTAAACATGGTGAATTATTGATGCCGATGGGCAAAGAAAGCCGGAGTGGGCGCTGCACAGAGGGGCTGTCCCTGCACCAGCTGCCCCCCGAGTGGCGGCTGCAGGTACTGACCACGACCCCCGCGGAGGGGAGGAGGAGGAAAAGCGTGTTCCCAGGGGGGAATTTAATGTCTTAAATTCCAGGGACGCTGTCAGGAGCAGCCCCCTGAACAGCCCCTTCAAGTGCACCTGGCAGGATTATGAGTGCTTTGCTGGCAAACCGCATGAGAGAGAATTAGTTAAAAAAAATGAGGGACGGAGGCAGGCTGGGAGCACAGGCCTCCTTCTCCTCTACAGCTTTTCTCATTCGCTGTGTTTGAGGAACACTGATCCTCCTCAGAGACCCCATGGACCCCAACAGGCCCAGCCTGGCCCCTGTGTGCTGCCGGGGGCTCTGCCAAGAGCTGCCGGTCAGCGAGGAGCCCAGGCACTCCAGCTTCAGCCCAACACACAGCTCATGGGTTTCCCTGGGAAAAAACAGCTTGTTTGCTCCAGGCAGGCAATCCGGGTAACGGTTTCTTTGGCAAAGCTGGAACAGCTTATCCGGGGAGAGCTGCCAGCTCTTGGGACAGCAGCCAGCATTTGATTCTCACCCAGCTCTGTGGGGGACAGTGGCCTGACTCCCCCACAAACCCCGTGTAAGGCTCCGCGTGCTGAATTGTAGGGACTGGAAATGAAGCAAAGGCGGTCCCGGGTGCTCCTTCTCCTGGCTGTTGGCTGGGGAGCAGCCCGGGGGCTCCCCTCGACATGGGGAATGGCAGGCCCAGCTCTCTGTGGTTTGGTGCCTGGGCTTGCATGGGCAATCTCTCTTCTGGACATGAGCACATCCACGCAGGATGCAGAACTTTCCAGCAGCCCGCTGCTCCCCGCAGCCTGGCCGAGCACCGTGCTAAACAGCTCCCTGTGCTCCTCCAGGGATGGCCCTGTCCAAGCTGATGAGCAAGAGCAGGAGCTCTCAGAGCCCTGGGAAGGAGAAACCAAATCCAGATCTGGTTGGCAAGGGGCCGGTGTGCTCTGCTGAGCCACGCTTCCAGATGGGTGATGAGCTGAGGAGCTGGGCACCAGCCTGCCTGGAGCCCTGACTGGAAGATGCCCAGCTGCCTCTACGCTGGGACAGACACGCCACTGCTCTTGCCATGCTCTCGGGCACCAGTTTGGTGCCAGGCTTGAGCTGCTTTTGATCCCCAAGCCGCTCTGGGCTGGTTGTGCTGAACAGAGAGATGGGGCAGGCAGAAAAACCCTGGGGGGGAGAGGGGAAACCGGGAAGACCCTGAGCCTCTCAGTCCCCATGAGCATGACTGTGAGACTTCCACATGGCAGGCCGCATCCTGCACCTGCACTGGGTACGGTTCCCCTGGGCTCAGCCTGTGGGACCGGGACGTGAATTTGCCTCTGATTTCCACAAAGCCTGGCTTTGCCCTGTGCCTCCATTTCAGAAGGTACTAATGATGTCTGTATAGATTATAAACAGGATTTCTGGCCAAACCGCCTCGACATTGATTAACTTCTCAGGATTAACTCAATTAGTCCATCCTGTTCATTTCCAGAATTGATTTGCTGGAAGGCTCTGGTAGTCAGGAGCTCTGCAGGCAGGTCCAGGAGACCAGGCTCAGGATTCCAGCCACCTCATCGGATCTGGGTACAAGCCTGGATCCTGCTGCAGGAGAGGGGCTGTTCAGCAGCGATGCCTCTGCTCAGATACGCCCAAGGCTGGAGCTCGTGGTCCAGGATGTGGCAGTCCCTGCTGGGTATCAGGCTGAGGAAACACCACCCGAATCCCATCAGTGAGCACATCCCGGTCGAGCCGTTCAGTGGGAAATGGCGGGGCAGGAGGTTAAGCGACTCAACTCAATGTCAGGCTTCGGCTCGGGGGCTCAGGGAGGCAGAGTGTGCCCGTCTCCCACCTCCCACACACCTCCTCTAACCCACCACGCCGTCTGCTGCGGCGGATGCAGCCAGAAACATCAAGGGATGTTCCCTCCGCGAGATGAAAAGGGCTGAAAAACGAAACCAGATGGATGCGAAGAACTTTGCAAAGATGCTGGTAACCATGGCGATGAGCTGCTTTCAGCCCCCCCCCCCCCCCCCCCCCCCCAATATCCCAGCTACCTTCCATCACCACCCCCGGCAGAGAGCGAGATTTCGGCACTGGTTACATAAGGCCAGGCACAACAATGAGTCAGGCACAGTGCGAACCTGCCGCCGGCCCCCGTGTCCCACGAAGCTGAGGACGCGGCGCAGGCTTGGCAAGGCGGACAGCATCGCCCCGAGCTGATACTCATGTCCCGATGTCCCCTCAAAAATCATAGCTGTCCCCAGGAAACTGCTCCCAGCAGAGAGGGGATGCTGGAGGGATGCTGGGGGTTAATCCCAGGAGGATGATTTATTGCTCAGGTCCAAACCCAATCCCAGAGCACCCATGCGGGGTTCTCCGGCTTCACCCTCCCTGTCGCCGCAGTGAATAACCCGGCTGGGGAAAAACAACTTACTGACCTACTTCAGGCTGCAGCGCCTCGTATTTTATACAGCTTGATGGCACCATGTCACAGCTGGAGAAAAATGGGATGAGATGCAACGTGGCAGGGTGGAGGGTGGAAAGTCTGATAGGGCAATGTGACAGGCAGCAGCCATGCAGGGCTGACACGGAGTCTGTGGGGCTGACATACAGCCTGTGGGGGGGTGTATCAGGGCAGTGCTCACACCACGTCCACCCCAGGGATGTGACAGCATGTCACGGGCCCAGCTGGCTCTTCCCTTGCCACCCCTGGTCTGCCCTGCCCCAAACAGCCTTGTCCCACAGTGGTTCTGTCCCTGCTGGGTCCCTGCACACAGCGCTGGGGACGGCCAATGGCCCGAACATCCAGGGTGCTGGGAATGACAAAAATCTCCTCCTCCTGTCCCATCCCCACTGGGGAGACCTTGAATTATGGGCAGGAGCATTTCTCCATGGCAGCCCCCAGGGCCCTGCTGAGAGAAGTCCTGGTAAACATTTGGCCCCAATAAGCGAGCCGAAAGCATCGTTTACCGCAGGGACAGCATGAGCAGGAGTCAGCGCCGGAGCCAATGGCCACAAACCTCTCCATAACCCAGCCAGTCCCATCCCCGCTCAGCACCTCCGTCCTCCTTCCTGCACAAAGCCCTGGGCCCTCGCAGGGAGTAGCAGGGACTTGATATCTGCTAATTCCTTGCAAATCCTCTGAGGAGAGATGCCAGAGAGGAGCGTGAGATGTGCTGCCGCCAGAATCTGACCTGCCATAATAATTTGTTCAGCTCTAATCCCTTCCCTCCGGGGCTCACGAGTATTAATGATGACACACGACACTCCTGAGGAATGGGCAAATACTATTATGCTCTTCCCAGCCTCCCCCAGTCATTCACTCTCTGCAAAGTGGAGAAACTGCAGCATCAAGAAACACATAAAGAGAATGTCTGTTTAAGCACCGATCTCAGATAACACGCAAGAAAATGTTTATGCCACTCAGTCTTGGTCCTGCAAAGTAAACTTCCCTCTGGGGGAATGTGAAAAAGCCACTTCAGCTGGTGGCAAGCACCTGGATTTATTCTGTTACGCCTGGCTTCCCTGTCCTCGTACAATTATAGCAGCTTAGGAGTAAGTAGTCAGGAAGGCTTTATCAGTCCTGCAAATAGAAAAGCAAAGAGGCAGCCCTGGAATCCTCAGCACAGGCAGGGATGCAGCCTCCCAGGAGGGGGAGGACCGGTCCCCAGGACTTTGCCGAGGGCCTGCAGGACGCAGACAAATTGCATTCAGTCAAGAAACGGCATGGCAGGGAAAGCAGAGCGTCTGCAAGACGTATGGCAGCCTGGAGCCGCAGCTGGCTGCCTGCCACACGTCTCTCTTTAGGAAGGAAGAAGACCTTGAGAAACAAAAGATTATGCAATGCACAGCAGAGTAACCTGTGCCTGACCTCTGCGACCGAAATCCCGCTTAACCCGCCTCCGTTTCCCAAATCTCCTGCATTTCCAAGGGGGATCACCCCCCGGTCCCACCGCATAGCCGCAAAAAAATGCCGGTTGGATTCCTCCGGCAGCAAACATCCTCCAGCAGCGAGCTGGAAGAAACCATTGCAAGGAGGCAGGAGAAGAAGAAAACCCTGCCCCCTCCGCTGGGCAGCGATGCGTGCAGGTGCCCCCTCGATCTCCAACTGAAAATCCAAGCAGATTTGACACGCACATAGCAACAGCAAGTCTTCGGTCAGAGCCAGCAATCATTTACTGCAATTGCATCACAACAGAAGCCGTCCCTTAAGTTTTATCACTGGGCAGCTTTTTATAACCCCCGTGCTCAAAGCATGCTGAATATAACAGAGTTATTTAAGCGCAAGCAATGCCAGGCTGCTGCAAGGTTACTCTCTCCCCTTCTCTCCCTGCAATCCTACCTAATGTCTCTCAAATCCCTTCCCGTTGTCAGCTTCGAAAAAAAACATCTTTTGGCCATTTTGCTCCCTGTGCAGAACACCTTCCTCCCCTCTGCTTCAGCGCATGCCCTACATCACGGCTTGTGCTCCGAGTCCTCTGCACAAAGAGAGAGAGACAGAAGAGGATGCTCACCTCATTTATTGACAGGGATTGTCAGGAGTCGAGGTTGCAAATGAAAGGCTTAAATCTTGCAGGAGGCAAAGGGGGAGAGGAAAAGATGCCCGAGGCGGTGGGAGCCTGTGCAGGATGCAGGGTGCCAGTGCTGGCAGGCTGCTCAGCTTTTCAGCTCCTCCGATTACATTTTTTTGCCTGTCTGGTGAGAAGGATGGAGCAATACCTTCAGCTCAGCTCATCTGCTTTAGACCGAAATCTCTCCTTCCATCTTCTCCCCATGAGCAGCTTCATAACTGAGCTCTGGGGTTTGGGGGTGCTGTTTGTCCTTGTAGTCTATAGCCATAGAAAGCCCCTTAAATCCCTCCTAAAGAGGAGGGCTCTCGGTGTGACAGACAAGGAGACTTGCCAGTCAAAGCAAGACCCAGCACAGCCCCACCGCCCGCCCATGGGAGCCTGCCAGGAGCTGGGGGTGCAGGAGGACTCGCCGTGTTTTTTTGCCCCTTCCAGTGGGATGAGTTACTGACTTCCTTTTTTACCTTTTCATCGCCATTCTGGTATTTGCCACGAGCATGTGGGAGCTCAGCATGGGTGGTGGTGCACCGAAAGCATGAATGTGCAGATCCCAGGGGCTGGGACAGGAGGGCAAACATAAAATCACAACTGTCTCTTGTAAACCCAAACCCACAGCTGTGGGTTTGGGAGAGCTGGAGTTGCATCCCCTGGCCCCAGCGGGCTGGCCTCTGGCAGGAACACACCAAACCAGTACAGAAAAGCCCTGGAGCTGGTGCCTGGTCTTGGTGACACAGTTGGGCTTGACTCCAGCCAAGCAATGTGAAGGATCTTTTTGATGATCAGAGCAGATGGTGAGGATGACTGAGATCCTGTGGATTATCAGTCACTCTCCATCTGACTCCCCAGCTGGCCTTCCTCATCCTCTTCTGCCTCTTCCTCCTCCTGCGCCTTGTTTTTTTGCTCTGTAAAACATGCATAATCCCATTCACCTACTCAGGAATGGGCAGAGGGTGAAACTTTCTGTAGCTGCCTTGGCACATTCTACATGATGCCACTTTATCTACATATATATGTTAGAGGATGAAAGTGATCAGAGTCCAGTTGCACCAGTTTACCCTCTGCCAGGCCAGTCACGGCACCCAGCAGGCCTTCCAAAAACGTTTCTGTGCTCCACACTGCTTGCCGTGACAGTTTTGGGGGGCAGCCTGAGCACCCCCCTCACGGGCGAGGAGACGGGGCAGGCAGGGCTGGGGTGCCGGTCCCAGCCCTCCCACCCATATCGGTGCTGATGCCAGCAGACCATCCTGGCATGGAATAAAGCAGCATTTTAAGGCGTTTTTTTTTGCTCTGTTGGTTTGTGACAGGGACGAGCCCCTCCCTCCCTCGTTGCGGGAGGCCTCGGCGCTCCGCAAGACCGGGGCGGGGGAGGGGGGGGCCCAGGCCGTGCCCCGCGGCCGTCGCCGTGGCAACAGCGATCACCTCCGCGACTACAAGGCCCATCAGCCCTTGCGGCCCTTTGCGCATGCGCAATCACCGCCGGCGGTGATTGGCCGGGCGGAGGGAGCCAATCGCGGCGGGGTTTGTTGGGAGGGTCCGTGTTGTCAGGGCGGAGAGGGGGAGATGATGGCAGCGCTGGGCTTCGTCTGGCCGCGGGTGGTTGGCGGCAGGTAACGGGGAGGGCTGAGGGCGGGCGGGGTGTGGGGTTACCCCGGGGGAGCGTGGACGGCGCGGTCCCTCATGCCTGCAAGAAAAAAAACAAAACAAAACAAAACAACCTTTATTTTCTCACTCCAGGCTCTCTGTCTCACTTCTCTGGTTTGTTTTTCTGTGTTGTTTTTTTTCCTCGTTTCTCTGTTCGTTTGTTTTTATTTTGATTTTTGTTCGGTTGATTTGTGTTTTTTTTCCTCGTTTTTCCAAAGACTTCTGCTGCAACAAGCTGCTGCCTGCCCTTTCCAGCTCCGGGCAGCCTCCGTCCTCTCAAGCTCCTCGGAGCTGCCCCTCCGAAGCCGTCTCACCCTCAGACCCGCGGGTGTCAGCCCCGGGCCGGCGTTTTGCTGGAATCACCAGCAGATCCGCACCAAAGCGCGTGGGAACGAGTATCAGCCCAACAACCGCAAGCGCAAACGGACCCACGGCTGGATCAAGCGCATCAGCACGCCGGCCGGCATCGAGGTCATCCTTCGGCGGATGCTGAAGGACAGGAAGTCTCTGAGCCACTGAAAGCTCTGCCCGTGGGGTTGGTTTTCTGTGGGGGCAGCCGGAATCCGAGCCCTGGAGCTGCTGCAGCTTTGGAGTGACCCAGCCTGCATGTCCGTGCAGGGGGGAGGCGCTGCCAAGCAGCAGCGACTGACCAGCCCTCTCATGTGAGACACTCTGTGCCTTGAGGGTTGGCCTCCGAGAGCTTTGTTTAATGTCTGCTTCTTAAATTGTAAAATTATTGCCGCTTTATACGCCTGATTCAAAGATAAACCTGGGAAAACACGAGCTGTGATTAAAGCCCAGTGACTCGCCTTGAACTTCCTGCACAAAACTTAATATGGGAGGGGGAAGCTGGCTTGTTCATGGGGTCGTAGCTGCTAGGGAGCCTTCAGAAGGGTGACACGAGTTTGGAATTAGGGCTGAGGGTGGAGGGAATTTTGGGTTTAGTTTGCTTGGGTTCTGTTTAGTTTACTCTGCCCGCTCCGCACCTCCGTCCCCCCGGGGATGTCGGGGGGGGGGGGTGTCTCAGCCACAGCTCTGGGCTGGCGGCAGGGTGGAGGTGAGGAATTCCCTTCTCCCTGCCCCTGTTTTGCCAGCGCTGCTAATCAACTGCCTCGCTCCTGCCGCCTAATGAGCAGCGCCTTCATTAAGGAAGGACAAGGTCAGCCGGGGCATGGACTACAGCTCCCAGCGTGCCCTGCGGCCGGCGCAACATCCGGGTTCTCTCCCCCCCAACACACACCCGGGGCCTTCCCAGGGGGCATTTCGCGCCTCAACCTAACCCCACGCTCCTCCGCGTTGAGTGATGGGCGCGCCGCCCAATGGGCGGCGAGAGCGGCGCGGGGCGGACCAATCGGGACGCGCGGGGTGGGCGCTGGGGGCGGTGGGTGGGTTGAGGCGCGGCGGCGGCGGGGGAGGGGCGGCTTCTCCCGGCTGGCGGCGGCGAAGATGGTAGGTGCCTCGCGCCCCCCGCCCGAAATGGCGGCGGCCCCGCCCCGGTGCCCCGAGGGGAGCGTGGCCCGTGGGGTCCCGCTGCCGCTGTCCCGGGGATGGCGGGGGGGGGGGGGGCGGACACACGGACACACCCGCGGCCTCCTCCGGCCCTGCAGGCCCCGCACCCTCCAGCGGCCCCGCCCGGGGCCTCGGCGGAGGCGGGAGGGCGGTGGGGCAGCGGGGGCCTCGGCCGAGGGCTGGGCACCCCGAGGTGGGTGTTGCCCCACCCTCTGTGTCACGGGGGGCTGGGGAGTGTTGCGCGTCCCTAGCGACGGGGCGGGGGGTGCGGGGGAGTCCCACACCCCAAGGGGTGGAAGGCTGTAGCACCCTAAGATGGCGGGGCTCCCCACCCCCAGGAGTGGGAGGGTAAGGAGGGTAGGGACACCCTGAGCTGGGGACGCACCCCTTCTTTTAGGGTGGGGCACCCCAGGCTAGGGGGTTCCCCTCTTACAGTATTTGCGGGGGGGGGGTGGTGGTACTTCAGGGTATGGGCTATTCCCCACCACGGCTGGAGGGCGGGGGCTCCCCCCGGGGTGTGGGATTTTCCCCACCCTCAGGCATGGGGAGCTGAGAGCGGCTGGGGTGCTACCAGGGTGCAGGGCGTTTCCTGCACCCCTAAAGCTGGGGGTAAGGGCGGGGGGGCACGCAGAAGAGGGAAATTGGAACTCCTCTGAGGAGTGGGGTGCTCCCCTGTCCCCAGGGCTGGGGCGGTGTGGAGGTTGTTTGTGCCCCCTAAGCAGCAACAGGCACTGGATCTGGTGCCTGAGCGTTTGGCGGCAGCTGTCATAGCCAAGAGGCTTCCAGTCTCCTTTCCTCCCTTTGTAGCGATGTAATAATTTTTGGAGAAAGAGGATTTTCCTTTTGCCTCTCTCCAAGCTCAGTAACTAAGGGGAAAACACTGGCGTTCCTGTGGTGTCCGTGTACACGCGTACTGTGGCTGTTCCCAAGCCTGTGTTAGTGGTTTTCCTGCAACCCACGTCCACGTGTGTGTGCATCATGCTGGGACACGACCCTGCTTTCAGCATCTGCGTGCGGGGCCTTGTCTTCTGAACATTGTTACTGCGGTTCCTTTCAGAAGCTGAGAATGGGGTACATACTGTTTTGGATTTGTTTTTTTTTTTTTTACCTTTCTGCTTTTAGATGAGGACTGTCATCTTCCTAGGAAGCTGAGCACCCTTGTTGACACAGGAACAGTAGATGCATCTTATCTCTATGTCACTTCCCAAATTGTAGAAGCAACCAGTGTTGTCTTCTGAGGTTGCATAATTGCACTTTTTTTTTTTTTTTTTTTTTTGTGTTTGCCTTTCCCCAAAGGAAATGAGGCATCTACTTGGTTCGGGTGCTGTTTTTTCACTTCCACATAGGACGCTGTCTCAGCCTCACTAGCTTGGCCGGGGTGCACTTCCTTTGTTTAAAGAGTGGCAGAAGGCACACAGGGGGAACATTTCCTCATGTGACATTATACGGGAGGTATGACTTGGTGTGCCTTGTGCGATAGGTGTGTAAACAGGGCAGAGACCTACCAGGGCTTATTTATCTGTTGCCCTTGGAGCAGATAAGGATCATTGCACTTGCAGTATTGTCTAATTCTAAATATCCAGGAATATCACTCCAGGCAGTTCCTCTGAGGGGGCCTTTTTGATGATCTCTGAGATCATATCAGCAGATAGCCGCTGAAACGTGCGTGCCCGTTGCAGGATAATCATTATCGGAGGGATGGTCTGTGTCAGTGACAACCAGATTTTTCAGTTGAACTGGTGATGACTGCTGGAGCCTAGGTTGGAGAAATGTCTGTCTCGTGTTCAAGTTTTTTTAGTGTCTCTGTTTTTCTGCTCCAGCTAAGTTACAGCTGAGCAGTGGGCATAACCAGCGGGGCTGGAGCGACTGCTGGCCTGAGAAAAGGAAAGGTGGTGGCCAAGAGCCAGGGACGCTCGTGGCTGTTGGAGCAGAGCTCTCCAGGTGTGGTCTGAGCCTAGTAACCTTCCTGCTTACGAGTCTGCATTTAACTGGTATATATCCTGCTTTAGTTGTTTATGTTGTAGGGGGCGGGGGGGAAGAAACACATTCACCATTTAAATTGCATTTTGACTGATAGTTTTAACAGTATTGTTGCAATTTACTGGACGTAATTTACTCTGCTGTAAAAATCCATTAAAAGACCATGGAATCCCTGGTGAGAGCTGTAATCCCGCTTGTCCAGCCTCTTTCCAGGGAAAGTTGGGCTTTGCTAGACCAGATCCCTGGCTGGAAAGTAGGGAATAGTCTAGTGTGAGGAGCTTGGGATGAGCTGTAGCTTATTGAAGAGGTACTTGAAGTTGTGTGCTCCTAAATAAGAGCAGTTATTTTCCATTCCTATAAGTGGCAATAAAACCAAGTAGTTGTCATGCTTCTGCTGCAATAAAAGAAATCAAGGACACGTCTGTCTCTTTCTTGATTAGGCAGGTTTAGTGGAGCGGGTTACTTTGTCATAAAAAGCCTGCAAATTTAATGCAAGGGGAAGGTGAGATGCTTTGAAATGTAACACGATCTTTTCAAAGATCCTCAATCCTTCTAAACAGAGTAATATAATTAGTTTGCTACTTGGTGCTGACTGTGGAAGTTGGTGTGAACAGATGAATAGAGAAATCCATCGGGGCAGACTTGGGAGGTGGTGAACACGGTCTGAAAGCGAGTACTTCTGTCACAGCAGAGCCGTAAGGTCCTGCCTTGATTCCTGAGCTCAGCTGCAGCACGGACGTTATGCAGAGGAGTGAGCGATGGACTCTGTCCTGGAGAGCTCGCGGCCGGAGGCAGTGGAGGCACAGGGAGTTAGTGTTGGGCCTGTGGGGGTTAAGACCGGCAAGAGAAATTTGCTGTTTGAACCCAAGTCCAGTATTTTCACAGGATTATTTCTAAAACCAGGCATATGGGAAGGGTTGAATGTGGAAACTAGAATGTCATGTAGAATTCTGAAGAATGAAAGTATGAATGATATTTTCTGGTTTGACTAATTGTAGCTCTTTGTTTTGAATTAAAGTTGCAGTGTAAATAAAAATAATGACTTCTATTTAAATGAAAACAATGCCTTCCCACCTAGCTGTTTTATAGCAATAGTGTCCATTTATTTGTTGCTTCTAACACTGAAATTAAATGACTTCTCATCTCCTGTTTTACTGTCCTTTTAAAATTGCTTATAAAGAAGGAGATGTATGTCCTGGAGTAGAAAGAACCCTTTAGTGCTCAGCTTAACAGGCTTTGAATCTTTAAGCGAGTGTTGTTACAATGCAGGTAGCTGCTCTGATGATTTAGAAGGGACGTCTCAGGGCCTCTCTCTCTTACAGGTACATCTTACATTTATTACCCACCTTCTCTTTACTTTGAAGAAATTGCTGGGCACCTTCCTTTGTCTCTGCTGTAAGCAGAGGGACTCCAACACACTTTTAAACTTGATTTTCTCCTGACCTCATAATGTTCTCTTCCCGCCCTCCTTTTTCACTTTGGAGAAGGAAATTCCTGTTTCATGCTGCTATGGCTTAATTAAACAGAGAGGGCTCTGCAGGGTTCCCACGGCTGTTTAGCAAATAGCTTTGCTGGCCCGGGATACCAACAAACAGTTTTGTTGTGAGTGGTGATCTAACTGCTTCCAGCAAAACTTGGGATTATTTTTTTTGATGTACCAATAGCCTTGATGTGTGTAAGGGATGTGATCCTTCAAAAGAGAAAAAAAAAAAAAAAAAGTTGAGCCAGGCTGATAAGTGTATGATAAGGATTGGGCTTTTGAGGCCGCGTAGGCTTTCATTGCTCTGTGGAGCCAGCCTTGGTCTATGACAAAGAATGTTAACTGGGGAAAAAAAAGAGCAACTGGTTTGATATGGTGTCATATTCAAGGACTTCAGACATCAGCGTAGCTGTAGCAGGGTTTCTCGTGTGGTTGTGATTTGTGCTGGTAAATTACTGTGATTCTGATCTGCTCATCAGTGGTGGTTGTGTCTGTGTGGTGCAGATCTTCCTTCTGTCAGAGCTCACTCAGTTGGACACATACCTCTTTTTAATCACCTATATGCCAAAAGATATTTAATTAGCAGCTTTCTAACTGAATTACTGAACTTTGAGGCTATAACCAGCCTAGTGCAGAAGCTGGGGGCTGGCTTACTTCACAAAACCAGTTTGGGGCGGGTTTTGGTATCCATCAGTGGAGGCCTGGCAGCATCCTTCACTTCCTGCAGTTGTTCATCTCTGTGCCCTGAGCGAGTCCTTCGAGAATCAGCACAAAGCAAACAACAGCCCAAATATCACTTTTTCTTTCCTCGCCTACTTCTTTGTATTCTGTGTCTTTTTAGGCAGATTTTTTGAAAGGATTACCAGTCTACAACAAAAGCAACTTCAGCAGATTCCATGCGGATTCTGTATGTAAAGCATCAGTAAGTATTGCCACATCCTGGTGCTTTGGGGGAAGGTTTTCTTGCACGACTCAAAAGATGCTGGAGTGAAATAAACTTGAAATGAGTATTTTGTTTCTTAAAAAACATGTATGATCACAGCTGATAGTTCACGAGTAGAGGTTGGCAAGGAAAACTTCCTGCTTGCTTTGGTGAGGAATGTGTGCTCACATCAGCCAAACCACATCTGTGGTGCTTTCTTTGTATATACATTCTTTAATAATAGTCTTATGTCCTGAAAAACATGTAAAAAATGGACCTTTTCCTTTATATGTGTGTTTTAAAAAGCTGTAGCTGCACGGTGTCATGTAACAAGGCAGAATATCACAGTGCATTTGTAGCCTGTGTTAATGAGGGCCTTCTGGTTGGTTTATTTGTGCTTGGGTTCAAAATCACTTTTTTGCTGTTTTTGTTCTGTAACCGTTCTAATTCTTCTACAGAATAGAAGACCATCGGTATATCTTCCCACGAGAGAATACCCATCTGAACAAAGTAAGTCTGCCCTGATAAAGCTTGTGTTTAATACCTTTATTCTGTTTTAATATTAAAAATCTGGCATACATGTAATCTCCCTTGTTTTAAACTTCAGATAAGGTGATATTCTCAAACTGTCACTGCAGTCATAAGGAGTGTATGTCTAGTTGGGGTCTGGGTTTTTTGGTGCCTTTCCTCTCTCCTTACTGTTCCTGCATACTGTCCTTTCATTAAAGGGGACCGTGCTTAGTATGTGAAGTAACGTGGTGATTACTGCACCATTTTAAAAGTCATCTTTAAAATGACCGCAGTATATCTCTCTCTTTTTTTTTGGCAGTTATAGTAACAGAAAAGACAAATATACTTTTGCGTTATTTACATCAGCAGTGGGACAAAAAGGTATGGCTGTGTTTTCTTAATATTAACACGTTGTCTTGATTTGCTGACTTGGGCTAAATGAGCTGAATATTAATCACAATCAAAATATTGACAGTTAATAAAAAGAGAGTGCAAGGAGGCTCTGTCTCTGCACAACACTTCTTTAAAAAAAAAAAACAACTTTTTCCTCCCTTTCAATGTAAGGGACATTAGCTCAGTGTTTAGTCTAGAACTTGGGAATCTGCATTTACATCTCCCACTTACTGCAGTTTTCCTTTGTGACTGTGGCAAATTGGTCCCCCTGTGCCTCAGTGTCTGCTTTGCAGCTGGGGTAAAGCTGCTCTTGCCTCTCAGGATTATTAGGAGAAGACAGATGAGCTTGTACGGAATGTGAATGCACTAAGGAGGCCCTGTAAGTACCTTGGGTGCAAAATCTGAGTTCTCATATGAGGAATGTAACACAAATCAGTATGCTCTAGCTAGCGTTTGAGACTAAGGAAGCTGGGATACCTGGGCTGGGAGTACTCAGAGCAGGGCAATGACTTAGGAGGGGTGATGTCGAAGCAGTGAGTGTAATCATGGGCAGAGCTGGGATTGCAGGAGAACGTGGAGAGGGGTAAAATTATAAGGAACTTTGAAGCTGAAAAGAAAGTATTTGTGTGTGACAGTAGGCTTCAGGAGATGTTGATAAGTTCAGGGACTGACTCAGAGCAGTGGGAAAGAGGCTCTTACTCATGTTTATGCAATATTTGAGATCTATAAATAAAAGGTGCTGAGATCAATGGTGTTTTCATCCCACCCTCAAATTTGAAGAACAATCTAGAAGGGAGTGCCTTTTGGCTTTGGGCAAAATCCTCTGCAGTGTTTGTTCCAGCGTGCCACTTAGATCATTGCATCCAAAAACTTGTACAAATCAAAATTCCTTCTGCCAACACTAGCTCCCACCAGAATCTAAGGCTTTGCAGAGTTTCACTGTGGCTTTCTCTGTCCAAACAGAATGCGGCAAAGAAGAGAGATCAAGAGCAAGTGGAAATAGAAGGTGAGAATTCGGCGCCACCACGGAAAATCGCTCGGACAGACAGCCAGGATATGAATGAGGACACTTAAACTCTTGGCTTTCTCCTCTACTACCTTGCAGGCGCTTCCTGTTTTGTCTCAAAGTGTGTAAATTTTGCCCCTTGCCCCCATCTCTCACCCCTTCACTACGCAGCCCAAACCACTTCTGATTTCATAGGAGCCAATGTATTTATTTTTTTTCTCTCCATTTTTTATTTATACCGTAAAACTTACGGAGCAGTGGTGGAACAATTCAGTAAGAGATGTAGTATAATGTTAGTTCCTTCTTTCTAAAAATATACACCGTCACTTTCACAGGTTTTGTTGAATCTGTTACCTAATCAACCAGGTATATCTCTGGGAGCCTGGGTAGGAGACGCGGGTTATTACTGAACCCTGCAGTGATGTAGGCTTTCCAATTCATGTACCTGTTGACATAGTACAAGTGGTTAACTCTTCTTCAGATGTGTCCAGTCCAGCCAGAAGTGTGGGGCCTCACTATTTTTTGCAAATATTCTGAAACTGGCACTGCACTAAAAAAAAAAAAAAAAAAAAAATCATGGGTGTCATTTAGGGTTACGCTGATCTTAGGAAGCGCGTTGTCAACTTGATATATCAGTTGTATTCTTCTGGTCTGTTCTGTAAGGGCCACGGTCATTTGGCAGCGTACATTATCTCATGCATCAGTGGTCATGGAGAATTCAAGTGAAGGGTGTGTTGCTTTTATTGCTCTTAAATTCTAACCGTCTCTTGGTCTCGAACGGACTGATATGTGCAACTTCTGCGTTGGAATAAAAGGATACCCTTATCCTATTCTGAGTATTTGATCAACAGCGTATTTTAGCAGCAGCTGGTGGAATGGAGTTGGGTAGGCACCCGGCAGGCAGCGCGTGGCTGGATAAGTCTGGGAGCACCTCGGCGACTAGATCTAGTTCTCTGTCTCAACTGCCGGCTCTGAATAATGGTACGCTGTATTTTCCTGTGATATCGGCATGTCTGGAACGGAGTCTAGGACTTGAAGTTGTTCAAAATCTGAGCTTCCATGGTCTCAGATGAAGACCAATCTCTTTTGGACTGTGACAGTTCAGTGCCTGTTGCCTGTAACCCTTCGCTGACTCTTCAGTAAGAGCCAAAATGGAGACCTGTAAGTCGTCTGGGTGGATTCAGAGGTTGAGAGACTGAAAGGAAACGAGCATCGTCACCTGAAGGGGACAGGAAAGGTGTAGCTTAGTAATGATGTCTTGTCTGCTTTAACGTAAGAAGCTGACTTCACACTGTGTTAGTTTAAATTGTTGCATTTATAGCTGTGTTTTTTCCTCGTGGACAAATCCTAGACACCAATTCAAGAAATTGCACGAACGTTTTTCTAGAGATCCTGGATAAGGCTCGTCCTGAGTGGCTGCAGTGGCCGTGAGCTTTGAGGGTTTGTGGTGTCCCCTTCTCCACCAACTTTGAGGGCTTCTGCCTTCCCCCCTTTCCAACCGGGGGACACTACACATTCAGGTTTGGGGGCAAAGAGAGGTAAACTGTTGCTGACCACCGTATGTTGCAAGGCAGAACCTTAGGGAGAGCAGGGCACAGCTCTTGTTGCAATTTTAAATGTTATGTTAGGCACCAAGTTTCTGATGCAGTGAGTGAATTTAACTTAACACTGAGTAGTTTAGAACTTTGTATCTGCCACAAAAAACATTACCTTTTTGCTATGGCAGTAACCTCCAAATTACTGGAATGTCGTTGACAATGCCAACTGTGTTGGTGAAGGTAAAATGCACGTGGGTTTCCGTGTGATTTACTGGCGCTTGCAAGAGGACTCCTCCCTGAGTTACGCTGTCAAAAAGTGCTTTTGTGCAAAGTGCAAGACGTTGCCTGAAGATGCCGTGTTAGCATCCGGCCTCGCAGGGATTATCTGAAGCTGAAACTGAAGAATCCTTTGAAGAGCTGCGAGGTACCAAAAGAGGAAATGGACGTGCAGCTGGTGGTAAAGTGTGACCAATTTGTGTGTTTAGCAAAGCTTGAGAGCTGCAGCCTTGCAGTTATGTCTGTACAGTGCTTTAAAGTTGTAAAATGCTGTATAATTCTTGATTGATATGGCAAGGTTTGAGCTTTGCTGACTTCTCTGCTAGACAGAGTGATGTACTATTAAAGAGAGTTGGCAGTTCCTTCCTGTTGTAAACCCCCGTCTTTGTTCCCTCTGTGTCTTTAAAAATGATCTTGTTGGTTATGGGAGCCTTTGAAATATTTTGGATATTTTCAGGAGGTAAAACAAAGTTGCCTTTTTAAGGTACTTCTGAAGCGATGGACAAGTCTTCAAAGGGACGTGACTTTTAAGTGTCACTGGTGTTTTTTGCATCGGTGGCTGCGTACAAGCAGTGTGGCTTTCTGGACCTGCAGTGAGTCTTTCTACAGCCCACCAGTCTGAAGCAGGAGCTCGCTCCCTTCGTCCTCTTCCTCCTCCTCCTCCAGCTCACGTTCCACGCTGCTCCTGGCTCAAGTGCTGTCCCCAAGCTGCCGCACTTTGATCCTGTAGTCACGTCTATTTAATACCTGGTAAGTGTGTGGGATTTGAATGTTGCATGGAAGATCGTACTTGCCTAACTGTGACTTCCTGGTGCCTTAGTGCATTGAAAACAACAAAAAAATGTTTAAAAAAAAAAAACCCTGGGATTTTGCTGACCACACTGTTTGTATAATACCTAGCTCTGACTTCCAACTCATGTTAAAAAATGACTGAGATTTAGTGACCCTCAGGGGGTTTTTGTATATGTCTGCATAGTGGTATTTTTATTGTTTCTGTTACCAATGTATACTAAAGGTTTGGGTTTTTTAATGAAAACTTGAGATACTTGCCAGAGATCAGAATTTGTTTTTGGTTTTGTTTTTTTTTTTTTTTTGTTAAGTCAAATAGCACATCTTTTCTGAAAAGTCAAAGCAGCAGAAACGTGTTTCTTAGTATCAAGGGATGATGAGTCTGTCTAGGAGCAGCCCCTTCCAGCAGACACTCCTGTTCACAGGCGTCTGGCCTGGGTTAAACAGCGCTGGAGCTTGTGAGCAAAGGGTGGAAGCTGAGTAAGTTCAGAATATGAAAAAGCTAGGCGCTGCCTTTTTCTAACATAGAAATACACTAGTGACTGATGTGCAGGGAAACTGAAGTTTTGTGTAGGTAATTCTTGATATCATATGATCACTTCTTTTTTTGGGGGGGGGGGGAAGAAATAGTTAAAAAAAAAAAGGTGGGAAAATGTTGAGAGAAAGGGCAGACTTCAACAGGTTCAGTGAATTCACACTGAGGGGACAGGTAACGGCTGGAGCAGCAGCGCCTGCGCGTGTTTGCATTGGCAGTTGACTCCTGGGGTTTGCTGGCTCTGTTTTGCCAGAGTAGGTTCAGTCAGGTAACGTTGGCGTGTTCAGCTTTCAAGGTGTTTCCTGTTTCTGACCTCGGATGTTTTTTCGAGACCCTAATGAACGGTGCCCTGGGTTCTGTGTTCGGTATTGCCCGTGCTTTGAGCAGGGGGCCGGAGGCGACCCCCCTGGGGGGAAGTGCAAAATGTAGCAGAACCTGTGGCTGGAAGGTTTGTTTTTATCCGAATCTGGCGAGCTGTGGAAGACTGTTGGCAAAGCTGATGGAGTTTGCAAGCACGTGCAAAAGTGTTTTTTTGACAAGTCCTGAAACCACGTTGTGCTACAAAGGATGGAGATCCTTTGGGATGGGAGGGGGAGGAAGGGAGCTGTCCTGGGTCCAAACTCTACCATGGGAGTACTTAAGGTGGGCAGAAGTTTTTAGGTGTACTTTGCTAACAGGATGCCCTATATGAGGACAGGCTTGTAGAATTGTTTAGAGGTGTTAGACCTGATTAAAAAGGAAAAAAAAAAAAAAAGACTTGTTTTCTGAGCTTTAGCAAGACACAAAGCACCAGCAGCGCGCTGGTGCGGGGGTGTGGTGTACGTCCCAGTAGCTGTTGGGAGCTGGTTGCTCAGCCGGGTTGTGATGAATCCAAAGGACACGCTTAACCCGACCGCTGGCTTTGCTCATCCTGGGGAAGGTGCCAAGCGGCTCGTGAGCTCCGTGGCCGTGCAGACATTTGGGGATGTGCCGGCAGCTCTGCGTGGGGAGGGCTGTGAAGGTCGGAGTGGGATCGGCTGGGAAACGGGTTTCCTGCCCTCTCCGGCGCGCGCCTTAGGCAGCAGTTCAGTTGTCGGTGTTTGGACTGTTTCCCGTGAGGCAAATTTTGAACGTGCTGGACAGTAATCCTCAAATTTTCCCTCTATATTAAGTAGTTATATCAGGTGTAACTTCAGAGAGTTATTTTCTGATGAGCTCCTTGACACGGGCCTTAAGGGCAAAGACTAAGCAGGAGTCTTGGATTTTTTTCTAACACTGCAGCCATCACCTGTGTTACAACATAGCTGATCCTGGCTTGCCTGTATACCACTAGCTTCATTTTTTGGTTTTACAATTTTTTTTTTTTGCAAAAAGACCAGCATATCTATAATAGGAAAAGTAATTTGTTTTCCTGGATTAATGACGTCAGCCTGGCAGCAGAGGAATTGTGCGACACACTGACCGTGACCAGAGGGGTTCCAGCCGATCGCTCTGTGTCAGGTTTTATCTTTTTTTTTTTTTTTTTTTTTTTTGATGTGTAACAGAGTGGGAAATCCTTTTCTTTAAAGAAGAGAGGGTTGCATTTACCTGAGAGCAGCTAAGGGTATTTTTGGGAGCGGTGCAGGGGATGTGCTGGCTGCTGTGCCCAGAAGAGGATATTGCATCATGGCTTTGGTGAAGCACACACTGACCTTCACACCGTGCTGACGGCGCTTTCGGGTTTCTCTGCTGCTGGTTCACGACGTCTGTGCCCTGAGAGCGGAGAGCGCGGCCCTGGGGTCTTGGTTAACAGCTCATCTGGGATGTTTGCTGCTAGTAATCACCCAAAAAGGCTGAGTCAGCAGGCTGGCCAAGTGGACGGGCTACTTATGGGTCTGGTGGTTGCGTCCAGGCTACTCTAAATGACTTATTGTCGCAGCATCGGCCAGCGGAGCTCATCCTGAAATCCGTGTGCTGGCAGTTAAGTTATATTTTATATAAAATATATATGTCATCTTGAGAGTTTAATGTCAGGGAGAAGGTGGGACTTCTAGAACCTCATCTTTTTTTAACTGCTGGGAAAAACATCATCTAGATATTGAAAAGGCTGAACCTGGCCTGCAGGGAAGAACATCTTTGTAACTGAAGCACAGGAATGAAATACCACCTTTCACATTCTCTTTAACACTGAGATTCTGCTTTTAAAGGCAAAACTTTCCTAGTGTGTCCCTAAATAGGAAGAACTAAGGCTCCCGACGTGTGTGATTTTAGAACTGGATTGTTTCACAAACTAAATGAAGTCTTACTGGTGCTATTAATGCTTTTGGAGGAGTCGGGGTGGCTTTCAGCTTTGTGGTAGAGCTCCAAGTTTTGCTCCTGTAAACCTGAAATTGTGAGTCTTCAGCTGGCACGACCGAAGGGCAGCACCATTAGCACTTGACCCTATTTCACATCAGGATTTTTTTCTTACGGGAGGTGGCCGGGCGACGTGGGCTGAGCGAGCACGCCTGCGAGCCGGCAGTTGCTGCGCACGTGCTGCGGTCTCAGACGAGTTTTTCCTCACACGTTGAGGATGGTAATTTGTGCTCTTTGTGCTATAACTCTGCTTTCAATTTCCTCACCTTCGTGACCAAAGCAAATTTCATTTGGCTAGTGACTAGCAGTAACGTTTCACTTCACCTCGTTGCTACCAGCTCCATAAACATCCCCAGGACGACTCGTCCCTGCGGTGAATTGCGGCGCTGCAATCCCTGGGATGTTCCTGTTAAACACACACGGTCCTTTTTTTTTTTTTTTTTTTTTTTTTTTGAGACAATATTGAGCAGTCTAACAGGTTAAATACTCTTCCCCTGCTTTGGTAAGCTGCGTGTGAGTTTGAGAAGGCGTGAGGGGCTGGGGGAGCGGTGGAGGCAGTGGAGTAAGGTGGTGGAGAGCAGGACTAGTTGTCTGGTTTGTCCCTCACCGATGGCTCTCGGGGAGGCAGGGACGCGGGATGACTAATCACTTACTGTAAGAAACAGCATGAAATCGGAACGGATGGTCAGAGCTGAGTCACCGCCTGGTCTGCGCTACAGTTGTGCTGATTTCCAACCACATTCGTTTCTTATTAATCAGCGCGCAGCGTGCCATTAACAAGCTGTGTTGGGTATTTTTAGTTAAACCACCGCGGCCTCGGCCGGTCGCACATCACGGCCGAGCGTCAGAGCGGCTCGGAGCTTTCTGCCGCCCGCAACTGCTTTTAATTCCTCCGGTCCGTTCAGCACACATCATCCCAGGCTGGTTTTTGCAATGCAACATTGAGCTTGTGAGTCTGTGTTACTTCCAAACTGTCTTGGCAACTTGAATTTTCCTCTTTTGCAAACATACTGTCTTGTGGGGGGCTGGGAGAAGGTGGTTTTTCCCGAAAGCTGTGTGTTGGCAGAAGGGCTGCCCTCGTGGATTGACTGTAAATACACTGTTAGTCGAATGTCATGGCCATTGGGTTTTTTTGCATTTATTTTTAAACTATTCCATGTTTGATACTGTGTATAATAAATTTGCAGAATTTAGATGATGATAACTTTCTTCATTTTTCCTCTACCTGACAATACGCGCGGGAGCTGCCGTGTGGCTGCCGGTGGGTGCTTTGCATCGAGCCGCGCCGGCGGGGCTTGGCCTCGTGTCACTGTCCCAGAGTTAGAGGACTCTGAAGGGTGACAGCGTCCCTGACGTCCCCTTCCACCTTCCCCAGGGACAAGAGACCCAAGACTTGTCCCCTGAGCTGTGCGAGCTGCTGCGGGCAATAATTTAGCCCACGCCTCAGGCTTGTTGAAATATATTTTTATTGCATTTCTGCAGGTTTTACAAAAATATGACAAAATAAATTAAAAAGAAATAAATAACCCCCCCTTCATTTCTTTTAATTTCTAAAGAAATAAAACACAGCAAGGAAAACAAACAAACAAACAAACAACAAAACCAACCTAACTCTTCCCTCCTTTGTACAGTAACTGCCCGGAAAAGTGAGATACCAGACAGATGCCGCTTATAGAAATAATTTGTATAGAGAATTGTTTAAAAATGCCCTGGACTGCGGGGTCCTGGCAGCGGCGGGACCCTGCCCTCTCCTCCAGCAAGCGCTGCGGGAATCGACGGTGCCTGGACTGTTACTCTCAGGAGGAAAATGTGTTTAAAAGAAACTCCCCATAGGACCAGCGTGTGCTCAGGAGTGGTGGAGATGGGCGCTGGCCCCGACCAGGGAAACGAACTGAGATGGAGGGAGGGAGAGCGCTCTGCGCCTCTGGCTGCCCCCCTGCCTGAGCTGGGGGTGCAGGGGGTGAGCTTTGGGCTCGGCAGGGTGCTGAGCCGGGGTTGGGGGGGGGGGGGGGGGCGGGTTTGGGTTCCCTGGTACCCCCAGCCAGGCCAGGGTCTTTTCTCCTGCCATCGCTTAACACGCTGCTGCTCCCGCTCCGGGGCACAGTGCTGGTCTCACTGGGGTTCCGTGGGCCGGTGTGCCCCAGTTTCCCAGCGCCACGGAGCCCAGTGCTCCCTTTTCCTTGGCCTTGCCCCAGAAATCTCTCCCGCATCCTCCGCTCTGCCCGCCCGGGAGGGCGAGGGGGGGACCAGCAGCCCCGTATGCCCCAGGGATGTGCTGGGGGGAGCCAGCCCTGGCCCTGCGGTCCCGGGGACAGCAAAGCTCAGGATTGTCCCCAGGTTTTTGTCTCTGCCACAGTGCAGGGAGCCCACCCTGGGAGGGGGGGGACAGTGCCCTTGACCCCGCAGACCACGCTGGACCACAGGCAGCGTCTTGGCCCCCACGCTGGCAGCACGGATGAGCGGAGCAGCAGATAAAGCATTTGCCCGCTCCTGCCCTTATTGCTGTATAAAATGGCTTGATTCAGACCCACCCCCACACCCCCCCCCCAAAACAAAAAAAAAATTACACGATGTGTAGAAAGAGACAGCGGGAGGAGCGGAAAAAACAACTGGAGGAGCAGAAAAAACAACCTGACGTTTTCTACAGCCCAGGCTTTGGGGAGAAAGGGGTGCACAGCCCCTGCGTGACCACCCGGGGCCTGGACCAGGCACAGTGATGGGGCATCCCCCCAGCCCCCCCCCGCCTCCCCCCTGCTTGCTTTGGAAATGGTTGGTGGCCGGCAGAGCTGGTGGTGAGGGGCAGGAGGGAGCTGGCAGGGCTGGATGTCCCCAGCCCGGGTCACCCACGGGCATGGCCTTGGGGTGCCACTGCCCCTGTCCTGCCCCCCCCCAAAAGCGAAGCAGCACCGAGCAGAGCCGCTGAAAAGCAAGGAGCAGCTGCGTCGCAACCCCCTCCCCGCAGAGCCGGGGCGAGGACGGCGGCTGTTAAAGCACTAAGACTAGTCCCAGCGACGGCAAAACCTTCGCCCCGACTCCCACCCCCCCACACCCTGCCCTTGCCCAGAGCTCACATTTCCCCCCCCCCCTGCCCCCCCCAGCCCCACTCCTTCTCCCGGGCTCCGGCACGACTTCCATGTGCGAGCGCCTTATTGCGAAATAATTCCACGAAATAAGAAAGCGGAGAGGGGAAGGGACCGTCCCGGCTCGCGTCGCAGTCGCTGGGGCCACTGCCCGCACCCGGCCGGGCTCTCGCCTCCGTCGCCTCCAGCCGTTGGACGAAGAAGGGGCGAGAGTCGCTTGCGTTGGGTTTTGTTTCGGTTTTAGTGCAAGAAATGCTGCCCATGCATGGGAATCCCCCTCCCTCCCGGCTGTCCGGGCTTCGGGCAGGAAAACATCCCGGTGCTGGGAAGGAATCCACGCGGAGGCTGCCGGGAGCGGGACGGAGCAGGGCACGGCCCCGGTGCCGGCGGGACCCCGGCGATGGCTGTAGGGCAGGGGCTGTAGGCACGGGTGAATCGGGCTCCTCTTGCTGCCGCTCCCGCGAGCGCCACGATCTCGTCCCTCCTTGATCGGAGACGTGGCCCTGAGCCCGGCCGGCTGGTCCTGGTGGGCCTGGCAGCACCGAGATCCCCTGCGGCTCCTCGGGCATCTCCCGGTGTGCCGAATCCTCGGGGCGGTGGGCTGAGACCCCGGGCTCACAGCGCGGAGCCCAAACCGGGGCATCTCCCACCCGTGAACGTGCGGAGGGGCGCAGGAAGGAAACTTCTCGGGATGCTCCTCCCGAAGCTGCGGCCAGACCCTGCTGCTTCGACCCCTGCTTTGCTCCCTGCTTTGCTCAGGTGTCCTCGGAGCAGGATGAGGCCAGACCCTTGCCGGAGCCGCGCTGGGTCCCAGCGGAAGGGCTGGAGGGACGCAAGGGGACGTGGCAGAGGGGGACGGTGCAGAGCGACGGGCCAGCGCTGGCACCCGGCGGGCTCAGCCCGGCCCCGCGCTCCCTGCAGCGGGGGACGGCGAGGGGAGGCGGGAGGGTGACGATGACCACGGCTGCCTGAGGAGGGGAAGTGGGCAGCCCCGCTCACTCCCACTCCCCAAAAATGTCCGGTTAGAGTTTATAGCCCCCACTCTCCTCCTCCGCCCGGCTCTCCGGCTCCTCTCGGCCCCCCTCCTCTGGCACCCCATTGAGGTGGGACTTGCTGGGGACCGGCCGCTCGCCTGTGTCCGCCGAGGGGCCGGGCCGGGGCTGGGGGGAGGCGGTGGCCGCGGCACCGTTGCCCCCAGCCCCTTCAGACTTGCCAAAGTTGAAGAGCTTGCCGGGATTGAATGGCTTGGTGGGTGACTGGACCTTCTCAGTCCCCGTGTCCCTCTTAGTCTCCGGGGATTTCAGGAACTTGAAGCTGAGGAAGCCAGGGAGTTTGTTCTCACTGCTGGTGGGGGACTGGGGGGACCTGGCGGTTGCCGTGCTGCTGGCCCCGGCCCCCCCGGAGAGGAACTTGCCCTGCAAAGGGATGATCTGCTTCAGCTTCATCACGTTGTTGGTGGCCAGGAGGGAGCTGGGTCTCTTGGGCTTGTCGGAGCCGTGCGAGGTGCCCCCGGAGCCCTTCCCTTTGCTCTGGCTTTTCTCATGGGCCGGGTCCTGCCCGGCAGCCTCGGGCTTGGCCTCGTCGCGGCTGGACTCCCGCTCCTTGCGGGCCTGGTACTCGGCGTGCCGCTGCCGCTCCTCTTCCTCCCGCTTGCGCCGCTGCTGCTGCTGGAAGTGGTGCTGCGCCTGCCGCTCGTGCTTCTGTCAACGGGGAGCCTGTCAGCCCCCAGGGACACACCGGGGACCCCGCCAGCTCTGGGGGCGGGGGAGTAGGGGGGATCCCAGCGCTGTGCTCGCCCCCAGCGAGGGTCCCATCCCGGCGTTACCCACCTTGAAGGCTTCGCGGCGCTGGTACTCCAGCTTGGCCATCTCCTCAGCCACCCAAGCGGGGATATCGGGGATGGCCACTTGGATGATGTACTTCAGGAACAGGGCGAAGTGCTGCGGGGGGGACATGTGGGTCCGGCTGAGCAGTCCTGGCCCCATGGGCTCTGCTGTCCCCCCTCCCAAAACGCACCCCGCAAGGGATGGGGGGGGTTGGGGGGGGGGTTGGGCAGAGAGACCCTACAATAACAGCCAGGGGGGGTTCTGAGCCCTGTTGTGTTGCCTGGCAGCACCCAGCGCCTGCAGGGAGCTGCCTGGGGTGGTGGCAGCGGGTTTAAGGCTGGGACCCCAACCCTGGAGGGGTCTGCGGGAGCCCTTGGCTGTCTGAGCCAGCACTTTGCCATGCACAGGGAGACCCTACAATAACAGACAGCCGTGGAGCCGGCACCATACCTCCAGCACCACCACGGAGATGATGGCTCCCTCGGGGCTGAGCCAGGGGAAGAGGCGCTGGAGCTGCCCACACTGGGCAATCAGGTAGCAGTTGACCACAATGGCCAAGACGCCCATGGCCTCCATCACCTTCTGCAAGAGCGGCGGTGTTGGGGATGAGCCCCTTTTTCCCCCCTCTCCCCAGCCAGCTGGGCTCCCTGCCGGACTCCCCTGAAACCCCCCCAGCCCACCTGCCACTGCCCGATGCTCTCGACCCGCTGGCCGAAGGGACGCTGGAGCCCCGTGCAGAGCTTGAAGGCGTCGCTCCGGATCTCGATGACGTTGTTCACCAGGGCGCACATGGCGGCCAGGGGGAAGGCGGAGGAGAAAAGCACCACGTAACCGAACTGGATGAACATCTCCTGGTAGTCCTGGAAGGTGTCCTGAGGAGGAAGAGGAGGAGGAAGAGCACGTAGCAGTGGGGCTGGGGGGGGTACACCGCACCCCACTGGCCCCCCCTGGGGCTGCTCACCTCATATTTCTTCATGCAGCTCTCCACCTCTGCCTGCGTCAGCTGCGTGGAGTAGTCTTCCTCCGGCGGGTCGATCCAGGACGCCCGGTTGCGCCTCCGCCCTTCCTCCTCACCCTCCTCCTCCTCCCCCCGGTTCTCAGCCGCCCGCCTCCTCCGGCCGGCCCGCGGGACCACTGCCGGCTCCGCCGCCTTGACCGGGCTACCGGGGGGACCTTCGGCCTCCTCCTCATCCTCGCACAGCTCGAAGACGGACGCAGGGTCCATGCCCTTCTCCACCATGGTGGGGCTGCCCTCCTCGAGGAAACTCTCGTCCTCGGGGCCGCCGGGCTCCCCGCCGCGCCGCTCCGCCTTCTCAATGAAGCTCACCTTCTTCAGCTTCAACCCGCAATCCAGGGCGCTCTCCTCCTCCGAGTCCGACTCCCGCCGCTCTTCCTCCTCCTCCTCTTCCTCCGGCACGCCGCAACCCCCGTTCAGACACTTCTTCTCCCCCCGCGAACCCTCAGGGGGGGCTGGGGGGTGGTGGCGGCGGGGGGCGAGCAGGCAGAGGACGGTGTGGGCGAGCTGGCGGAGGCTGCGGAGGCTGAGGTCCCCCCGGCGCAGCCGGCGGTACAGGTGGGGCTGCGACACCTCCCTGACGTTCTGCAGGAACTGGCGGGTGATGAGCAGCGTGGCCAGCATCTGCATGGGGACACGGGGGTGCATGCTGTCACCCGGGGCGGTGGGGGGGGATCACACACACACACACACAGCACGCAGACCCGGGGTACAGCGGGGGGGTGGTGGTGGTGGTGAGGGGGGGGGGGGTGTCCCTGCATCCCCATCGCCTGCCCCCCTGCGGGGTCCCTGCTCCTCCCCGTGGCTGCGCTGGCAGAGCGGGACACCCAAGGCTGGTGTGTGTGTGTGTGTGTGTGTGTGTGTCCCCTCCCTCGCTGTGACACCCCATACCACCCCCCCACCCTCCCCAGTCAGCCGTGCTGGAGGCGCAGGGGCCACCGCCGGCCGGAGCAGCGACAGGGCTGGGGACAGCCGTGTCCCTCCCAGGGGTGGCAGGGGTCCCGGGGTGGAGTGCGAGGGATGGGGTTCGGGGGGATGCCCGGCCCCCCCCTCCCCGCTCCTACTTTGGATACTCCCAGTCTCCAGCAAAAGCCCAGGAGGCCCTTAAAGAAGATGAGAGAGAGGTGGAGGTGGAGGAGGATGGAGGGAAGGAGAGCCTCTTTGAGCTGACGCACGAGGCTTTGGAAGAGAGAGAAGATGAGCAGGAGCTGTGGAAGGGACAGAAGAACAGACAGACAGACAGACAGAGAGAGACCGTGAGCAGGAGCAGGAGCTGGGGACCCGGCGCAGCCTCCGGCCGGGAGCGCGGCAGCCAGGGACCATGGCGGGGACATGCGGGGACACCGGCCCCCCAGGAGGGCGCGGAGGGGCTGGTGGCAGGGGTGGGTCGAGGACATCCGTCTGTCCATCCGGGTGACGCCGGGGGGGCTCAGGCCGGCCCCGCCGCCCCCGGGCACAGCCCCTTACCTCCTTCAGCCGCTCCATGTCTTTGAGGTAGAAACCGATGTAGAAAAGACTCAGGTATGAATTTACAAACTGAAACTGCAGGGGTGGGGGGGGGGTGTGTGTGAGCGTGGGGTGGCCGCTGGGACCCCCCCAGTCCCCTCTGTGTCCCCCCCAGGGCCACCCGGCCCCCCTCACCAGGACGATTTTGATGATGAGGTGTTTCTCGTAGGCACTCTGCAGGCGGTAGTTCTCTGCAAAGCAGAGGAGGGGGGTTCAGGGGAGGGGTTCGGGGGTGGGTCCCAGCACCCAGGCCTGGCAGGGGCACCCCCGGGTGCCACCCCCCCACGCACCCATGTCGTTCAGCCAGTACGCAATCTTCTTGTAAACCTCGTCGCAGGCGGTGACGATGACAGCCAGGACGATTTTGGGGAGGAAACGGATGATCCGAGGCAGCTCCTGGATGCTCAGCACAAACTCCTGCGGGGATGGGGTCAGGGTCAGGGTCAGGGTCAGCACGGAGGGTGCTGGCAGCTGGGTGCGGGGGGGGGACAAGGACCTACTTGGAGCTGGAAGCAGCCCAGCATGAGGAGGAAGACGAAGGAGAGGCAGGCGAGGCAGACGGGGAGGCTGACCAGGCACTGGAAGAGCAAACGCTTCCACGGCGGGTAGTAAAACTCCTCGGCGCTGGTCACGGGGCTGATTCTCTTAATGCCCTAATGGGGAGGGGGGACAGCAGCGTGTGACCCTCCCCACAGTGGGGACCCCCATGGGATCCCTCCGTGACTCCAGCGCAGACCCCCCTCGGCTGGTTCGTTGGGGTTGGGGTGGGGGGAGGCTCAGCCAGCCCCCAGCCCCCAAGGACCCCCCCCACCCCAGGGCTCACCCTGAACTGGGGCCGGGGCTCCTCGATGGATTCAGCTGGGGTGTCCAGCGTCCCCCACTTGTAGGCAAACTCGGCCCCCCGGCGCTTCCACTCCTCAAGGAAGAGGGTGGCCCAGATGACGTTGAAGATGGCGAAGACCACGCAGCAGATGTCCTGGCTGGTCTGGGGGATGAAGGGCACCAACTGCACTGGGGTCGGTCCCTTCCCATCCCCAACACCTTCCTGAGCCCTGGGGAGCCGCATGGTGCTGCCCCGACCCCACCCCCACAGCCTTGGGAGCCTCCCAGCTCGTAGAAATTACAGTATTAAAGCATCATAAAGAAAGCATGGAGCAAGGAGGGATGGAACCCCAAAACCGTGGGGATTTACCCCGTTTCCTGACTCCTCTCACCTGGTCACTCTCGGTGAAGGTGTAGAGGATGGAGCCGAAGACGGCGGGGTACACCATGGCCGAGGTGTAGAAGCCCAGCCAGGCGAAGTACATGGCGATTTTCACCCCGAAGTAGTCACAGATCTCATCTGTGGGGGCCGAGGAGGGGGGTGGGCGTGAGGCTGGGACCCCCAGAAACACACACACACACCCCCCACCCCTCCAAAACCACCCCCCTCGACACCGTACCAAGTGGCTGGGCTTCGCAGACCGCCTGCACCCAGGACTTCATGAGCCGCTTGAGGATCCTCTGCTCGTGCAAGGGGAAGACCTGCTGGATGACGCCGCGGGCAGCCAGCTCTGGGACTGCACCACGGGGCACCGGGTGAGGGACAGCCTGCGGGGACCCCCCCGTGTGTGTCCCCAGATGGCCTTGGCGCGGTGGGGTTTTGGGGTGAGCGTGGTGCATCTGGGGGCTCTGCGCCCAACTCCGGCACTGCCCGGCCACAGCACGGCACAGCACCCACCAGCCTGTCCGGCACAGAGCCCCGGGGGAGGGACACGGGGTGACAGGGGACCCTTGCTGGGCTGGGGTCCTCCGGGGCCACCATGGCACAGGCTGGGAGCAGGGCAGTGGGGTGGCAGTGTCGTGTCGTGCCATGCTGCGCTGTGCCGTGCTGTGTCACACTGTGCCATGCCGTGCCATGTCACGCCATGCCATATCGTGCTGTGCCATGCCATGCCATGCTGTGCTGTGCCACGCAATGCCGTGCTGTGCGATGCCATGCCATGCCGTATCGTGCCGTGCCATGGCACACCATGCCATGCCATGCCATCATGCCATGTAGTGCCATGACATGCTGTGCCATGCCATGTTGTGCCATGCAACGTCATGCTATGCCATGCCATGTCATTCTGTGCCATGCCATGCCATGTTGTGCCATGCAATGTTGTGCTGTGCCATGCCATGTCGTGTCGTGCCGTGCCATGCCATGCTGTGCTGTGTCACACTGTGCTGTGCCATGCCATGCCATGCCATGTCATGCCATGCCACATTGCGCCATGCCATGGCACACCATGTCGTGTCGTGCCATGCCATGTCATGCCACGCCGTGCTGTCACACCATGCCATGCCATGTCGTGCCGTGCCGTGCCATTCCGCGCTGTGCTGTACTCACTGATGGGCTGCCCCTCGAGGAAGTGGATGTTGTGCAGCGACTCGCCCTGCTTGGCGCGCAGGTTCTCCAGCCAGTACCTGATGATGTTTTGCCGTTCCTGCGGCACCGCAGCTGGGTTGAGCCCCAGGCGATGGTCCCATTACCCAGCCCCCGGCCCCTCTCCTGCCACACCCGTGTCCCCTGCCTTGTCCCCTCCCCAGACCTGCCTTGTCCCCAGCTTGGGGGATGGCTGGATTGGTCCCAGCTGGGCTGGGGCTCCCTGATCCCCTTCCTCACCTGGGGAGGGAGAGAGGACCTGCCTTCCCTGCCCCATGTCCCTGCATCCTTGTCCTGCATCCCTGCATCCCCACATCCCTGCATCCCTGCCCCATGTCTCTGCATCCTTGTCCTGCATCCCTGCATCCCCACATCCCTGCATCCCTGCCCCATGTCCCTGCATCCTTGTCCTGCATCCCTGCATCCCCACATCCCTGCATCCCTGCCCCATGTCCCTGCATCCTTGTCCTGCATCCCTGCATCCCCACATCCCTGCATCCCTGCCCCATGTCTCTGCATCCTTGTCCTGCATCCCTGCATCCCCACATCCCTGCATCCCTGCCCCATGTCCCTGCATCCTTGTCCTGCATCCCTGCATCCCCACATCCCTGCATCCCTGCCCCATGTCTCTGCATCCTTGTCCTGCATCCCTGCATCCCCACATCCCTGCATCCCTGCCCCATGTCCCTGCATCCTTGTCCTGCATCCCTGCATCCCCACATCCCTGCATCCCTGCCCCATGTCCCTGCATCCTTGTCCTGCATCCCTGCATCCCCACATCCCTGCATCCCTGCCCCATGTCCCTGCATCCTTGTCCTGCATCCCTGCATCCCCACATCCCTGCATCCCCACATCCCTGCCACACGTCCGTGCATCCTTGCCCTGCGGCCCTGCATCCCCACATCCCCGCATCCTTGCCATGCATCCCTGCACCCCCACATCCCTGCCCCATGTCCCCCGTTCCTCCGCGTCCCACCTGAGAGGTGAAGAAGTAGAGCTCGTTCTCGATGTTCTCATAGATGTAATCCTCCTCGCAGGAGAAGCTCCGCATGCCTCCACCGAATTCAGCTTTCACTGGCTTCCGCAGCCCGATCTCATCAGCCCCACGCAGCAAACTGCAGGGAGAAGGGACACAGCTGGGGACATGGTGGGGGACACGAAGGGGACTGGGGATGCAGCCAGGACCCTACCTCTCGTAAGTGGCGGTGACAAAGAAGGCGTAGACACGGGTGTGCTTGTGGTGCCGGACCTGGACGATGAGCTCGGGGATGCCGAGGCGGATGTGGTTCAGGAGCCAGAGCAGCGTGTGGTCGTCGGTGGTGTCTGGATGGTGCCCAGTCAGCACAGCGCACAGCTCCCAGTACAGCCCCTCCTGGTCCCCATCCCTCCCCACGTCCCCCATCCTCGCTGCAGCTCCGTGCCGCCAGCCAGGCGCTCCACACCGGCACTGCCAGCCCCTGCCCCGGGCACCCCCAGGCATGGCCCTACCTGGGAAGGTCATGAGCACGTCGCAGTTCTCCGTGGGCACCGTCTTCATCCAGGCCTTGTGGGACATGATGTAGCGCCCGGCTTGGAGCAGCCGCTTCCCGAAGAGTTTATCTGCCCGGGGGGGGGGGGGCGGGGTGGGGGGGGAGGGGGGGGAAGAGAGGGGGTGAGCAGCGTGGGACCCCACGGAGCATCCCCCCACCCACAGCCCTGGGATCCAGACCCTGAAGCACTAACGACTCAGCTGCTGGCGCACTAGATGAGTGCGGGGACAGCCCCCCCCCCCCCCCCCCCCGCATGTCCCCAGCGGTGGCTGTCCCCAGCAGTGGCCATGGCAGCAGGTCACGGTCCTGCTCGTGGTGACGCTGGCCCCGGCTCAGGTTTCTCCTCAAGCAGCTCAAGGTGCCCAAAAAGGCCCCGACAGCTGCTGGGGAGGAGCCGGTGGCACGTCCTGGCACCCCTGGGGTGCCAGCTGCCATGGGGTGCCCTGGGGTGTCCCCTTGTAGCCCCCCCAGCCGCTCACCTCTGCCCACAGCCCCTCGGCGGGGCTGGGATCCGACAGGGCCGCGGCTCCGGGAGATGGGAAACCGCAGGAAAAATGGGGAGCGTGAAAAAGCAGCCGGTCTCCATGGAAACCCGGGGAGGCCCCGCGTCGCCACAGCGAGGCGGGATGGGGACGGTCCCCAGGGTCCCCTCGTCACCCCCTGGCTGGGTCCCACACAGGGACACGGCCCCTGGCCTGCTGTGGGGTGTCCATGCCTCGGGGACACGCGGTCCCTGTGGCCGGTGTCCCCGTCGCGCCTCTCGGGGTGGATGGGGACCGGGCACATCCCAAAACACTGCCTGGAGCTGGCAGGGAGGGCAGGATGAGGGTGGTCCCTGAGGGTGCTGAGGTGGGTCCCTCCGTGGGACCCCCTTTCTCCCTCCCCACACTGGCAGCATGCCCAGCCACCTCCCTGCCTCAGTTTCCTCTCCGAAGGCAGGGTGGCAGAGCCAGGATGGAGGAGGGGGGGGGGGGGGCCGATGCTCAGGGGGTGTCACGGCCTCTCTGGTTGCCCCAGGGCTGGGAAGGTCCCAGGGCTCCGGAAACAACACTGGGGACCTGTCGGCCCCGAAAAACAGGAAATGCCAAACCTGCTCTGACAGCTCATCCCAGGGGATGTATCGCGGCTCTGAGCACCCCTTTGGCCCGCCCTGGGCTGGGGGGGAGGAGAGCAGACACCCCCCCCCAGCCCTGCCAGCTGGGCTGAGACCCGACAAACTCATCCCCTGAGCCGCGACGCCGGGCTGTGAAAGGCCTCCCTGTCCTGACATCGTGGGCGAACACTGGGGACGGCGCCGGGCTGCCAGCCAGCCACCCACCCCCGGAGTGGGACCGATCCTGCACCCCCGGGGCACGGCTGCCCAGCTCGGGCCCAGCGTTGCCGGTGCCGGTGGTTTGGCCGTGCTCGCCGGGCGGCTCGCTGATGCCGGCAGGGTGAGCTCACCCACCCTGAATTATTTACGCCGTGTAACCCAGCCGGCGGCGCGGGCAGCGGGGTGGGGGCACCGCGGGGGCCCAGCTGGTGTGACACGGCCCCCGGCAGCAGCAGAGCCTGCACACGCGTGTGCGCCAGCATGCAAACTGCAGCAATACCGGGGGAGGGGGGGCAAGGTGGGTGCCCACCCTGAGGCTTCAGCTCTGGGTGCAGGAGGGTTTTTCCTGCCCAAGGTCATGGAAAAAGACGTGGCTGAGCCGCAAAGGGGTCCCCAGCACCCCTCTTGTCCCCCCCCACCACCCTGGTTGGGTATGGGGGGGGCTGGACCCTGCTGTCACCCTGTTCTGGCCATGGGGTCCTTCTCACCCTGTTGCCAGCGAGAGCGTCCCCCAGCCCCACCCCCCCCCCATCACCAAACTGGCACGAGGGGTCTGCCGGTGGACCAGGGGGGAGTGGATGGACCCCGCAGCATCCCAGCCCACGCCCCAGCCCTGTGTGTGTGTGTGTGTGCGTGTCCCCCCCCTCTCCCCACTCATCCCCACGTCCGCCCCCCGTGCTTCCCCGGCACGCTGGGGCCGTGCAGCTCACCTTGGCTCTCCAGGATAAGGTCACGGGAGCTGCAGCGGGATGGGGACGGGGACGCCGCTACCCCACCGCCGAGCGGAGCCCGTGGCAGTGGGGAGGGGGAAGGAGGCATCTGGGGGGAGTAGCGGTGCCGCCTGCCACGGGTGACTGCGTCCCGGGGGGGACACACACACGACACTAAGTGGGTCACCCTCCCGCAAGGCAGGAGTCCCGCTCGGCTGCACGGCGGGCAGCAGGCCCTGCCTGCACCGCCTCGCCCTGGGGACCCCCAACCTGGCTGTGGGGATGTCACCTGCCCCCAGGGCCACACGGGGGGGGGGACACCCCAACCTCAGCTTGAGGACCCAAAGTCCCCATCCTGCACCTGCTGCCCAGCTCTGTCCTGGGGGGCACAGAGCCGGTCTGGGGGGGCCATGGGCCTGTCCCCGGGGGTGCAAATGGACCCTCCTGGGGGGCTGCACAGCCCGGAGGTGACACGGGGGGTGCGTGGACCCGGTGCTGGGGAGGTCACTGGTGTGTCCTCGGGGACACAGACCTCTGCGTGGGCCCCATCGCCGGGGGGGGTGGGGAGGGGGGCGCGGACCAGTCCCAGACACACACACACACACACACACACACACACACACGGCCCTGGAGAAGCACAGACCCCCGTGGGGACGCAGGGATGGGACCCCCGGGGGGGTGGGGGGGGGGCACGGAGCTGTGCTGGGGGGGTTGCACAGAGCCCTCCCGGAGGGGTGCTGCTCAGAGTCCCACCAGGAGCACGGACACCCCCCCCCACCACCACTACCACCCCCCCCGCCGTCCCCGGGGAGCCGCATCCCGGCCGAGCCCCGCCGACATCCGCATCGAGCCGCAGGGACCAGCCCCCCCCCTCATCCCCAAACCCCGCTTTTTCCCCTTCCCGCCGCCCCGAGCCCGGTGTCGGGGGCCCGCTCCGCCTCCCGGTGCCACCTCACCCAGGACCCCCGTTGGGGCCACCGGTTCCGTTCGCTCCTCGCCGGGCGGGACCCGTCGCGACCGGTCGCCGTCCTGCGTTGCCACCGGCGGCTCGGGCATGGTGCGGGGGGGCTCGGCGGCGGCTCGGCGGCGGGGGGGGCCGGTGCATGGGGCCGCCGCCGGTGCCGCCGGTACCGCCCGAGCCGCCGCCGGTGCCGCCGCCGGGCGGGAGGAGGGACAAAGGCGGCGGAGCGGAGCGCGCCGCTCCCGGCCCCTTTAATTGTCTGGTTGGCCGCCGTCTCCCCAGCGCCGCTTAGCACCGGCCACGCGTGTCCGGCCGCGCCCCGTGGGGTGGTCCTGCCGGGGAGCGGGGCGGTGGCTCACCCCGCCGGGGGGACACGGAGCATCCCCTCCCCGCCCCCCCGCCCCAACCTCGGGATTGTCCCGCGTCCCCAGCATCCTCCCCCGCCCCCCCCACCCGGGGATGCCTCTTGCATTACCCCTCCCCGCTGTCGTCCCCCCCCACGCCGCGGCACGGTGCCCAGACCCACGGGTCAGGCTGTTCCCGAGGAGCGGGGCCGGGGGGGGCGGGGGGGGGGGGCAGGCCGGTAACGCGATCGGGGTTGCACGTTGCCTCCCTGACCTTTTGGGAGCCCTACTTTGCCCCGCCCCCCCCCCCCCCACCTCACGCAGGTCGGGGGGGACACACGACACCCCCCCGCAGCACCCCCCCCCCAATACCAGAGGGTTCTGGGGCCCAGCGCAGCCCGGCCCAGGACACCCTGTGAGCTCCCCTGCAACGGGGGCATTGGGATGGGGGGAGCCCCCCCCTTCAGCTCCGCACACACCCGTGGCTATTTTGGGGCAGGGGCTGTGTGCCAGCGCTGAGGAGCGGTGCCACAAGGAGCCGTCCCCTCCTCTGGCATCTCTCTTTCGGCAGCTGGAGGGGGGACACACACACACACACAGGCTGGCGTGTTTCCCAGCCCAGGCCTGGCCACTGTCCCTTGTCTTGGCTGGACATGGGGTGCCTCCCCGCCCCCCCCCCCCCGCGTTGCTTAGGGGGTCCAGCAGAATCTGAACCCCCCACTAAACCCTTCTGGGACCCCCGTGGGCTGGGTCCAGCTTCCCGGTGGGGAGAAGAAGGCTCAGAGATTGAGGGGGGAGCAAAGGGGGTGGGGGGGGCACAAGGAAAAGCTTCTGCACCCCAAGGTGGGGAAGGGGGGGTCCAGGCTGGCCTGGTCAGCATTAAACAGGGGTGTGCAGGGATGGGGGTGTGGGATGCGTGCACACGAGGACCCCAAAACCCCCTGGGGAGCCCCCCAGCCCCAGAGCTGGGGCCACTCCCTGCCCACGCTCCTCGGGGGTTTCTCCCCCCCCCCCCCCCATGTCTCTGGCCCACAGATTGTTCACGGGGTGGCGGGGTTTGGGGGTGTCCACAGGGATATATCACAGGAGGTGATACTGATGGGTCTCCAGCATCCCTGCCTGCATCCCTGCCCGCATCCCGGCCATGCTGCTGCTCGCTCCTCCCTGCTCCAGCGCCTTTGTCTGCATGGCCGTCCCCCCCCCGCCTCCCCCCTCTCCCCGCTCGCCACCACCGCAGCACCCGCCGCCCTCCCCAGGCCCCAGCCGACCCAAAACCGCTGTAAACCGAGCTGAGATTTTGGGGACTGTGGAGGGAAAACCCTCCAAACCGGGGGGATCCCATTGTCCTGGCTGCTTGTAACCCAACCCCTGTGCACCGGGCTGGCTTGGACACCCCCCCCAAAATTCCGCCTCCCCCCCCCCCGCAAGCCTTGTGTCCTGAGTAGGAGGGGATGCAATAGGGATGGGGTCCCCCAGTCCCGGTCAGGGGTGGGGTGCGGGATGGGGTGTGGGTACTGTGCCGTGATGCTGCTTGGGGAAAATTTCTATGGTTCACAGAGCAGCAGGGCCGCGGGCGGCTGTGGACCCCTCCCGGTGCACACGATGGGGGGTGGCTTGTGGGACACCCCCCCCCACCCCTCACTGGTCAGCCCCGGTCCTCACTGCAGGGGGTGAGAACCCCAGGACGTGGTGGGGGTTCCCTAGGGGAAGAGCATCTCTGGCTTGGGTGGGTGTGGAGCTGGTGTTCAGCCACTGCGGGGTGTGGGGGTGCCCAGTGCAGGGACACTCCCCACCCCCCCCCCCAAGGTGAGCAGGGGTCCCCAAAAAGCCTCAGTGCTCCCAGACAGCCTGTGTCGGAGTGGGGGCAAGGGAACCCCCACCCCCGAGGGACAGGGACACTGGTGGGTACGGAGGGGATTCTAGGAAAGGGACGGGGCAGGGGTGGGCTCTGTCATGGGGGGGATGTGGGTGCTGTTCCCCCCGTTTCAGACACGGGGACCCCCCAGATCAGGGTCCTGCAGCGCTGGCGGCTATTTTTGGGGTGCATCTAGGGGTCGCGGACTTCCATCTCCCCCCCCGGCCCCGCACCCGCAGGGCGGCCCCGCAATACCTGGGGGGGGACCCCCGAGGGGGTCCCGCTGCACCCCCACAGCCCGCACCCCGCGGGAGCAGGACCCAGGGGGGCGAGCGAGAGTGAAGTGCCTCGGAGGGACCGAGGAGGGGGCTCTGCATCCCGCCAGCACGGGGGGGAGGGACACGGGGAGGGACACAGGCAGGGACCCCCCCCCCGGGGCCACCCCGAGCCGGGCGGAAGCGCTCGGCTCCTGCCCAGCCTCAGGCGGCGTGGCGCGATGGCTGGCACGCTGGCCAATCAACAAAGGGGCCTCCGGCATGATTCCCGCCCCTTTGTGCGTCTTGGCCAATCGGAACGCGCGGGGGGGTGGGGCGAGGCGCCTGCGCTGAGGCCGCCGCGGGCTCATGGCGCTGCGCAGGGCGCTGAACGCGGCGGGATGGAGGTGGGGGTACAACGGGGTGTGGGGGCACCCTGGGGTGGGGGCGGCTCTAGGGGCGGGGGGACTCTGGGGAGGGGGTTGGAGTTCCCCCCGTGTAGGGGGGGCTGCGCGGGGAAGGGGTTGCGTGGGGAGTGGGAGGGAGCGCTTGGAGGTGGGTTTGCGCGGGGAGGGGGTGCACCCTCGGAGGGGGGGTGGGCTGCCCCTTGGGGAAGGGGTGCGCTGTGGGGGTGCACCCCGGTGCCTTTTTGGGGGAGGGGGGAGGGAGGTGGTGATGCACCCCAAAGCAGAGGATGCGCGTGGATGTGTACGGTGGGGGCAGGTTGCAGGGGGAGTGGGGTGCACCCCAGCACCCTACCTGCCCCGCGCCTGGCAGGGTGCGTGGGGAGGAGTGCGACTTTGGGGGGGGGGGGGAGTGCAGAAAGAAAAGGAGCACCCCTGGCTCTTCGGGGGGAGGAGGGGGGGCGCATAGGGAGGGGTCTGCACCCCAGGGCGCAGTGGGAGCCTCCTTGGGTCAGTGGGGTGCACAGGGAGGGGTGCTGGAGGGGCGAATGGGGGGATTGTCACCCTCCCCATTGGGAGGTGACACATGGGACACATCGAGGTGGGGGGTGGGTGTGTGTGGATAGCGCTCCCCCCACCCCTGCCCCCCCTGTCCCAGGTGGGCGCAGCGCCTGTGCTCGGCGGCGTGGGGGGACACCATCTTCGCTGTCTCCTCGGGCCACGGGCGCTGTGGTGTGGCCGTCATCCGTACCAGCGGGCCGGGGAGCCGGGGGGCCCTGCGGAGCCTCACCGGGCCCCCCGAGCTGCCCCCGCCCCGCGTCCTGGCCCTGCGGCGCATCCGGCACCCCGTCACCGCCGAGCCCCTGGACCGTGGCCTCGTCGTCTGGTTCCCAGGTGGGGCTGGTGTCGAGTCTCGGTGCCCGGTGGGGGGGTCTCGGTGCCTGGTCGGGGGGGGTCTCGGTGCCTGGTCGGGGGGTCTCAGTGTCTGGTGGTGGGGGGGTCTCAGTGTCTGGTGGTGGGGGGTCTCGGTGCCCGGTGGGGGGTGTCTCGGTGCCTGGTGGGGGGTTCTCGGTACCGGGTGGGGGGGTCTCGGTGCCGGGTGGGGGGGTCTCGGTGCCTGGTCAGGGGGTCTCAGTGCCTGGTGGGGGGGTTCTTGATGCCTGGTGGGGGGGGGTCTTGGTGCCTGGTTGGGGGGTCTTGGTGCCTTTTGTGAGTCTCAGTGCCCGTTGGGAGGGTCTTGTTGCCCAATGGGGGGGTCTTGGTGCCTTTTGGGGGGTTTCTCACTGCCTGGTCAGGGGGTCTTGGTGCCTTTTGGGTGTCTTGGTGTCTGCTGAGGGGTTTTGGTGCCTGGTGAGGGGGTCCCGGTGCCCAGTGGGGGTCTCAGTGCCTGGTAGGGGGGTCCCAGTGCCCAGTGGGGGTCTCAGTGCCTGGTGGGGATCTCAGTGCCTGGTGGGGGGGTCTCGGTGACCAGCACAGCCCTTCTTGGTTTCCCTGGCACAGTGAATTTGGCTGTATGGGGACGCCAGTGAGGGTGGTGGTGGGTCATGGTGGGTCAGCGCTGGACCCTTTGCACCGATCCTATAGAGCTGCTCATGGGGGTGTGTGTGTGTGTCTCTCCTGAGCCCCCCAAAAGCCCCTGTGGGGTCGAAGCATGCTGCCACGGGAGGGGGGGTGATGAGGTGTGCCGGATCCGGCCGGTGGGGGAAGCTCGCGGCGGTGGGCTCAGCCGGTGCCCGTCCAAGCCAGGTCCCCGGAGCTTCACCGGGGAGGACTGCGCTGAGCTGCACGTGCACGGCGGGCCGGCGGTGGTGAGCGGGGTGCTGCGGGCGCTGGGTGAGGCTCCCCCCCATCCCTCCTCCCCCCCCCTGCCCCTTCCCCTCGGGGTGCTACTGGAGGGTGCTCCCAGCTCGAGGAAATGGGGGGTGCAGCTCACCCCTGGGGCCGGCAGGATGCTTGCCCGGGCTCCGTCCCGCCGAGCCCGGGGAGTTCACGCGCCGAGCGTTCCGCCGCGGGAAGCTGGACCTGACGGCGGCCGAGGGGTTGGGGGACCTGATCCGGGCAGAGACGGAGGCCCAGCGGCAGCAAGCGCTGCGGCAAATGGAGGGTGAGCTGGGCCGGCTCTACCAGCGCTGGAGCGAGACCCTCACCCAGGTAAAGGTGTCGGGGCGCGGGACTCGGATCCGGCCTCTTTTGGGTTCCTCTGCTGTGTGCGTGGTGAATTGGGGACATGGGGCTGGGCTGTCCCTGCTGATCCCCACCCCCTCCGCCCTGACCCACAGGCTCTCGCTCACCTTGAAGCCTACATCGACTTCAGCGAGGATGACAATGTGGAGGAAGAGGTCTTGTCCCAAGGTGAGGGCTGGCAGGGTGGCCAGGAGGGCTGAGACACCCCGTCCCTGTTGTGTGTCGTGTCCCCTCCTCGATCTTTCCTCCATGTCGTGTCCGTCCGTCCGTCCCCCCGCCCCCCTTTCTTGGCTCTGTCCCCGCAGTGGATGTCACCGTGCAGGCACTGGAGCAGGAGATCGGTGCCCACCTGCGGGACGGGCGCCGCGGGGAGCTGCTGCGCAGTGGGGTCCACGCCGTCATCGCCGGCCCCCCCAACGTGGGCAAGAGCAGCCTGCTCAACCTGCTGTGTAAGGGGGGGGTGCAGAATGGGGGGGCTGCTTGCCTGGATGAGGTTCCTCCTCCCTGGGGACAGCAGCCACCATCCCCGATGCCAAGAGGGGAGGGGGGTCCATGGCATCGTCCCCTGAGCCCTGTGTTGTGTATCCCCCTCCCCCTGCCCCCCCCAGGCCAGCGTCCGGCAGCCATTGTGTCACCGGTGGCGGGGACCACGCGGGACGTGGTGGAGGTGGCCTTGAACATCGGCGGGTACCCCCTGGTGCTGAGCGACACGGCCGGGCTCCGCGATGCCACTGACCCTGTTGAGCGGGAGGGGGTCAGCCGTGCGCGGGACCGGTGAGGCTGGGAGGGGGGGCAAGCTGGGGGTCACCGCCCCGGCCCCCGCCACCGGGACTGGGATGGCTGAGAGGTGGCAGGATGTGGCCCCTTGCCATACCCTGCTGCCTTCCCCCCCCCAAGGCTGCAGCAAGCAGACCTGGTGCTGGCCGTGCTGGACGCCACGGCGGTGCCCACCGAGCCGGCGGGGCTGGGGGCTGCCCTGGGGTCCCTGCTGCCCCCCCCAGCCCCCCCTTGCATCCTGGTGCTCAACAAAGCCGACCTGCTGCAGGGAGGCGGGGGGGCCCTGCGCGATGCCTGCGCCCAAGCGGACCCCTTGCCCCCCACCACCCTCCTCTCCTGCAAGACGGGCGCGGGGCTCGACCACCTCCTGGAGCTGCTGGCGCGGCGGCTGGCGCGGCTGTGAGTGCAGGGCGGGGGACGCACGCACACACCAGCAACCCCGTCCCAGCTCGGGCAGGGGGTGCTCCAGCTTGGTTTATCTCCCGACACTGCGCCTCCCCCCCCCCCCCCCCCCCCCCCCCAAAGGTGTGGAGACCCCCTGGCAGGCTCGCCCAGCCTGACGCAGAGCCGGCACAGCCAACATTTGGGTGACTGCGCGGAGGCGCTGGCGCAGTACGGCCGGGAATGCCGGCGGGACCTGGGGCTGGCGGCCGAGCGGCTGCGGTTGGCGCGGCGGCACCTAGGCCGGATCACCGGCCACGTGGGCACTGAAGATGTCCTCGACGTCATCTTCAGGGACTTCTGTATCGGCAAGTGAGGGGCGCGTGGGGAGGGGGTCCCCCAGCTGCGGTGCCACCAGCGTCGAGGACCGCGGGGCAGGGGAGCTCTTGGTTCTGTGCTGGCATTAAACCGTGGTGCCTTTGGTGGCTCTGGCGTCGTTCCCCATCCCTGGTGCCGCCGGGCTTGGTGCCCTCAGGCCAGACCCCGGTGTTTTCCTGGCTGGGGGGAGCGTGCCCTGAGCCCCAGGCGTGGGAAAAAAAAACCCAGTGGGAGAGGCCCCGTTTCCTGGCTAGGACAAACAAGGAACTGGAGTGACTGGAAGGGAAAATCCGCCCCGGGCTTCCCCTTTGGGGGATCCCCCTGCACAGCGTGGCGTGGGGGGGCTCAGGACCCCAGCGGGGTCCACCCTTGCACCCCAAGTGCAACCCCAGCCCCAGGGATGCAGTGTAGGGGTCTTGGCACAGACCCAGCCCATGGAGCCTTGGGGTCCCCCCGGTTCTTGCACCCACCTGGCAGCTTTGGGTTCTGCAACCCCCCGGTGTGGGGGCTCCCCAAGGATCCCCCACTCTTTTACCCCCTGGCTGGGGCTCCCAGGCTTCAGAAGCGCCTGGTGCTCTGAGATTATTTATAGCAGAGCTCCAGGAAATCCTGTGGCAGTGAGCAGGTCCCACCGGTCCCCAAGCCGGGCTGTGGGGGGGCAGCTGGGATGGTGGGGGACCCCCTTCATCACCCCAATCCCACCCCAGCACTGTGCTCTGCCAGCGGCTGGGCAGGGTGGAGGTGGGGGGGACCCATCAGCATCCTCATCCTCAGGCAGTGGAAAGCAGCAGGAGCATGTGGCTGCCTGTATCTCAGGACGGACGCGGCTTGGGGGGCCCAAATGGGACCTGGGGGTGTTGGTGGCAGGGCTGGGGACGCGCTGGGAACGGTTCACACCGCTGCTGGGGTGCTGGCAGGGGCTGGCGTGCAGGCAGCCCGGCAGGCAGGAAAAGCTCTTTCAACAGGAAGGAGCGGGAAGCGCGACCGTAAATCAGCGAGTGGCAGCCGGAGATTAATCACCGCGCTTGGCGCGTCCTGCGCCCCGGCCCCACACCCCGGGGGGGCTCAGTGGCCCAGGGCGTCCCCCTCGCTTGGCTCTCATGCGCTTCTCCCCCCAGAGGGGCCTGTGATGTTCCCGCTCCCCATCCCACCTTAGGCATCCAGGCACACGTGTGGCGAGCTGTGTCGGTGCTCAGGGCCGGCTGTATTTATTTACAGCTGCCAACCGCCCCATCTCCAAGCATACGGGTACATGCACGGGGGGACGCACACAAGGATGGGGGCTCAGGGAAGGGGACAGGGGTGGGTGGCCCTGGCTCCCGCCGCGTTGGTGGCCCCCCCTGGGGTGTTGGGGGGATGACAGGGGTGCCGGCCGCTCGTTCCCGGTCGGGGTTTGCCATCCGTGCCGCGGGAAGCACCTCCTGGGCTTGTCCTCGTTGCCGTTTTCCGTGCGCTGCTTGGCCGTTAGCCGCTGCAGAGAGGGCAGGATCAGGCCCCCGGCATTGCTCGTGCCCCCCAGCCCGCTCGGACCCACCCCCCCGAACTCCCCCTCCCCACACCTCACCTGGGGTTCTGCAGGGTGGACGTGTACTGCTCCATGATCCTCCGCACCATCCGCTGGATCTCTTCTGTGCTGATTTTACCTGATGGGATGGAGCAGTGGGGCCAGAGCCGGGGGGGGACAGTGGCCCCAGTGTGACCGTGGGCTAGCCCCACAGCGGGTTTCACCCCCCTGCCCCGAGCACTCACCCATGTTCCTGAAGATGCCCTGATTCCTCAGAGCATCTACGTAGGAGCCCGTGCTGGTGAGGGGTCCCAGCTGCCCGCTGCTCCCCGGCACCCGTGAGCCCGTGATGCCGAAGAAGGCATCCATCTGCGGAGGAGAACGGGTGTGTGGGGGGGTCAGCTCTGGCATCCCGGGGTAAAGGGAGCAGGTGGGGGGAACCTGAGGGTGCTGCAGCCGCTCGTCCCCACCCCCGGGGTGCACCCGTGCAGAAACATCTTTGCAAAAGAAAGATGCGGGTGCAGAATGGCACGCGCTAAATCAAAGGTGCCCGCGCCCCAGCAGCTCCCTCACCTTCGAGCCCATGCAGATGTTGAGCTGCTCCTTGAAGTACCCCGCCTGCGCGGCGGCTTTGCTCTTCTCCTCCAGCTCCTTGCCAAGCTGCTCCTTCTCCCCCAGCAGCTTCTTCTTCTCCTCCTGCCCTCCCCTGACCTGTTTCTCGACGTCCTGCAGCCGTTTCTCCAACTCCTGCTTCTCCCTGGAGCAGTCGAGGCCACACTGGAGCAGGTTCATGTCACAGAAGCTTTTCGCCACGTACTTGGTCTCCCGTTCCTGCTGCCAGAGGAAGAGCCCCTCTGTCCTCTGCATCAACCGGCTGAGCTGCTCGTGCACGGCGCTGCAGCTGTACGGGCCAAGCATCTCCTTGATGCGCTGTAAGGAGTAGCTCAGGTCGGACCTGAGGGAGCCACACTCGTGCTTCAGCAGCTCCAGGTTGGTTTTGGTGGACTCGCAGATGGTCCGAGTGGACACCAGGTCCCGCTGGCAGCTCTCCTGCTCCTGGGTGGCTTTGGTGAGCGCGGCACCCGCTTTGCGGCAGTTTTCCTCCAGCTCCTTCTTGCCCAGGGCTGTCTGGTCCAACTGGCTGCGCAGCAGCATCTTCTCAGCTGTGAGGAGGAGGGGGGCACAGCGTTGGGGTGCATGGTTTCCCACCCCCCTCCCCCCCCAACTTTCACCTTACATCTCAGGGTGACACCCTGGGGAAGGGGAAGCCCCCCTGCACAGTCTGCAGTGCGTTCCAAGGGGGTCCCCAGGGGGCTGGGTGGGGGGGCCCAGGGTGGGGGTGGATGTGTGGGGGGGCCCCTTACCCCTGCAGCTGGTGTTGATGAAGCTCGTGGTCGTGTGACACTCTTCCAGCTTCATCTTCTGGTAGAAGATGAACTCCATCATCTCCTGCAGTTGAGGAAGAGGAGGAGGGTCAGAGCATCTCACAAGGGCCCCCCTGCCATCACCTCGCTCCCCCCCGCCCCGGGTGCTGGTGAGAGCACTGGTGAGGCTGTTTCCCCCTCTCATCCTTGTGGGGCTGAAGCGAGGTCCCAGCTCCTTGCAGCCCCCAGCACCCATGGGTGGGTCGCTGCCTCCAGCACCTGGGGGGAGGCTTTGCCTTGAGGAGTTGGGGGGGGTGGGGTGCTCACCTTGGCGTTGGGGTTGGGACCCTGGGTGCTGTTGCATTTATCCAGCTCCCGCTGCACCTTCTGGGCGAGGACCTGCAAGTTTTGCTTCTCCTTGAGGGTGGCGTTGAGGCTGCGGGTCAGGTTCATGTTCCTCCCGCTGAGGGTGATGATCTTGTTGTAGCGGTCCTGGAGCTGCTCCTCCAGCAGCCGGAGGTGCGTGTCGGTGCCCGCCTGCGCGTTGCCGTACACCATGAACAGCACCAGCCCCAGGATGATGAGGAATTGGATGAGGGAGGTGAAGAGGAAGATGTACTTCACATAAAACCCGCAGTCCCGCTTGGGTAGCGCCTCTTTGGCTTCCAAACCAAACTTGGCCATGGCGTAGCTGCTCTTCTCCATCCCACCGACGCTCTGCGCACCCCACCCCACGGCAGCCCCTTTACAACGGGGCCGCGCCAGGGCGGAGCTCGCTCTCGCTGCTGTGTTTATATTGCTGTATTTAATATTTCCTTCTGCTGGGCTCCTTCCTGCCTCTCCGGATGCCTCGAACTCGCTGGGTTATCACGCTGCAGCTTCTGTTTGTGGGAGGGCTATTGTTGCTGGTTGCTGACGGACAGGGGTGAAGCCTGGGACACTGGCCCCCCACCCCGTGCTGGGACCTGGTGCTCCCCCCAGGACTGGCTGTCACCCCAAAATAGCCCCCGGCACGGTGGGCATCGGGAATGAGTCCCCTGGGGACAGGCAGGGTGGGCTGCGGGTGCCGGCGCTCGCCGGTGGGGTGATGGAGGAGGATCCCAGTGCTTGCACTGGGCGCCCTGGGTCGGTCCTGGTGCCGTGTCCCCATGATGGGACGGTGGCACGCAGGGCCTGGTGCTCCACGTCTGCTCTCCTGCAGCTTGCGGGCAGGGAAAGGATGTGGCCAGGGCCTGGCTCGCAGGTGGGGGGTGGCAGCAGGCCGGGGTGGGTGACATGGGACAGTGGGAATCTGCGGCTGCGGCGCCCAGGGGTGCTGTCACCCCGCAGAGCCACCACCCTGCTGTGGGGCCCCGGGGAGCCACTCCTGGTCCTTGTCCCCCCTGGGGACATCACCGGCACCCCCCCGTGCGAGGACAGCCACCCATGCCAGCATTGCATGCCCAGCATTGCAGTAAGGGGCTGGAGTTAATGCCTCAAACATTCATCGACGCAGAAAACTTTGACAAGTTGTGGCCTTTGTGATTCGTCGAAGGACCGCTGCCCGAGGAAGCGCAGCACTTATCGAAGGGCACATGGCTCCACTTGTATCACTTAAATAATCTGTATTTCCTAGATAAGCCTCAAAGGTGGGAGAGGCGGACTGAGTGAAACCATGTGTTTGGGTTAAAAGGTTGATAAGAGAGGTAAGCAACCAGCACTTGATGGAGCCAAGGCCCAAGAAATAAGAACAGGAAAAGGTAAAAGTGTGTGTGGGGGGGAGCACAATCACTGACTCGATTGGAAGAGGGGGTTGGTGGACCCCATTCCCCCTCAACGCACGTGCAGGACCCGTGCTCCACCTTTCCCTTGTTTCTCATGGAAATGAGTCCGTGAAATACCTGCCTCGCTTGGTCTAGTATGTAAATCAGCTGTTAAGATGAATTTGAAAGGTGACAAAACTTGGCTGCGGGTGCACCCACCACCCAAGGTCACCAGACCTGAGACAGTGCTGGAACCTGGGGTGGTGATCTGGATACTTTGACTCTCTATCTCTTCTTTCCTTTGCGTTCCCTTTTTTTATCTTTCCTTTCTTTTCTTTTGTATAGATTTATCAATAAGAGGTCACATCGTTTACTATCCTTTACCAAGTTTAAGTTGTTTCTACTACAAGTAAAACATTTTAACTGGTCCTTCAGTGTCATTTCACCTTAATTTAACCCGAGGGGATCACAGAACCTTTACGACTCCCTGGACTCCCAGTGTGGGTTGTAACAGGCAGCCCAGCCCAGCCGGGCTGCGGGTTTGCAGCCGTCTCCCCCGTCCCTCTCTGGGTCTGGGGTCCCCTGGGGCTGAGGGGGGAGCCTGGGGGTGGGGGCTGGCTCTGGGACAGGCTGGGGACACGGTGGGGGTTGCTCAGTGCAGGGAAAAGGGGTTTGTGTCGAGCGTGGGCAGCACCGGGGCAGGGACTGGAGGGAGGAGGGGGAAGCTGCCTGTCTGACCCTCAGCACTGGTGGCCATCCCACAGGGACCCTGGGCTGTGGCAGAGGGGCCCGCTGTCCCTGAGACCCCCCCCCCCCAGCTCTGCAGGATGCCCAGCCAGGGCTGGGGGTGGGGATGAGCTGAGGTGGGGGGGCCGCGCCAGGCGCTGACCCCGAGCCGCTCACTGTTTCCTGCCTTCTGGCTGCGCCGCGGTCCCCGGGGACCGGGAAGTGTCTGCGATGGTCGGGATGGTGTCGGTCCTGAATCCATTCTCAGCTACTGCCGTTTCCTTCCTGAGCTGCAAATAACAGTGAGTCACCCCTCCTCCGGGCCCCCCCAGCCCCACTACAGGGATGCTGCCGGGGCTCTGCCAGACCCCTGACCCCGGGGACCCCAGTGTGCCAGCGGCTTTGCTGCTCGGATGCTGCCTCTGGCAGCCCACCCCAAGGGCTCCCCACAGCCTCCCGGGGTCACCAGGGATGCCAACGGGGTGCCCGCTCCCCTTGCCCCCCCTCCCCAGTGCTACAGACACTGCCTCTGTCCCATTTTCCAATTAGCCTTCTGGCTATAATTAATCCTCCCCATGCCGAGGGCTGGCGCTGTGTTGAGGTGGGACCGTGGGAATGGCTCTGCCCCATTCCTCTCCTTGTCTCATGCTGATGTGGGGCTTTGGGGGGGGGGGGGTCTCCACTTTGGGACCACCAAATTTGGGCTGCAGGGCTGGTTTTGTGTGTGTGTGTGTGTGTGTGTGTGTGTGTGTTTCCCAGATTCCACAGCCCAGGGAGCCCCAACATGACCATGGGCCTCCTCGCAGAGGCACCTTCAGCTGGAAAGTTGCCTGCCAGCACCTTTCCTGACACCCCCCCCAAGCCGGGGGGCAATGGGGGGTACGGGGGGGTGTAGGCCGGATGCCTGTGTGCGGCCTGCCTGCCCTCTGCACAGGATGCGGCGGCAGGAAAATCTGCAACTTTCCTGGAAACCTTCTTCAAAGCGGCTTGGAGATGTTGGGAAGCGACGGCAAAACAGCAGCAGCTGCTGAGCCCCGTGTGTGTGTGTCCCCCCTCTTCCCGCCTCAACCCCGCAACCCTGCCTGGGCCCCCCCGGTCTTTGGGGTTCCTGGAAGAGCCAGATCCTGCTCTGGCAGCCACTGGGCACCGCGGGGTGTGTGGTGCCTGAGCTGGGCTTGGGGACAGCTGGGCTCAGGGGGGGACACAGCTGGGCTTGGGGGGGGACACAGATGGGTTTGGAGGGTTCACAGCTGGGCTTGGGGGGACACAAATGGGCGTGGGGGGACACAGATGGGTTTGGAGGGGAATACAGCTGGGTTTAGGGGACACAGATGGGCTTGGGGGGACACAGCTGGGTTTAGGGGGTACAGCAGGTCTTGGAGGGGGGGATACAGCTGGGCTTGGGGACACAGCTGGGCTTGGGGAGACACATCTGGATTTAGGGAGGGTACAACTGGGCTTGTGGCAGAGGCCTGGGCTCAGGGGGACAGGGGGACAGCCCGGCTGCTGGCACGGGGAGACATCCCGGTGAGCAGAGCAGCCTTTATTGTCCAAATCCCTGCCCAGTTTTCCCAGTTTCTCGAGCGCGCTGGGAACGTGGCATTAACCCCTGGAGCTGATTGAATCGCAGCTCCAAAGCAGCTGGTGGGGAAAACACCCCTTGGCTGAGGTAAAACTGCCCAGAAGCTGCAGGACCGACCCCTCCGGTCCTGCTGCGGCGGTGACATCGGGGGACACAGCAGGACGGGGACACGCGGCAGCGTCACGAGAGGCGGCGGGATCGGGACACGCGGCGGGGGTGTGTGTGTGTGTGTAAAGACACGCGGGGGGATGAAGACACGCAGTGACAATCATCATCGTTCATCTGGACACTCTGGCTCTGGTGAGAAACGCGGGGGCTGAGCCGCTGCTGGGTCCCAGTGCTAAGGGGCGCTGTGGGACTGGGAATGATGGGCTCCGCGGGGCGGGATGAGGGGGTCCGGCCCCCAGCCCCCCCGGCAGGGAGGGGGTCGGGGGGGGCCTGCGGGGCTTCAGCCCTTCCTGTAAAAGAGGGGAGAGCAGGGAGTGAGTCCCCCACCCTGTCCCTGGGTCCTGCTCCCCTGGGGACACTGGTGACGATGGCGTGTGCTAGGAAGTGTGCCCGTGAGCCCCCCAAGTCCGGCCGCACCGGTGAAGCCCCCTCCCCAGACCAACGCTTGGGGTGTCCCTGTCCCCCCAAGCCGTGCAGGCAGAACAAGACCCACAGAAAGTACCGGGACGGGGGGCACCTGCGCCCAGTCGCTCGGTCCCTCGCCCGCCGCCGTCGCAACGCTTCGACCTCGGCCGCGTAGTTCCGCCTGCGGGGAGAGCGGAGCCGTGTGAGGGGGTGTCCCTGCCCCGGGATGGGGGGCACAGAGGGTCCCCATGGGGAAGGAGTGAAGGGCAGGGTGGTGGAGGGGCTGGGGTGGGGCTGAGTGCAGGGCTGGGCTGGTTTGGGGAGGGTGGTGGGGATGCTCTGGGGTGCTCAGCCCATGGAGGAGGGGGGGGTGGGGGGACGACAAGGACCTTACAGGGTGACCTCGAGCTCTCTCTGCCGGGTCTCACACTGCTCCCCCCGCGCCCGCAGCGCTCGCCGCTGCTCCGCTGCCTCCTCCAGCCGTTGTCGCAGCCCCAGCGCCTGCTCCTCGCCCCGCGCCAGCTCCTCTGCAGCACGGAAGGGACAGCGGGGTCACCCAGGTGACCCTAATGGGTGTTCGGCTGGGAGACATCCCCTCCCCCCCACCCCCCCCAAAAAAAATAAAACAAAAACCCAAGAGGGCTGCTGATCCCCGGGGGACGGAGCTCACCTTGCAGAGCTGTCTTGCTGCGGGCCAGCTCAGCCCGCTCTCGCCGCAGGGCCAGCACCTCATCCCCCAGCGCTGTCACGTTGGCCTCCAGCCTGGCCTGGGGAGAGGGGACACGGCAGCTTGGGGACAGGGGTGGGCAACGTCCTCCCGACTCTTCATCTGCTGCTGGAGTCCTGCCCCTCCTCACCACCTGCCCCATGTCCCCAAGATGTCCCCATGCTCCAGGTAGCCTTAGGTCCCGTCCCCCCCCCATCGTGTTTCTCAAAGGGGTAAGGACATGGGTTTAGGGAAAATCCCTCTTTTCCTGGAGGGATGGCTCAGCCTGAGCTTGGTGAGGATGCTGGTGCACAGGGATGTCACAAGAGCCCCAAGCCACCCAAGCACCCCATGGGTGGCATTCCCGGTGCCTGGGAGGGGACAGGGCTCCCTCCAGCTGGGTCCCTGAGAGGCTGCACAGCCCAGCCCCACTCCCGGCGCCAGCCCCGGGAAGCCAGAGCACTTTTCCAGCCTCTCTGGGCCATTGTTCGGCCGGATGAGCCCAGAGGGGCGGCGGGACCCGGCTCTTCCTCCGGGCTGTGGCCGCAGCGCTGGGGCCAGGCCCTTTCCCAGCCGGGGCCGCAGCTAAAAATACCTGGGAGGAGAGAAACGGCAGCTCCGCACCGGCTCCGGCTGCTTTGGGACAGGGTAATTATATGTGCGTGGAACAGCTTGGGCACGGCTAAGAATAGATGTCCCCGGTTGGGCGCGGGCACCCAGGCAGGGGGATGGCAGGACCGGGGCTGTGCCAAGGGACTGGGAGCAGCCAGGGATCCCCTCTTGGGGTGACCCCATGCAGGAAGGTAGCCGTGACCCCCTGGGGTGCTGCTGGTCCTCCCATCCCAGGGCTGCCTCTCCCGTTTCCAGGCTCATCTTTCCAGCCAGCATTTGCTCTCCTGGGGTTGCTCGTCTGCATCATCCTCCCCCCCAGTGCTGGGGCTTTCCAGGACCCTGGCTGAAATCCCACCAGGGATGATGCATCACCCTGGTCTTGGCTACTGGGGTCCCCCTAAAACCCCTCCCTCTCCACCCCAGCATCGCTCACCCCACGCATACAGGGTGGCTGAGCACCCCGCCTTGTCCCCCATCCCCTCCAGCACCTACCGCCCGCTCCCGGCAGGACGCCAGGCTGGCATTGAGCTTTTTGCCGTCACCACGGGCCTGGGCGAGCTCCCGCCGCAGAGCATCCTCCGCCCGGGCTCCTGCCGCCGCTGCCCGCTGCAGCCGGGCTCGCTCCCGCTCCAGCTCGGCCACGCGATTCCCCAGCTCCCGGCTCTCGTTGGCCGCCCGTTCCCGGCAGCCTTGCAGCTTCCCCACCGCCTCCGAACGCCACACCATCACCGCCACCGAGACCGTCACCGCCGCCACCAGCACCACCAGCGCCGCGCACAGTCCCAGCACCTTCAGGGTGGCTTTGGGCACCGCGGGGTCCATGCCGGAGGGGGACACGGGACCGCGAGCCCGCTCCGGTGGCGGCTGCCTGGGATGTGGCAGCATTCCCGGGGCAGGTTGCTCCCTCAGTTGCTGTAATTGCTGCCTGTGGGTTTTTCTCACCAAACCTGGCTTTGGGCTGTGGTTTCTCGCAGGTCACAGCCCAGAATAGACTTTGTTTGTGCTGGAGGTGGGAGGACGCTCTGCCCCTGAGCCTGGCTGTGGGTTGCAGCTGCAGGGACAAGCGAGGACGCAGTTGGAGGTCAGGTGGGTGTTGGGGATGCTGGGGGTGCCATCTGCCCAAGGGTCTTCTGCAGCACCCCCTTACCCCGCTGTACATCAGGGTCATGGTCCCCAAGAGGTGCCAGAGCAAAAATATGATGGATTTTCTCAAGGTTTTATTGGAAATTGGATAAAAATCACTTAACCGTTGAGTGCCTGTGGACCCCTTGACTCAGGGCAGCCCTGCCACGCCTCTGTCCTCTCCAGCCCATGCCCCCGTCCCCTCCCTTGCCATGGGCACAATTCTTGGTGGCTGGAGGGAAACCATCTCCCCGGATGTCCCCACAGTGGCCAGGGTTAATTTGGCGAGCAGGGTGTGTGGGGAGGTCTAGGACTGCGTAGGTGGTCCCAGGGACAGGGGCGAGTGGGAACAGGGCCACCCCCAGAGCCCACTGGGCTGGATGAGAACAGTCCCTCCTCATCCCACACTGGGAGATGGGATATGGAGGGACTCATGTCCCTGCTGCTTGGGGATCACAGGAGGAGCATCCCGGGGAGGAGGAGAGCCAGGAGGCTGAGTGACACAGCCGGGGTCCTGTTCCCACTCGAATGCTGGCTCCTCATATCCTGGAGCTGCTTCTCCAGGGCCTGGTTCTTCAGCTGGAGCTCGTCCCTGGTGGGGGGACACAGGGAGGGTCAGTGACAGACCGTGGGGCTGGGGTCAAGGGGGGGGGCGTGGGGCTCACCTGCTGCTCTGCAGGTCCTCCAGCTGCTTCTCCTGCTGGGCCACCTGTGCCCGGAGCACCCCGTTCTCCTCTGCGGGGAGGTGAGGGCGGGGGGGTCAGGGTGTCCCAGGGGATGGGGGTCAGGGTGACTGAGGGGACAGAGATCAAGGTGACCCAGGGGATGGAGATCAGGGTGACCCAGGGGACAGAGATCAAGGTGACCCAGGGGATGGGGGTGACTGAGGGGACAGAGATCAGGGTGACCCAGGGGACAGGGATGAGGGTGACCCAGGGGACAGGGATGAGGGTGACCCAGGGGATGGGGATGGGGGTGACTGAGGGGACAGGGATGAGGGTGACCCAGGGGATGGGGATCAGGGTGACCCAGGGGACGGGGATCAGGGTGACCCAGGTGATAGGGATGAGGGTGACCCAGGGGATGGAGATCAGGGTGACCCAGGGGACAGGGATGAGGGTGACCCAGGGGATGGGGATCAGGGTGACCCAGGGGACGGGGATCAAGGTGACCCAGGGGACAGGGATGAGGGTGACCCAGGGGATGGGGATCAGGGTGACCCAGGGGAAGGGGATCAGGGTGACCCAGGGGACAGAGATCAGGGTGACCCAGGGCCCATTGCCTGTGCCCACACTCCCCCCCTGCCCAGGACTCACCTTGCAGCTGGGTTACCCTGACGAGTGCCGGCTCCAGCTCCAAGACTTTCCCCTCCAGCACTCTCTGAGCATGGGCAGAGGGAAGGGGCTGGAGGCTCTGGCTCGGGACCTCCCTCTCATCCACCAAACGCACCCAGTTCAAGGCGGGAGGGCTGCAGATTTCCCCATGGACCCCCAGCCCCCCACCCACCAGCAGCACCCCAGCACCTACCAACTGCTTACTGCAACCTTCCCACTGCCCCCGGGCTTCGGCCAGGGACAGGTTGGTGACATCCAGCTCCTTCTCCAGCCACGCCAGCCTTGCCGAGCCGTTCCCGGCCATCATGGAGCCCACGGCCTGCTGGCAGAGGACGGAGGAGAGGGCTACTGCCAGCACCACTGTGGCCACCCCAAAGGCCAAGGCCGCGGCTACGTACACCTTCCAAATTTTTTTGCCCGTAGGCAGCTGGCGCGGGCTGCAGACTTCCATCCTGCCCTGTCTGGGCACAAAAAAACCCACAGGGGGTTCTGTGGGAGCTTGAGGTTTGTTTCAAAAATCAAGTAGTTTTGTTTCTGAACGAGCGGGACTTTCCAGGAAATCATGTGGTTTGCGAGTGGCGCAGCACCCGGGGGGGAGTTGAACGGCTGCTGGGCTGCCAGGGGTGCAACGGGGGGGCTGGGGCTGTGCCCCCACCTGCACCGGGGCTGCTACGGGCAGGGCTCGGGAAGATGTGGGAGGGGGGACACACGACCCCCTCACTGCAGGGGGTGAGCTCAGCCCCATGTCGCAGGGAGCGAGGTGGAAGAGTTGCGGGGCTGCAGGCACACGTGCAGCCCTCTGGAGCTGCCAGTGGGGCCAGTGCCCAGGGTGGAGGGGTCAAGGTGGGGGGAAATGGGGTGTGGGGTACCTGGAACATGGGGTGCATGGGGTATGGGGGATTAGGGGCATCAGGCACTGGGGGTATGGAGTACCTGGGGTATGGAGAATTAGGGGTACAGTGTATGGGGCACCTGGGGTATGGAGAAATGAGGGTACAGGGTATGTGGTACCTGGGGTATGGAGAAATGGGGGTACAGGGTATGGGGTACCTGGGGTATGGAGAAATGGGGGTACAGGGTATGGGGTACCTGGGGTATGGAGAAATGGGGGTGCAGGGTATGGGGTACCTGGGGTATGGAGAAATGGGGGTGCAGGGTATGGGGTACCCAGGCTATGGGGTACCCAAGGTATAAGGTAACTGGGGTTTGGGGTGCCTGGGCTCGGGGCTACCTTGGGTATGGCCCAACTGGAGTGTGGGGTAACCAAGTTATGGGGTACCTGGGGTACAGGGGTACACAGGCTGTGGGGTAACTGGGCGTGGGGTTACTGGGGGTTGGTGGTACCAGTCTGCAAACCCTTCTGCCAGTCCAGTTCTGCCCCAGTTCCATCTGGGCAAAGGGGCGTTGCTGGGGCCAGGATCGGGCCCTGGGTACTGGTAATGTTTGGCCCTGGGCTGGTGGCACTGGGCCCAGCTTTCAGGGGGTGTCGGGGGGGGGAAGAAAGGAGGGGAGGAGCCCCCTGGTCCCATCCTTGGGGGCCACTGCATGGGAAGGGTTTTGGGAGGCCGGGAGTGTGGCCGAGCCAGCTCCTGCTGGGGGAGAAATTCTAAACGCTTTTTTTTTCCAGGAGTTGTGCTAAAATCCTGGGGGTTTTAATGCTTTTCCTGCTGGTGTTTCTCAGCAGGGAAACAGCCCCTGAGCAAAGGCAATGCTGGCCGGTCCGTCACAGCCCCGACGGACCCCAAAGCATCTGGGGGGGAACCGGGGGGAGAGGAACCTTCCCAGGTGTGGGGCTGGGAGGAGATGGGGGACACGGGATGTGGGATATGGGGTGTGGGATGTGGGATGTGGTATTTGGATCTGGGATACATAATGTGGGATGTGGATATGGGATGTGGGCTGTAGGGTGTGAGGTATAGGATGCAGGGTGTGGGGTGCAGGATATGGGATATGGGGTGTGGAATGAGGGATATAGGATGATAGATATGGGATATGGGGTGCAGGATATGGGAATATGGGATGCTGAATGCAGGATATGGGATATGTGATGCAGGACTATGGAATATGGGATTATGGGATATGGGGGTGTGGGTTATGGGATGTGGGATGCGGGGATATGCGATATGGAATATGGGATGTGGGATATGGGGTGTGGGATGTAGGCTACTGTCTATGGGCTGTGGGGTGTGGGATGAAGGATATGGGATATGGGCTGCAGGATATGGGATATGGGGTGTGGAATGTGGGATATAGGATGCTAGATATGGGATATGGGCTGCAGGATATGGGAATATGGGATGATGAATGTGGGATATGGGATATGTGATGCAGGAATATGCGGTATGGAGTGTGGGCTATGGGATGTGGGATGCAGGAATATGGGATATGGACTAATGTGGGATTTGGGATGAGGGATATGGGATGCAGAGTGTGGGATGCAGGCCTGGGGTGAGACGCTGCAACTGGGGATGACACCGTGCCTCAGATCGAGCTGATCACCCAAATAAATCCGAGTCTGGCCAAGGTGACACCTACGGGGAGCAGCCCTGGCCAGGCCAGAGCTGGGAGGGGGGGGCGAGGGGGCCGAGGGGGGGTGGGTTGTCACCACAATCATGCCAGGGAGCCGAGACCCCCGGCACAGAGCCCTGGCATGGGGAGCCCAGCCCCAGGGATGCTCCGGCTGCATCCTGGAGCTCAGAGACAGCGGCCACCGCCTCACCTTTCCCCCACCCAGCTCCAGAAATAGCTGTTCCACTTTTAGTATTTTTATTCTACTGTTTCATGTGATAGAAAAAGCAATGGCTGTGAAATTAAAAACACACAAAATATTTACCAAACTTCCAGTTTTTGAGTCAGATTTTCAACATCTGGAGAATTAAAAGGCTCTGGCAGATTCGGTGAGCTGTCAGCATAAAGGCTTTAAATATGTTGTTATTATTATTTATGGTCTGGAGCCTGAAGAGGAACGAAGGCCAAAGGTTTCAAAAATAGCTTGAAAAACGCGAATGGATGTATTTTCCAGAACCAGCTCACTTTGAACTGCAAGATATTGAGATGCAACATTAAAAAAAAAAAAAAAAATCTAAAAAGCAACTGGGACAGGAATGTGCATTGTCGAGGGCTGCCCCGAAGCCGCCCTGGCGCAGTGGAGCTCGGCCGTCCCCACGGCGTCCCGGCTCGGGCTTGCTTCGGAAAACAAGTGTCAGCGCTCCGAGCAGCCCCTCTCCCTCTTCCCACTGTTTTCCCCCAAATCCTGGCCTCCACCCGCCCCTTTCCCGGGGGACACCCAGCGATGTGCCCCCCCTCTCTTTGGGAGGGGTTGGAGGGTCTGTCATCTCCAGCTTGTCCATGTTCGAGGACTGTTTGTTTTCCTCCTCCGGCAGGTTGTCCGGCGGGAGCGCCGGGAGCGGAGCGGCGTCTCTTGGCCAGACGGCCTGGAATTCGGCAGCTGGATCCTGCCTGGCCTCACCATCACGGCAGAGACGGGGAGCTGGCACCTTCCATGGCCCCTCGCAGCAGGATGCCCAGGGATGCTCCAGTTTGGGGTCTCCGGGGATGTTCTGGATACCCAGGGATGCTCCAGTTTGGGGTCCCTGGGCTTCCCTCCAGTTTGGGGTCCCCAAGGATGTTCTGGATATCCAGGGATGCTCCAGTTTGGGGTCCCTGGGCTTCCCTCCAGTTTGGGGTCCCCAAGGATGTTCTGGATATCCAGGGATGCTCCAGTTTGGGGTCCCTGGGCTTCCTTCTGGTTTGGGGTCCCCAGGGATGCTCTGGATACCCGGGGACGCTCTGGTTTGGAGTCCCAGGGGACCATCTACTTTGGAGGCTCCCAGGGATGCTCTGCATAACCAGGGATGCTCTGGATGCCTGAGGATCCTCCAGTTTGGGGTTCCTGGGGTTGCTCTGGATACCCAAGGATGTTCTGGATGCCTGGGGATGCTCTGGTTTGGAGTCCCTGGGGATCCCTCCAGTTTGGGGGTCCCCAGGGATGCTCCAGTTCAGGGCAGGGAATGGAGGAGACACCTCCACACACACCCCCCCTCCCAACATCCAGGGGCTGGAGCCCTGGCCAGGATGCGGCCCCTGAAGCCCCAGTGCTGGGGTGTGGTGTGAAGGTGCAAAGCCAGCGGGGAGGGGGCACGCGGGGGCACATTTTGGGCTGTCAGGAGCCGAGGCCGGCACACCGCGGCAGCTCCTGCTGCGGCCGTGATGCTCCACACCCCACTCAGCCTCACCCCACAGCCTGGCCCTGGGGAGGTGGTGGGGCAGCGTGGCCCCCCCCCCGGCCCTTGGCAGGGGGCTGAGAGGAGGGTCCTGGGCAGGCACAGCTCCTCTGCTTTTCCCTTTCATCCCTTGCCTGCGCCTGTTCCCTTTCAGCCTGAAACGTGGGTTTCTCTCCTATTTTGGGTTGGCTTTTCGGCTGCTTTCTTTTATTATTTTAATTTAGGCACTGTCATTATATTTTCCATTATTTAAAAAAAAAAAAAAAAGAAAAAGAAAAAGAAGAAAACGAGCAGCTTCCCAAGGCGCTTTCCAGCTCCCGGCTGCTGCTCTGAGCAGCTTTTGTTCCCGGCCAGCACCGGGACGTGCTCATAGGGTGCAGCACAGCGGCACCCCCTTCCCACTGCCCATGCCCTGGCTCCCTCCTCCCTGTGGGGCCAGGGGGGGTTTGGGGGGTGCCCTCCGATGTGGGGATGCTGTTGGGGAGGGGGATGAGCAATCAGCAGCCCCATCCCCTCTGCGGGGGCCCTGGCAGGATGGATGGACGTGCTGATGAACCTGCACACCGGCCTCTCATTTACGTTGGGTTCCAGCCATCCCTAATTGCTGCCGGGGCAGGATGGGGGATGCTGGCTCCCGGGCTCCTTTTTTCCTTCCCAGCTTTGCTATTCCCTTTCATCTTGGGGGGGGGAATGTGTGTGGGGTGTAAAAAGAAGCAGCCAGGCTACCTTTCTCACCACCACGGGGATGCTCATCCTGCACAGAGACGGGCTCTTGTTATCCACCGCCCACCTGCATCCCCTGATTCGGCCATCCGGGAGCTCTCCCGGGATATTTCCATCCCTGCTTCTGCCCCACTCTTCCTCCCCCCTCTGCAAGGCATCGACAGAGCTGGATGGACCCACCAGTGCTGGGTGCAAGCGGGGAGCGGGGCAGCATTGCGTCTGCATCGTGCCCACCCTGAAAACGTGTGTCCGGGAACCCCCCGCACCCCATTGCTTCCCCAAAGTTGTGGGAGGGCGGGGGGACCAAGGGGATCCTCACCCCAGCCCCAGCCCCCCACCTGGAGCTGAGTTGGGAGCATCACCCATGCTAAGGGGCTGAGAAGGAAAAAAAAAACAAAAAAACAACAACAAAAAAAACCAAAACAGTTTTCACCCCAAAGTTGTTGCGTTGGAGAAACCCCCCACTCTGGCTTCTCCATCCCACAGGCCGTGGGTCTGGTGTGGGGTCCCTGTGGGGCTCCCCCCACCCCGGGTACCCCCCTCCAGAGCTGCCGTGGGT